GGTGGGTATCTGGGTGTGGGAGGCTCATTGGGGTTGTCCTGGGGCAGGGGGTGTGGGGCTCATTGGGGGTTCTGAGTGTGGGGGCAAGGCTCAGCAGGAGGGTCTGGGTATGAGGGGGTCTGGATGCATGGGGCTTGGACGGATGGGGGAGTAGCTCCCTGTACAGGGATCCCTCCCCCTGCAGCTGAGGAGCGATGGGTTCAGGAAGTGGGCGGCCAGGGGTGGGGAGTTTGCAGAGGTTCCTGCAGCCAGGGGAGAAATCTGAGGGTGGGTCTGACCCGGCCTCAGATGCTATGCAGGGGAAGAGGAAGTCCTGTCCTCCTTAGCCCAGCTGGGACTGGCAGCTGAGTTGGCGCAGGGTAGGAGCCACCAGCCGGGTCTTCCCCAGTCCTGCCTCCTGTCCCACAGTGATTTACCTCTCTGCTGGCTGCCCTGGACCCACAAAACTCTATATATTTATAGAGTAGGGTGCAGTAGGGGGGTTGCATGACTGCCCTTTGCTTCCCTGTCAGAAAGTCATTTTTCTGCAGGGAAGCAAATAAATCTGCGGGGGACATAAATTCTGCACATGTGCAGTGGTGCAGCATTCCCCCAGGAGTAATACCTGCAGCTGCTTACGGAGAAGACTACGTGCGTCAGCAGTTTCTGTCGCACGTGAACCCTTCTCTCCCAGGAGATGTTCACAAAAAGCAAACAAACAAAAACCCATACGGTATTTCTCTGTTGTGAGCAGAAGTTGCACGTTACAACACAGCAGCTGAATATAAGTGGCACATAGTTATGTACAAATATTTTTGCTTATGATTAATAACTATCAACAAAGATCTGAAATGCAGTTTCCCCCATCCCCAAAGGTTGTAGCTGATCTTATCAGGATATACCTCTCAACCGAGAGGTGGATGCACTGCCATGGACAAATTTCAGCCAGAGCCAAATTATAAATCCTATTTAAAAAAAAAAAAAACACAAAAAATAACCAAACCAACCTCCCCGCCCCCCCCCCCCAAAAAAAGAAAAAAAAACACCTTAACCAAAACTAAAAAGAAAATTCAAAGGATATAAAAACTGAAATTTCACACCAAAAAGGCTACTACCTCCATTTGCAGAGAACATTTTTATTTCCACTTTAGAATGTAACCCTAACTATGAAGATGCTACTATGTCCATGAAATGCAATTTGGCCAGTTTGTGTTGCCTTGAAGGTGCTATGGATTATTTTTCTACTGTGGGTGTGATTCAAGGTTGTTTCCAAAGCTGGTAGCCAACATAACACACTACAGTAAGAAATACCCAACTAACTGATGGCTTATCTTCGCTACAAAATTGTATGTTCTGTACAGAGCAGAATTAGCGAACGTGATGCTGTCAAAGACCAGCCGCGTTCAGCATTGTGTCAGGTGTTTAAGGATAAACCCTGATCTACGCTGACCACATAGTCACAGCCAGCATTGTCTGATTACTCTACTTTTTAGTCCCATCCTAGTTCTGTTAATATGTAGCAAGGACAAGGCCTGAGCCATTTCTTAGACATAATCGGTTGTTTTATAAAAAGGAACAAAATAAAAACCAAGTAAAGATTAGATGAAATATCAAGTACAATTGATATTACACTTAATATTTATATGGTAGTTTTAATCTTCAGGGGACCTGACTAATAATTTAAAAATTACTCTTCTATAGCCCAACGTTTCACATGCTCCTGGGTATTTTGGCTACGCTCCTTTCTGCAGCTTCGTGGGGGTAGCTCAGCCTTTTGGCGCTGCATGCTCTAGCCACGCCCCCTCTGCTTCCGCCTGCCTCCAGACTCTGCCTTTGCAGCAGCAAATGGTGGCAGTTTCTGTTTCTCCTACCCTTACTCTTCTGTTTTCTCTTGTTTTGCCCAGTTTTTGTGAAATGGGGAGCAGTGTTCTCCCTCTTCAGTGCTCCTCTTCCTCCCTGGGTTGGTTATCCCTCAGGTTTAACCCTCCTTCAGTCTCCACTGCAGCGTCTCCCTGCCTGCTCTTCTCCCCCTGTAGAGGCATGGCAGAGCAGCTAGGAAAGCCCTGGGTCAAACCCAAGCAGTGCTCCATCGGTGATGCAGCCTTTCCAGGCTCAGCAGATGGGGAATTGTGCCCAGGCTGCACCCAGCCTTCTGTCTCAAACTCTGTTAGCTCCCCCTTCACTCCTCCTCTAAGGAAGTGATTAGGGATGAATGGAACAAGTCTGATAAGGGCAAGCCTGTTCACAAGAGCCCCCCACCTCAGGGTCTGTGACATTCAAGAGCCAAAGACCTCTATTGCTGAAACATCAGAGGTGGACGCTGCAGTAGTATCCTTCGCCAGGGATATGGTTATTCCCTCAGGAGGGGAGTTCTCCCCAAAGGATTCCATAGATTGAAAGATGGAATCTACTCTCCAAAAGGACTTTGAAGTCTCCTCTGCCACCCTTCAAGTGTCCTTGGCAGCAACCTGTTTGGCTGGAGCATCTCTTTCCTGGATGGAAGATCTCAAAGGCCTTAAGCCCAGAGATCACCTTGACTTTGGTTCCATTTTAAAGAGCCTTCTTAGAAGAGGGCCTCATCCTCCCTGATTGAACTAACCTCGTTATTCCTAGCCCGATTCTTGCTTGCATATTTATACCTGCCTCTGGAAATTTCCACTACATGCATCCGACAAAGTGGGTATTCACCCACAAAAACTTATGCTCCAATACGTCTGTTAGTCTATAAGGTGCCACAGGACTCTTAGCCGATTTTAAAGAGTCTCTCCTTAACATCAGCATTTGTAGCTGATGCATCAGTGGATGCGATCAGGCTGTCAGTCCAAGCCATGGCTTCTAGCTGAATAGCCAGGTACCACCTATGGCTCTGACCCTGGATGGTGGATACTAACTCTGAGCAAGTCCTATGCTCGGCCAAGTTTACAGTTTCCCTCCTTTTTGGGGAAAAAGTTGGATACTTTGGTGGCTGACAATGTGGCAAAATCCACACACTCTCTCCCTTCCCCACAAAGCGCCTTCAGGAGAGTCTATGGACCAGCCTTCAGACAGAGGCACTCTTTTCGCTCCTCATCTTTGCAGACGTACCAGCAAAGGGACAAAGATTCTTCTAGGGAAAACAGTGGAATTGGGGCCTGGGGTGGGAAGTGTTGAGGGGGCAGTTTGCACCCGCCAATTCAGTGCAAATCCCAGAAACCCTGGAATTCCAACCATTCTGGACTTCTTCCAAAAAGACATAGACAGAGGCCTTCAACCCAGTACAGTTGCCCGTGGGTGTCCACTCTTTGTAGCATGCTATTCACAACATGCTTAGGTTTCCTCGTGGCTGACAATCCACACGTAGCCAGATTCCTTGGAGCCAGTCCTGGTTAGCCAGTCCGTCAGCCAGGCCACTCTTCCCAAAATGGGATTTACTGCTAGTTTTGAGGGCCCTGACAAGCCATCCACTCAAACAGTTGATTTCAGTGTTCTTATTTGTCCATTAAGATGTGTTTTAGTAGCTGTTGCATCCGACAGGTGAGTGTCAGAGCTGGCAGTCTTATCTATGCAGGAGCCTTTACTGCATGTTCCATGAGGTCAAGGTGGGGTTCAGGACACCAGAATCTATTTTTCCTAAATTCCTACTTCTATGGCTCTCAAGAGGTTGTGCTTCCTTTGTTCTGTCCAAAACCACAGCAGCAAACAGAGAAGACAAGGCATACCCGAGGTTTTTAAGGCTCTTCTGACATCTCTCTCAAGAGTACACAGTCCTCAGGAAGATTGGGCTCTCTATTCTTGTCCTTCCACTCAAAATGGCAGGGACTTAGAGCTTCCAAGTCCTCAGCTGCTAGGTGGATTAGACTATATTGTGGAAGCCTACAAATCATTGAAGGTTCCTAGCTCAGAAGTGATCACGGCGCCCTCCACGAGATCTGTAGCAACCTTGTAGGCGCAATGAGAAAATGTGTCCCCTATGGAACTGGCAAAGCGGACAGTTGGTCTGCAGCTAACACCTTCATTAAGCACTATAAAACTGACTTTCTTCTGCAGAGGCCTCCTTTGGCAGAAAGGTGCTGTGGGTGGTGGTCCAGAAATAATATAGGGCTTTTGGGTGTGCTCACTCAAAAGGGGGGTACTTCTTTTCTACCAAACTCTTGTTTTACACTCCTCCTTACGTCTGATCGCTGCTTGCTACTTCCCAGACATCCAGAATTGTGAGAGATGCTGCTTGCAGAAAGGAAATAATTGATAGGAAATTTTCTGTTCATTTTAAGGAATTCTACAGATTTCATATTTCCATGTATTGCACCACAAAAACTATATTAAAATAACATTATTAAGGTTGCAAATTCAAACATTCCAAAAACTAGGAAATGCCAGAATTTAGGTTGCCTCTGTGACATTAATTTGCTCCACTTGTGAATGGGTATATAGCTCACTGAAGTCAGAATCCTTGGAGATTTTATCTGCTAAGCCCTAACAAGTCTCAGCTGAACATGTGCAATTTGTTATAGGTTTATAACTTGGCCAAAATGGGGCTCCTTTTTACAGGGATGCTAAAAGGCACATCCCTGACTCGAAAGCTATCTCCTGACATATTTCAGGTTCTGCTCCACAGCATGGAGATGCTAAAGCATTTTGAAGAAAAGGTTGCCAGAAATTTTTAACCTGGACAAAACGTATTTTCCCCTAGCCTTGTTCTCAGAAATGATGAACTGTTTTGGCTGAAGTTTTACAAAAACAGGTCAATAAAAGGTTGACACCTGGCATGGAAAATTTCAGCCCAAATGGTTAAAGTTTGGCAAATTTGTAAGCAACTGAAGACCGGGTCTTTAATAAAGGGTGGTGCTATGAGCTGTCTATTTTAAAATTTGTAACTGTTCTGCTAAATAGTTTTATAGTAACAAACCAATCCCAAAATTGTTTTGGTAGCCAAGACTATGGCTTTAAGACAGTTGTGCAACAACTGTAGTGCTTAGTGAATGTATTTGCAATGTGGCTAAATATGTCCTATAACAGATCCTCTTCTAAATGCTGTTAAACAGAAGTCTCATGGTCAGAGGAGTGTTCTGGAAAATGACCTGCCTTTCTTAGAGTTCCATGGCTCTGTTGTTTACAGCTACGATGCCAGCGACTGTTCCTTTCTGTCAGAAGATATCAGGTAAAAGCTTGCTTGTTTTCTTGGTGTGTCTCTATCTCTGCCTCAGAAGGGTTTGTGTTTTTTCACGTGCACATCTATACCTGTTGTGCAATTTTCATACACAGACTGGGTCAGCTACTCAGCCATAGAAAATGTCTGGAGATAATCGAGGTCTTCTCTTTAGTATAAGTAGCAGAATTCTGTCTGGTTTTACAATGTTGTTTACAATCACCAAGTGAAGTTACAGTTTCTTAGGACTAAAAATTATCCATAAATGCTACTGAATGATGTCTGGAGTGAGTGGAAATTTAGAAATAAACTTTTAACTTTAGCTGACTGGATGTAGTTCTGCATTTGTACCCTTTTTGTGAGCCTTCATGTCTGGGGGCAGCAGTCTTTAAAGTGCAAATCCTGTCAGACTCTACAAATGCGTAACTTTTCATATTGTGACTAACTCCATGGATTTCAATAATTTCAGTAGGACTACAGTGTGTAACGTATTTGTTTGAATCTCTGCAAGATTAGGGCCTAAAGATATACAGTACATAGTGCATACAATATTTTTGGGGAGAAACTTAACATAAAATCATCAATAAATTGAGAAAAATAGTTATGAGAACTTCCAAAAATATATATAAAAAGGAGTGGCCAGTTTCTGTTTCTCTCTCCCTTGGGGTGAATTTAATTACGGCCCAGCAGGCCAACAAATGGCTGTCTGTACTGTATAGGACCTGTAGTTAAGGGTATACATTATTTGGAAGGTTTCAGGTGGGCCCTTCGTAGTAGGGTGAATTTCACCCTCAGCGTGGAGGCTGTTTGACTACAACTCTGCTAACAGCCCCTGAACAGGGAGTCGTTTAGTTGTTCATTTTAAAGTAAGCTATCCTGTTGTCATATATGATAGATATATGTGTAGCAGAATAACTAAATGGGAATTAATCAACTATTTTCTCTTCAGAAGAAACCTGTCTGGTGGAGATGTGATAGGATTTGACATTGAATGGCCGCCATCATATACTAAAGGGAAAGTCGCCCTAATCCAAATATGTGTATCTGAGAAAAAATGCTACTTGTTTCACATTTCGTCAATGTCAGGTCAGTGTCATTCTTTCTGTGCTCTGGTTCACATGGACATGAATTGCCTCTCTGTTTCAGGTTACTTGTTCTGTGCTTTTGCCTCCAGAAGCAGACAGTACTTCCTGTTTCCGCTGATAGAGAAAACCCACCCCCACTATAGTGCACATATCCAACTATGCAATTCTGTGTAGGTACATTGGTCTCTGTCGGTCCATATAGGTAGTTTATATCATGAAAGTGCCACTGTTAATATATAATTAATTTAATTAAAAAATCTTTATCTGTATTATTAGCATTGTAAATTAAAGCTGAATCAATTTTGAGAGAGATTTTTTTCAAAAGAGTTTAGTATCCAGTAGGTCCCATATGGGCACCTAAATGAAGTGGCCAGATTTTCTAAAGTGCTCAGTATCCAGCATCTCCCATTGTTTCCAAACAAGGAGGAAGGAAAGTTTCCTTCTCATTTACTCTGCTAATGTTTTCATTTCTCTTTGAAGACGACTGTCATAGCTTATTTACACAGTCACTTTCTTGTGCTCCTGAGGAAGGGTTTGAATTCAGGAAAACTATCTTTACTAAAATAAAAAATATTAAACATTCATACCATTTGCCCAATATAATTTGTTTTCTCCTCCCCTCCACAGAAATGAAACGGTAGGCCTACATTTTGATGACAATGACCCTTATTACCTTGGCTCGACTGGCTAAAAACCTTACGAGTGGTCAGAATGCTGTTGGTTCTTAAAATCTGTGTGTTATCCTGTATTCCTATAGGGGAGGTACCAAGTGTCTGCTGTGCAGACTAGTTCTAGCTTGCTTGATGTATCTGTGGCAAGCCTGGTATGTAGTGTCTGTAGAACCTGCACTTTTATGGTTGTGAATGAAACCACCTTTATGAACAGAGAGTAAACTGATGAAATGTTATTGTCATGTGTCGGCAGATGTTCTGAAGCTGTGTGAAAGAGGTTGTTAATCTCATTGGGGTGTTCACTCTAATGTTTAATGATGACGCTTTAAATGTCTGTATTTAATGGCTTATTTTAGCAAATGTGGTGGGGCAATGTTGAAGGGTAGGAAATTCAGATGGAAGAAAGGTACAAAGACATGAAAGAGGGAGAGAAATGATGAAAGGAGGATAGAGGAAGAAGAGAAACAAGGGCAGACATGCTGGTGATCCTAAAGGTAGCGATTTTCCCACTGAGTGATGATAAATGTGATGACATTGAACATAGGATGCGAATAAATAAAAGTTGAGTTACTAGTTGAAGGGTATGTATGTTACTTCCTGGATTTTTATGTCAACCTTCCATTCATATCAGTAGGAGATGCCCTGTGAATTGAGGGGTGTATAGAGTCCTAAATATAAACCCTAGTCCATGAACAATAATCCAACATAAACTTTGGAGTCTGTTCAGAATGGGGACCATACAAGTACCAAGATTGTATCATAAAATGTAGGCCAGACACACATGGTGAAATGTTGAGTCTGCAAATACTTATCAAGTTAGAAACTTGCTCAATTTCTACTTTCCAAACTTGAGCTTTGCACTAGGTGTGAATATATTTGGGTGCAGATTTACAAGTGGTTTAGGGCTTTAAAGATTATGGCCAGAATAGTCCAAGGTGGGTTCCTGAAGTCAGGCCTTAAATCATAATTAGGCTTCTAAGTAAGATGTCCAGAATACAAAGCACCCACAAATCTGGTGGGGAATAGGCCACTTCTGTTTATAGGCCCTGCACCAGCATCATGGTGCTAATGGGGCAGGTTCAAGCTGTGGAACGCCGATTCTGGGCTCGGGAAACAAGCACAGACTGGTGGGACCGCATAGTGTTGCAGGTCTGGGACGATTCCCAGTGGCTGCGAAACTTTCGCATGCGTAAGGGCACTTTCATGGAACTTTGACTTGCTTTCCCCTGCCCTGAGGCGCATGAATACCAAGATGAGAGCAGCCCTCACAGTTGAGAAGCGAGTGGCGATAGCCCTGTGGAAGCTTGCAACGCCAGACAGCTACCGGTCAGTTGGGAATCAATTTGGAGTGGGCAAATCTACTGTTGGGGCTGCTGTGATGCAAGTAGCCCAAGCAATCAAAGATCTGCTGATATCAAGGGTAGTGACCCTGGGAAATGTGCAGGTCATAGTGGATGGCTTTGCTGCAATGGGATTCCCTAACTGTGGTGGGACCATAGACGGAACCCATATCCCTATCTTGGCACCGGAGCACCAAGCCGCCGAGTACATAAACCGCAAGGGGTACTTTTCAATAGTGCTGCAAGCTCTGGTGGATCACAAGGGACGCTTCACCAACATCAACGTGGGATGGCCGGGAAAGGTACATGACGCTCGCATCTTCAGGAACTCTGGTCTGTTTCAAAAGCTGCAGGAAGGGACTTTATTCCCAGACCAGAAAGTAACTGTTGGGGATGTTGAAATGCCTATATGTATCCTTGGGGACCCAGCCTACCCCTTAATGCCATGGCTCATGAGGCCGTACACAGGCAGCCTGGACAGTAGTCAGGAGCTGTTCAACTACAGGCTGAGCAAGTGCAGAATGGTGGTAGAATGTGCATTTGGACGTTTAAAGGCGCGCTGGCGCAGTTTACTGACTCGCTTAGACCTCAGCGAAACCAATATTCCCACTGTTATTACTGCTTGCGGTGTGCTCCACAATCTCTGTGAGAGTAAGGGGGAGACGTTTATGGCGGGGTGGGAGGTTGAGGCAAATCGTCTGGCTGCTGGTTACGCGCAGCCAGACACCAGGGCGGTTAGAAGAGCACAGGAGGGCGCGGTACGCATCAGGGAAGCTTTGAAAACCAGTTTCATGACTGGCCAGGCTACAGTGTGAAAGTTCTGTTTGTTTCTCCTTGATGAAACCCCCTGCCCCTTGGTTCACTCTACTTCCTTGTAAGCTAACCACCCTCCCCTCTTCCCTTCGATCACTGCTTGCAGAGGCAATAAAGTCATTGTTGCTTCACATTCATGCATTCTTTATTCATTCATCACACAAATAGGGGGATGACTACCAAAGTAGCCCAGGAAGGGTGGTGGAGGAGGGAAGGAAAATGCCACACAGCACTTTAAAAGTTTACAACTTTAAAATTTATTGAATGCCAGCATTCTTTTTTTTTGGGCAATTCTCTGTGGCGGAGTGGCTGGTTGGCCGGTGGCCCCCCCACCGCGTTCTTGGGCGTCTGGGTGTGGAGGCAATGGAACTTGGGGAGGAGGGCGGTTGGTTACACAGGGGCTGTAGTGGCAGCCTGTGCTCCAGCTGCCTTTGCTGCAGCTCAACCGTACACTGGAGCATACTGGGTTGGTCCTCCAGCAGCCTCAGCATTGAATCCTGCCTCCTCTCATCATGCTGCCGCCACATTTGAGCTTCAGCCCTGTCTTCAGCCTGCCACTTACTCTCTTCAGCCCACCACCTCTCCTCCTGGTCATTTTGTGCTTTCCTGCACTCTGACATTATTTGCCTCCACGCATTCGTCTGTGCTCTGTCAGTGTGGGAGGACAGCATGAGCTCAGAGAACATTTCATCTCGAGTGTGTTTTTTTTTTTCTTTCTAAGCTTCACTAGCCTCTGGGAAGGAGAAGATCCTGTGATCATTGAAACACGTGCAGCTGGTGGAGAAAAAAAAAGGGACAGTGGTATTTAAAAAGGACACATTTTATAAAACAGTGGCTACACTCTTTCAGGGTAAACCTTGCTGTTAACATTACATACATAGCACATGTGCTTTCGTTACAAGGTCGCATTTTGCCTCCCCCCACCGCGTGGCTACCCCCTCAACCCTCCCCCCTCCCTGTGGCTAACAGTGAGGAACATTTCTGCTTAGCCATAGGCAAACCGCCCAGCAGGAATGAGCTCCTCTGCGTGTCCCCTGAAGAAAAGCACCCTATTTCAACCAGGTGACCATGAATTATATCTCTCTCTCCTGAGGATAACACAGAGAGATAAAGAACGGATGTTGTTTGAATGCCAGCAAACATACACTGCAATGCTTTGTTGTACAATGATTCCCGAGTACGTGTTACTGGCCTGGAGTGGTAAAGTGTCCTACCATGAAGGATGCAATAAGGCTGCCCTCCCCAGAAACCTTTTGCAAAGGCTTTGGGAGTACATCCAGGAGAGCCGCGAATGCCAGGGCAAAGTAATCCTTTCACATGCTTGCTTTTAAACCATGTATAGTATTTTAAAAGGTACACTCACCGGAGGTCCCTTCTCCGCCTGCTGGGTCCAGAAGGCAGCCTTGGGTGGGTTCGGGGGGTACTGGCTCCAGGTCCAGGGTGAGAAACAATTCCTGGCTGTCGGGAAAACCGGTTTCTCCGCTTGCTTGCTGTGAGCTATCTACAACCTCATCATCATCTTCTTCTTCTTCGTCCCCAAAACCTGCTTCCGTATTGCCTCCATCTCCATTGAAGGAGTCAAACAACACGGCTGGGGTAGTGGTGACTGAACCCCCTAAAATGGCATGCAGCTCATCTTAGAAGCAGCATGTTTGGGGCTCTGACCCGGAGCGGCCGTTTGCCTCTCTGGTTTTCTGGTAGGCTTGCCTCAGCTCCTTCAGTTTCACGCAGCGCTGCTTCGGGTCCCTGTTATGGCCTCTGTCCTTCATACCCTGGGAGATTTTGACAAAGGTTTTGGCATTTCGAAAACTGGAACGGAGTTCTGATAGCACGGATTCCTCTCCCTGTGCAGCGATCAGATCCCGTACCTCCCGTTCGGTCCATGCTGGAGCTCTTTTGCGATTCTGGGACTCCATCATGGTCACCTCTGCTGATGAGCTCTGCATGGTCACCTGCAGCTTGCCACGCTGGCCAAACAGGAAATGAGATTCAAAAGTTCGCGGTTCTTTTCCTGTCTACCTGGCCAGTGCATCTGAGTTGAGAGTGCTGTCCAAAGCGGTCAGAATGGAGCACTCTGGGATAGCTCCCGGAGGCCAATACCGTCGAATTGTGTCCACAGTACCCCAAATTCGAGCCGGCAAGGCCGATTTAAGCGCTAATCCACTTGTCAGGGGTGGAGTAAGGAAATCGATTTTAAGAGCCCTTTAAGTTGAAATAAAGGGCTTCATCGTGTGGATGGGTGCAGGTTTACATTGATTTAATGCTGCTAAATTCGACCTAAAGTCCTAGTGTAGACCAGGGCTTTGAAGTAAATATCAGATTAGAAGTCTTTTTTTGATCTGTTGTTTTCATAAGAAAAAAAACCAAACTTTTGCATAATTTCAGTGTTGCTTGCCTCCAGATGAAATTATACTATAACCAGTTAGAGTTCCAGCTAGCACAAAATATAAACTGACTGGCCTGCGTTGGCATTAAAGTGCCATACTAGAGATCACATGTACTTGTTTGATGGCTAAGCTGACTGCTTTATAGATGCAGAGGTAATAAGCATTTGGCTATTACAATAAAAAAGTAGATTGCCCAAATTTATCCTTGATAGGATTCCACCTGTTTCCATACGAAATTAAAACCTGGCAGCTTTTGTCATATAGTTGATTATATTTGGATCTAATCTGTTTTAGGTTTTCCCAAGGGACTCAAAAGATTGCTTGAAGATGAAGATGTTAAAAAAGTTGGAGTAGGAATTGAAGGAGATCAGTGGAAGCTGATGAGCGACTTTGAAATCAAGCTGAAGAGTTTTGTAGAACTGGCTGATGTCGCCAACGAAAAAGTAAAAATTCAGTTTCATGGAGGGGGGTCTTCATTGTGCTAATAAAGGGAGTCTTTTATTTTTATCAGAGTCCAAATGTGGCCCCACTCATAATCTGTAGATCTGTTACCAGAGATAAATATTACCAGGTGACACTTTTTAAAGTGTTTGAATTTGGAAGGAACTCAAGTAAGAGCTACAGTATTAAATGCCTTTATTTTCATTGCACAGTGTATTTGATTTTCCCACAGATCTTTTTTCCCCCTCAGCTCTGTTTCTGGCCATTTTGTTCCATTAGGAACACCATTTTTTTTTTTTTAAATCAATCGAATTTTATTTCCTGTTATTGTTTACTACCAGGAATTGTCAGACTGGATCAGACCCAAGGTCCGTCTAGTCCAGTGTCCTGTATTTAACAGTAGCCAGTACTAGATGCTTCAGAAGAAGGTGCAAGAAACTCTGCAGTTGGCAGTTATGGGATAACCTGCCCCAGGGAAAAATTCCTTCTATCCCCAGTAGTTATGGTCTGGCTTATGCCGTGAAGCATGACCTTCCAAAACTCACGTTTGTTAAATATTTACTGCTCTAACTAGCTATTCTTGTTATCCATATAAATGTTTCATCCTTTTGTGTATCCCACTAAGCTCTTTGTCTCAGTGATCTCTTGTGGTAGAGAATACAATAGTCCAATTACTCATTGTAAATTTGCCATCTTTCAATTCCTTTCAATTTCCTTGTCCTTGCATTATGAGAGAGGGTGAAGAGAAGTTTGAGCCACAGTCCCTATGGTATTCGTTATTTTGTAAACTTGTATCGTGTCCCCTCTCTAAGGTGTAAAGTTTTTCAATCTTTTAGATATCAATTAATAGATGAGATTTTTTCCATGCCCCTATTACCGCATTTCAGGTGAGGACAAATGTTTGATTCATGTAAAGGGAATATTTTTCCATAGTATTCTCCATGCTATTCCTTTGAACCCTAACACCTGTTTATTTTTCCTGGCTGCTGTTGCACATTGCCCTGTCTACAATGATGCCCAGGTCATTCTCCAGAGTGGATGCAGTTAATTATTTAGAATTCAGTTAAGGGTTATGAGGAATTCAGATTATTCCTTATCAACACTGAATTTCATCTGCCCTGGGAGGGTTCCCCACCGTTGCCTTGCATTTGTCCCATTGCTTAGATCATTATCCTTTTCCTGACTCAGCCACCTCAGAGTCAGAGTGGATAGCTTTTCTCTGCGGCACGAGGCAGAGCTGCTCTCTGCTAAGTCACTGAACGCAACTCAGGTTGTCTTTGAGTAAAACTTTATTATAGAAAATAAAAATCCCTAAAAATTGTTAAGGTGAATGTAAACTTAGTTAGATTGAAACATCACCATATTATGTTTACAACATATTGGATATCCCTTCTTTCCTGTGAACAACTTTTAATTTCCTCCTAATTTGCATGTGTGTTTCAAATACCTTGTGCTCATCTCAAAGAAATCTTTGAATTTGTGTAAAGGGTTAATCTTAAACTGACTGCACAAATCTTAGAGACAAAAAAAAAAGTCAATGAATATGATGGAGCTCTTCAAAGGGTCTGTTCTCTACCCTTACTGTTCCAGAGGACTGGAGAGCAGCAAATGTACCTATAGCTATAGGACTCCAGGAGCTGGTCTGCACCAGTGGCGCAGCTGTAGCATGTCGACGGGAGAGAGCTCTCCTGTCGGCATGATAAATACACCTGCGCAAGAGGTGGTGGCTATGTTGGCGGGAGAAGCTGTCCTGCCAAAAATAGTGCTATACACAGCGGCGCTTAGTCGGTGTCACTTACGTGGCTCGGGGAATGGCGTAGGCTACGGCTACGCTCGCAGCTGTAGCGTGCCGGGAGTTAAACCAGCCCTGGGAGACCGCAGCCGGGAAAGCGCGGCCGTGTGTTCACACTGGGCTCCTTGTGACCGTGGAGCGTGTCCACGTGAGCAGCTCTTGCAACGCCACAGAGAGCGGTGCGTTGTGGTAGCTCTCCCAGTGTGTAGGTGCCTGCCGCGTGCTTTGGAAAGGGCTGCAATGCCTAATGGGGCAGGTTTCCCAATCCCCTTGCTCCACGGGCATCCTACTAGATGGCCAACTGCTTTTCAAATGAGGGGGTGGAGTGTGACAGGGTGTGTGTGGTGTGTATGTGGGGGGAGAGACTGGGTGTTTTGGGGGGCAGAGTGTGTCAGTGTGCTGTCTTGTAAGTTCAGACAGCAGCGGGGGGAAACCTGACATCAGCCCCCACTTCCCCTTCCCCAGCCCTCACCCGCTCTCTCTCACAGTCACACACAGAGAGAAATGCCTGCGCAGTGAGGTGAGACTCACCGGAGCGGCACGTCCTGCTGGTCGTCCTGGGAATTAGCTATTTCCAGCTCCGGAGCGCCCTCTGCAGGCTGGTGTCTCGTCTGCCACTGGCCCTGTGTCCCTCCATACCCCAGTGCCCTTTACCTCGGGGTTCTGCCCCAGCAGTACCCCCACACTCTGGGTCTCCCCTCCCAGGGGAACCCCCAACCCCCTAAACCCACCTTGCCTCAGTGGCTACTGCCAGTTCTTGTCTAGCCCCTGCTCACTGGGGCTGACTGCAGTCTGTCATGGCCACTCGTCATTGGCAAGGGGTTAGGACCTGCTGCCTTTGCCTATCCTCGGGCTGTCTCTCTGCAGCCTCAGTACCTTTTGAGCCCTTAACAAGGCCTGCAGCCTGGGGGTTTACCAGGCTGGAGCTCCCCAACTCCCTTTGCCTTTCCCCAGCACAGTTCCATTTCAGGTACCTTCTCTCAGGCAGCTAGCCTTCCCACTTCAGGGCTAGAGCCCTTCCTCTCAGCTCCTGGCTCACAGCCCCTTTATAGGGCCAGCTGTGGCCTGATTGGGCTGGCCACACCTGTGGTCAGCTACTCCCTCAGCTGCTTTCACTCTTTTTCCCAGCCACGGCCCTCTCCAGGGCTGCTTTTAACCCTCTGTTCGGCGGGAGTGAGGCTGCCACCCCCTTACAGCCTGCCTCTGCAGCAGGAGCATTCCACAGTAATGGTTTGCTTTGTGTCCCGGAGCAGATAAGCATGCTAGCTGTCAGAAATGGAGCTTTCAAAGGGGATAGCTGCATGCCTGCAGCAGAGTTCAAAACAATGACCAGAGAGGACACTTGACTTCAGGGGATTATGGGATGTTTCCGGAGGCCAATCACAGCGCAGTAATGCAACACCTCGTCCACACTGACACCGTGGTGCTCCAGCCCGGGTGCAGCAAGCTCTGTGCTTCTTGTGGAGGTGGATTACCAGGAGCGCTCCAGCTGCAGAGTCCAGGTGCTCTAAGTGCCTTGCCAGTGTGGACACCTCAGGAGTTAGGGCGCCCGGGACTGATTTAATGCGCTCTAACTTGCAAGGTTAGCCAAGCCGTTATTCTCACTCCTGAGGAATATAAGTTATACTGAAGTAAGAGGTAGTGTAAACTTGGCCTAGGAGTGATATAGGGAATTGGAGATCACAGAAAGACTTAACTATTACCTGAGAAATTGGTTGAAACAATACTTAAAAATAGAATAAGTCACCTGGAATATCACAATAGGATAGGGTCTAATTAGCATGGTTTTTGCAAAGGAAAATCATATTTGACTAATATGTTAGAATTCTTTGAATATATCCGTGAAGTAGTGGATAAAGAAGAACCAGTTAAGAACATAAGGTGGGTGCATAACTGGTTGGGAAATGGTTCCCAGAGAGAGTAGTTATTGGTGGTTCACAGTCAAGCTGGAAGGGTTTATCAAGTGGGGTCCCACAGGGATTGGGTCTGGTTCAGGTGACTTATTACTGTTTAATTTATCAGTTTGTTCCAAAACCACCTCTACTGACTCTTCAGTAAGAGGCAGTTCTTCAGATTTGTCACCTAAAAAGACTGGCTCTGGTGTGGGAATCTCCCCCTCATCCTGTTCAGTGAATACTGATGGAAAGTATTCGTTTAGCTTCTCCACAACGGCCTTGCCTTCATTGAGTACTCCTTCAGCACCTTGATCCAACCAGTGGTCCCACTGGTTGTTTGGTAAGCTTTCTGTTTCTGATGTACTTAATGTTTTTGTTTTTTGCGGTTAGTTTTTCTGTCGTTTGCAAGTTGCTCTTCAAATTATTTTTTGGCCGGCCTGATTATGCTTTTACTCTTGACTTGCCAGAGCGTATGCGCCTTTCTATTTTCCGCAGTAGGATTTGACTTCCAATTTTTAAAGGATGCCTTTGGTCTCTAAGCATCTTTTTTACTCTGTGTAAGCATGGTGGCACTTTTTGGGGCCTCTTTCTGTGTGGGTTTTTTTTTTATTATTTTCTTTTATTTGGGGATACGCACATAGTTGGAGCCTCTGTTTGATATTTTTTAAAAAAGTTTCCATGCAGCTTGCAGGCATATCACTCCTGTGGCTGTTCCTTTTAATTTCAATATAACTAGCTTCCTTGTCTTTTTTTAAGTTCCCTTTTTTTGAAGTTAAGTGCTACTTGTGGTGAGTTTCTTTGGTATTTTCTCCACAACAATGATGTTAAATTTAATTACATTATGGTTGCTGTTATGGAGCAATTCAGCTATATTTAGCTCTTGGACTAGATCCTGTGCACCAGTGTAGCGACGCGAAGACTCACTGTTGCGGCACCTCCTGCTGGTCATCCTGGGAATTAGCTCAACTCCAGCTCCGGAGCACCCTCTGCTGGCTGGTATTTTGCCTGCCTCAGGCCTTGGCACCCTTCCAGACCCCGGTGCCCCTTTACCTTGGGGTTCTGCCCCAGCACTCTGTGTCTCCCCTCCCAGGGGAACCCCCAAACCTCTATCCCCACCTTTCCTCAGTGGCTACTGCCAGTCATCATTGGCAAGGGTTTAGGACCTGCTGCCTTTGTCTATTCCCAGGCTGTATCTCTGCAGCCCCAGGACCCCTGTAGGCCTTCAACAAGGCCTGCAGCCTGGGGTTTTACCAGGCTGGAGCTCCCCAGCTCCCTTGCCCTATTCCCCAGCACTGCTCCAGTTCAGGTACCTTCCTCTCAGGCAGCTAGCCCTTCTCCCTCTAGGGCTGGAGAGAGACTCCCCAGCTTCTGGCCCACAACCCTCTTATAAGGGCCAGCTGGACCCTGATTGAGCTGGCCACAGCTGTGGCTGCTTCCCCAATCAGCCTAGCTTGGCCGCTTTTAACCCCTGCTTATTGGAGTGGGGCAGCCGCCACACTACAGCCACTTAGAACTAAATGAAGAATTGCCTCTCCCTTTATGGGTCCCAGGACTAGCTGCTCCAAGAAGCTGTCATTAATGGTGTCTAGAAATGTTATTTCTGCATCCTGTCCCGAGGTGACATGTTCCCAGTCAGTAGGGGATAGATGAAATCTCCTGTTGATCATTACATTTTTTGGTTTTGTAGCCTCTCTAATTTCCTTGAGCATTTCACAATGACAGTTGTGATTCTAGTCAGGAGGTAGGTAGTTTATTCCTACTGCTATCCTCTTATTATTCAAGCATGGAATTTCTATCCATTGAGATTCCATGATACTGCTTGATTCATATAAGATTTTTACTATTTTTCACTCTGTGCTTTCTTTCACATATAGTGCATCTCTCTCACCAGCATGACCTGCTCTCATCGCTGTATATTTTGTATACTAGTATTACCGTGTCTTGTTGATTATCATCATTCCCACCAAGTTTCTGTGATGCCTATTACATCAATATCCTCATTTAATACCAGGCACACAAGTTCACCCATCTTAGTATTTAGACTTCTAGCATTTGTATAGAAGCACTTATGAAATTTGCCAATATTTAGTTGTCTGTTTTCTTGTGCTGTAATTGAATGGCAGTCTTTTCCATTTGAGTGTTTGTTTTTTATTTTCAGTTCTTATTTCCACTTTATCAACTTCTCTTTACTTTACTAGGATATAGAGTAACATCTTCAATAAATCCTCCCTTAAGGTATTTGTTACACCGTGTGCTCCTTCACAAGCCACTAAAGTAGTCATGTGGGGGAGAGGCAAAGAATTCTCTCCTGACTGGTTTTTGATCCAGACACAATGGCCAATTTTCTTCATGATGAAAGGTTGACAGTGGCATGACTCTAGATTCCATACTGGGTCCAGTGTTTAATTTTGTAGGTGGTGCAGGTAGTGTGCCTATAGTTAACATTGCCCCAAGACTTTTTCCCCAAGATTTCACTTGGAATCTTGGGCAGAAATTTTCTATGCTGAGCATTTACCTAAGGTTACGTTATTTTGGAAGGTTTTAGCTAGAATGGTTCAGCTGTTCGTGAGAATGAGGTTTGGGGACAATACATTATCTTATCCAAGTTAAAGTTCTTACAGCTGCTTCATTGAGCCAGCTCTGTTGCTTCCAGGCTTCAGAGCAAAGGCTCAAAATTTGACAGGGGACTTGCCCAGGTGTCAGGAATGTGCCTTTTATTGTTCCTCTGAAATTCACCCTAATGTGACCAAGTTACAAGCTTTTGGAAAATCTCAGTTTGCACATGCTAAACGGAGTCTTCTTAGAGTTTACAAAAACAACAAGGAGTCCAGTGGCACCTTAAAGACAAACAGATTTATTTGGGCATAAACTTTTGTGGGTAAAAAAACCCACTTCTTGAGATGCATGGAGTGAAAATTACAGATGCAGGCATAAATATGTGTATATTTTAAATATATGTATATAATAAAAGTATACTTATGCCTGCATCTGTAATTTCCATTCCATGCATCTGAAGAAGTGGGGTTATTTACACACGAAAGCTTATGCCCAAATAAATCTGTTAGTCTTTAAGGTGCCACTGGACTCCTCGTTGTTTTTGTGGATACAGACTAACACAGCTACCCCTCTGATTCTTAGAGTTTAGAAGCCACGTTTCCCAAAAATTCTGCTGCACTGACATGCTCTGGCCACTGGCAGCTCCCACATGTGACTGGACTGCACATGCACTATTCCCACAGAGTGACTGAGCGCACGCCGTCCGGGGGCTGAACTGGACTTTCTCTGCAGTTGTTCTTCCTGGCAGACAAAAGCTGCTGTGGTGCCAGGAACAGAAACTGAAAGCAGGGAGCCTGTTTCTCCTGTGCTGTCAGTGCCTTCTCAGCTGATGCCTAGACAGTACAGAGGAGAAGGAGCGAGCTGCTTGACTTGCAGAGAATTAAGGAACAAGGGTGAGGAGGTAGGGGAAAAGACGCAGGGTGGCGGGGAGGCAGCAGCACATGGGGACGTACTATAACAGTAGGAGGGAGGGGCCATTAAACGAGGCAGGGTCCTGTGGAAAATGTATTATTGGGCTCATGTAATTAAAGACTGTATCCTAATGCATACACACAAGGGGATGAACTAGGGTTCTAATGGAAACCTTAATACTGGCATTTCCTAACTTGAGTGCTTGGCTTTGTACCCTTCATGGCATTTTAATGTAGGTTTTTTGGAGGTACTCTTTATTTCCAATCTGGACAGGGGGAGTGATTCCTGAAGTAGCATAATTTGCAGATGACACAGTTATTTCTTAGCGATGAGCAGTGTTGAACTTCAGAGAGACCTAACCAAGCTAGGCGAAAAGGCAACACAATGTGAAATAAAAGCCAGTGTGGATAAATGCAAAGTAATGCACAATGGAGGGTAACATTTAGAGTCCTGGGAAATGTACCGGTAGTTTAACTGTATCAACTCAGGAAAGGGACATGGGTGTCATAGTAGAGGTTTCATTGAAGGTGTCTGCTCAATATACAGCAGCGTTTTTGAGGCCAGCAGTTTATCAAGGCCCAAAGAGGGATTGGACAATTTTATATGGATAACAAGAATATGCAGCATTATAAGAGTTAATACTAACAAAAACAGTGTTGGAAAGGGATATTAAACATGCTTCAGGGCTTAAGCCAATCTCTAACTATTCGAGACCAAGAAATGAGACCTGATGTAGGGAGCAGATTATCCCCCATCTGCCCACTGTGGGGTTTCCTTCATCTTTCTCTGAAGCATCTGGTGCTGGCTTCTATTGGAACTGGGATACTGGGCTAGGTGGGTTGTGTCTCTGCTTCTCTCTGGCAGTTCCTAGGTTTTTCTCCCTGTCGTTCTGAATAACCATTCTCTCTTGGAGCAGGGCCCATTGATGTGTTGGTGAGTACTTCATCGTCTCTGTTCCCTGTATGACTGTCAGATAGCATAATGCATAGTGTTTAAATTCCCAAAAGTACTACAACTGTTTCAAGTCTGAATGTTGACCATTACATCTGCCCCTTTCTCTGTCCCACCAGCATAAAACTTTACTATTCCAACCTCTATCCAGAGCCCTAATGTAGATGTGGGTAATTACTGATTAAACCTTCAGCTAACAAATCCAGATGTGCACATATGTTTATATTGATGCATCTGGTTGCATAGGGAAATACCTGTGTACCAGACAGCTTGGCTCAGGGAGCAATCTGGAGCAAAGGATTCTATATCTAGGATAAGAATGAATTATTTTGGTCTCTACTGGCCTAATGTCATATTGCTAGAATACAGATGTAGAGAACATAACTTCTGACCACACTTACTTCTCCTAATGATAGGCATGGCATACAGAAATTAAAAAATCTTAAGGTGAAGTTTTAATACTTAGTAGAAGGCTGTGCCTTTGAACCTGGTTTGAGAGAACCATGCCCCATTAAACTCAGGGAAACCACCATTTAGTAGAACCAGAAGCCATATGTTGGGAGGCTGAAACAATGACAGGTAAATGGGAAGCGCATCATCTCAAGAAAGCACCATAAAAGCTTTTTAAGATGATGATGAAGTGGAAAGGTTACAGTCAGTGCTTAAAGTGACCTGTATTGAGCACTTGTTTGGTGTATTTCTCCCGTTTTTGCTATGCTGTGGACACCCACTTCTCATTGCGTATGCTGATGGTGCCCTGATGCAGCAGTCCAGTTGGCAAGAAGGGAACACTGTGCAGGAACACTGTGCCAGGGCACAAATGCAGAATTTTTTCGGTTGTAACACTGCAGTTGGCTCTGATGGGAGTAGAATCAAGCTGCACATCTGTAGGTCAGTCATTTTGTTGAGGAATGAGTTAATTTTGATATATTCAGAGTCTCCACTTGTGATGTTGAATCAGCTTTGTTACCTTGTTCTGAGAATTATTTTTACCATGTACAATTGCTTTGAACTTAATATTTCTTATTTTTAGCTGAAGTGTAAGGAGATATGGAGTCTAAATGGCCTGGTAAAACATCTATTTAGCAAGCAGCTTCTGAAGGACAAGTGTGTCCGCTGTGGTAACTGGGAAGAATTTCCACTCAGCGAGGAGCAGAAGTTGTATGCAGCCACTGACGCTTATGTGGGTACCAGTAGAGAGCTCCATTCCATGTTTTAACTATTTCATTCCTCTTAATACGTTATTTGCCGACCTTTCTAATGTCTTTTGGCTGTGGTACTCACCAACATGAATGTAATTCAGATTCCTCGCAACAAAATGGTTAGTAATCTTTGCCCCGCAAAACACTCTATAAAGCTTCATAGTGTTGGTGACTGAGCTGTGGGCAGTCTGGCCTAGCGTTTGGAGCAAGAGTCCGGCCTACCAGTTAGAGCTGAATCCAGACAGCATAGGTACAGGCGCGAAGCCAAGGGTTGTAGCTGGGTATCAAACCAAAGCCTAAGCCAAAGGGTGAACTACTGTCAGTCAGAAGGCAGAGCCAAGGGTCTGAGCTGGTAGTCAGAAGTCAGGAAGAATCTGGGAGCTGGAGCTGCAGCAGGAACAGGCAGTGGCTGGAGCAAGGCTAGAGACAGTGAAGGCAGGTAAGCGCAGCTGTGGTTAGGAATGTGTTGAGCAGCTCCTGAGCTTAAGTATCAGCCTGTTGACTCCTTCAGCCAATCAAGTGGTGCAGTTGACTCCTTCAGCCAATCAAGGCCAGCTGCACTCATTAGGTTGCCAGAAGAGTGGCTCTGCTGCAGGCTGGCCCCTGACACACTGTGTAGGCTACTGTCTAACCCTTTCAGTTCTTGGTTGCATTTTAACCCGTTTATTCACTGGAGGCTGTTCTCCAAGGTATTCTCGCCAAGTGGGTCTGATTTGTGAATATTCTATAAAACTGTACAGTTTAGAAGTATAAACCCATAAAACTTAAAAAGTTAGGATTAAAGTTGCCTAAACAGCAGCATTGCCTTGTTGCATCTTCAATAATAACGTCAATTCTGTGGATCAGAATAGGAACGGCAAAGAAAAATATCAAACTTTTGTCAAGTCCTAATGACCAGAAATGATACCATCCCAATATAAATTTTTATCATTTGGAACACTAAGGACACAGTCTATTAGCAGGAAAAGTTATCCCTCAGAGAAGTAGCAAGAGCCCATTCAGTCAGGCATAATATCCAATAGAATAAATGTTCTGTTAGTTTTGGAAACAATGCTTAATTATCCATTAGAAAAGGGGATGGGGGACAAATGGAGGAGTGGAAAGGTCTTACTTCACTGAACAGTTGCATATGGGAATGAAGTAATTACAATGTCTAGCACTTTACATCAATAGATCTCAAAGTGCTTTGCAAAGGAGGTTATTATCATGTCTGTTCTATAGAACAATTTTTCTGCCCAAAACTCCTGGCAGCTACCCCAGGGACTCCCCTCACATCTCAGGACCTCATCTTTCTCCTACACCAATGCTTTCTCCCTCTTCTCCCTGGGAAATTCATGAAACCAACTGAACCCGGGAGCCTGACTCTCCCTCTCCCCAAACCCTGCCCTCCTCCCCTTTGGCCCCTAACGCCTCTCACTCCATCAGGCTGGGGTAGGTGGGGAGAAGTGCCCACTTGGAGTACTTGGTCTCAGTAGCATCAAATTCGTATCCATCATAATACTTCCATCTCAAATGATGACCTGACCACAGTGGTTTGTGGTTCAACATTTCCAGGCTAGACTATTGCAATTCTCTCTGCCTGGGTTTAGGCAAAATGTGGAAAGAAGGTACAGCTGGTAGTCTGTCTCCTCACTGAGATGAGCTGAAGAGCATATTGTTTTATACAACATTTAGGTATAACCTTGAACAAGGCACAGGAAGAGTCTTTTCAACAGCAACTCCAAGACTGAGAGTCCAAGCCTCACTCTATGTGAAGTTGCTTATTGACCAAAGTGCAGTTCTCCTCATTCTCAGGAAACGTTGGTTTTTCTAATATACCTGGAGATGAGCAGTGAACCAGAGATTTATAGAAACAATTTCTTTTGAGTTCACTTACGAGACTTATCAGGAAGTTTACGAGGAACAGTAATTGTTGTAGTTCCGTTTATTATTTTATATAGCACGGTAGATGTCCATGAGGCTCTTTATTAAATGAAAATAGAGGACATGGTCTGCCCACATTTTGTGTCCTGTGGAACACGGAGGCAGATGATATTAATCTGTTAGCCACGCCATAATCCAGTGGTTCTCAACCTTTCCAGACCACTGTACCCCTTTCAGGAGTCTGATTTGTCTTGAGTACCCCCAAGTTTCACCTCACTTAAAAGCTGTTTGCTTACAAAACCAGACCTAAAAATACAAGTGTCACAGCACACTATTACTGAAAAAATTGCTGACTTTCTCATTTTTACTATACAATTATAAAATAAATCAATTGGAATATAAATATTGTATTTACATGTCAGTGTATCGTATATAGAGCAGGTTAAGCAAGTCGTATGAATTTTTAGTTTGTACTGACTTCACTAGTGCTTTTTATGTAGCCTGTTGTAAAACTAGGCAAATATCTAGATGAGTTGAGTACTCCTTGGAAGACGTCTGTGTTGATTTAGCCAGTAACGTAGACATGGCCCTTGTGTTGATCTGACTTTCTGTTGTAGACTGGGCCCATGGGTGCAGAGCAAAGGCAGTTTGAGTGACTTGTTTAGCAAGAGCTTAACTCAGCATTTGCTGTGTTTCTAACTTTTTTTTAAAATAAATGAACACACCTCTAACGTCTTGAGGTAATATTCACTAAAATCATTGATATGTTCCTGCACCCTTAACTTTACCTTAAAGTGTTAGGCTAAATTGTATTTTGTCTTGAGTTCTCTAACTTAATGTTACATTATTGTCATTGTTTGGAACAAAAATCCTTTACTTAGTGTTAAATAGAATTTACATCTTGGATTGGAGAATAAATTTGTAGCCTCTGCAGTTTGTTTTAGGCTTTTTCCAACCATGGAAGGAAAAAAAAATATAAAACGTGATCTGTATGGAGTCTGAAGCATTGAATTTGTTTTGCTTTTCTTCACAGGCCGGCCTCCTCATTTACCAAAAACTGGAAAATATGAATAACTGTGGTCAGAGGCTCTGTAGTATAAAAACCGGTAAGTTGCAAATTCAAAGAATAAAGAATGTGTGTTTTTTCTAATTGGACATTGAACTGTTTGGAATTTAGAGATGGCTTACAGGGTTCTTTGATCACCTGTATCACCTGGGTATCTGAGTGTTTTCCAGAAGGGGCAGTAAGTGACATGAGAGTACAGTCTCATCGTTCTGTGGTGTGTGCCCAAATTCAATAAGGGGGCTGGTAAGAGATCTCACTCTTGTTTACTTTGCTATTCCACACCATAATAGGGTCAGATGCTTGAATAAACTGTTGGTCACCTTAAAAAGAAAAGGAGTACTTGTGGCACCTTAGAGACTAACCAATTTATTTGAGCATAAGCTTTCGTGAGCTACAGCTCACTTCATCGGATGCATTCAGTGGAAAATACAGTGGGGAGATTTATAGCATGTTGAGTGCCATCTCACGCATTTGTGAGAGAGATGGAAAAATACCACAGTCTCTCCTGCTTCTCATCCTGCCGTGGAGTGAGATCTGCCAGAGCTGGTCTTTTTTTCCTCATAGCTCAGGAGATGCAAATATCTCATGGAATACCAGCAAACTGTAAACTTCGGCTTTGTCCTAGTGGCACACAGCGTTTGATTTTTTTTTTTTTTTTAATATATATAGGTTATTAGATTTAATGGGAAATGTCACAGCTGATTTCTCTGAGTTTGCTTCATTTCTGCTGAGTTAGAGATCTTGTCCAGATTTTCTAAAAAGCTTGTTACCGAGTAGTTCCTATTTAGGTACCTAAATATATGCCCAGATTTTCAGAAGAGCTTGTCTCCCATTTACACGTTCAGAAATAATGAGTTAAGCTAAAAATCTTAGTGTTGCTTTTGACCAGAGAAAGCCGTGTGGAAAAGGTTTTATTCTCTTTCTATGCAGGCTGTACCCTTATTTTTCCTGTGATGACCATGCAGCAGCAATCCTGCCTTCTTGATCACAAGGCTTAATTTTTGTGACCTCTCTTAGCGGATTTGTCTATATTTGCAGCTTGTGCATGATGCAGCTGCATGTTTGCTCACTTACTTTTTATGAACTTTAACAAATTAAACACCTTTTAGTTTATGATACTAAAGTCAATGGGACTACTCATGTTTAAAGTTGCATAAGTCTTTGTAAGGGTCAGAGCCTAAGAACATTTAGTCTACATGTGTGGGCTATTCACCCTGTAGCATGGAAGTGTGCTATCCATGCGGCGGAACATACATAAGTGGCCTGACAGCTCAAAAGTGCTGTGACACAGTGTCTCCCATTGGCTCAAAGTGAAGAGTCTGTGAGTGAGGGGGATGGAGCAAGCAACCAGTCAGCACAGGGCAGAGAAAGTCTAGAGTCAAGACTGTATGATGACTATGTTGGTATCTGCTCATCCCTGTGGCAATACTTGGTAGGCTACTTCTGTGTCTGTTCCTGCTGAATTTCTTTGGCCCTTTGGGCTGGCTCCACATGGCTCAGGGGAGGGAGTGCTGCACGGGTCCTGGTGCCCCCAGGAAGAGGTGGGGTAACCTTTGTGCAGTTCTGGGTCTGAATGGTGCTGGTAGCGATGTTTTGTCCCAGCTGGGTCCCATTTTCCCCTTCCCCTCACTGTGGAGCACCTCATCAGGCTGCTTCTGAAAATGGGAAATAGACAAAGCTTATAATTATAATTCACTATAGCAACCACTATTTCTCTTGAGTCCATAACTATTTCGTAAGCTTATTTGCGTATGAGAGGTTTTATGTAACGAAACTTCACTGACATTGACTTTTTCAGATGGGGAAATGTTGCCCAATGAAGTCAAGAAGCAACTGTCCTCATTAGCTGAAGAAATGGTGGAGCTGGCTAATGGTCTTCCCAGCACTTTTGGACAACTTAAAAATATGCAGAGGTTAGATGTTGCTCAAATCTGCTTCCTCTTTATCTTTGAAATGCCTGTCAGTGGTATGTTCTTATATCTGTACTACTGGTATCTAATCCAGGACACCCTATCTATAGTTACAGATCCATGTGTATATTGTGGTGGGTGAGGGCCTCCTGGGGTCCCCACCAGACCACAATATGGGCTGCTAAGAGTCCTTCCCCGGCTGAAGGCATACAAGGGATTCTCCAAACAAAATAAACAAACAAACAACAAAAAAAGATTCCTTTTCCTCTTCCTGGCCTGGGAGAGGGTTCATCTTATCTGCAGGCTCTGGTATCCTTGATCTGATTTAGGGTCTGCCTTCAGCTGCTCCTTTTGGTAATCCTCACTTTATACCTGGTCCATATAGTCTCAGGGATGGTAGAGTCTGCCACTGTCTCTTCCTCTTTGCCAGTCTATCCTGTGTTGCCAGCTATATCCAAGGCATAGCAGTCTTCCCCTAATCACCACCCTTCCTGTGGCAGGCTTTCCCTTTTTAAGCTTTGTGAATTCAGGCAGAGCAAGTCTTGCAGTCTGTCTTGTTAGTACTGGCTGACCCCATGAGAGCTCGTTGAGGTACCCCTCCCAATGTGTGTACCCCCCCTTTCTAAAGAAACTTCAGTCCATGAGAAAACTTCACTTTTCTGCTCGTAAGATACAAGAATGCAACTTTTCCTTGTGTAATAGCAGAGGATTGGTGATTTAGCACTGCCAGCCATGTTCTGTAGGACTCTTAAAATCGGAAGGGAAGCCTGTGAACCCGGGAACTGTGACAAAGCCTACCTTAAGCAATTGCTCAAGTGACCAATGAGTTTTGGATATGTAATGTAACTAGCCTTCTAGTCAAGGTGGGACCTAGCTCTACTCAGTGCGTTTGGGAATTGAGTCTCAGGAGAGGTTGTTGCCTAAGAAAGGTGGTCTCACATAGGTTTCAGTTTACGTAGCTGATTACTAGTTTCAGGTTGCTTCTTACCATTCATTATTTAAATATGATTGTTAATAGCTTGATAGAAGTGGTTCCATCTAGGCCTGATAGAAAAAGATGTAGAGCAGAATGTCATCTGCGCATTGATACTCTATCACCGGGACATCCGTCCTCTTCAGCCTGAGGGCCCAACATGATGTTTCAGAGAGTCAAGAGCCCATGATCAAATCTTCAGTTAGTTCTCTTATAAACCAAGTACAAAAAACTGATTACCTAATCATTTGCATCCGAAAGTTTCTTTACCCCATCAACTTCTTGATTTCCAGTGGCTACAATAGTCTTCATGATCAATACTTACTTAGTATTTGTGAGCTGAAAATGTTTGTTCATAGATGTGTAGGCACTCAAAGTGACAGCGTTTCTTTGAGTGCTGGTTCCTATGTGTATTCCATTGAGCGTACGGGTGTGCTCCAGGCCGCTGAGACTGGAGAATTCTTGCAAGCATTGTCCGTTAGGTCATGTCTGCACCCCTGACCTCCTCATGCTCCATACCAAGGATAAAAGGGATGGACAGACTGACTGCCCTTCCAATTCCTTCTCACCACCGCATGGCCTGAGTTCGAACCTCTGGTACCCGAAGCTAATATATTTAAGCAGTGTAACTGCATGATGAAAACTGTTTTCCCTCCAGAAATATAAGTATTTTATATTGATTTTTGGTTGAGGAAAATTTTGTATGCATGTAAAGATTATTTCCAGCTGGAACAACAAAGCTGCATCTATGAAGTTTTGAGGAAATAGAGGAGGGTTATTTTTCTATATGTTAGAATTATCATTAAGGGCAAGAACTGCCTTTAAAAAGCCACTGGTAAGATATACAAAAACCGTTTATTTACAAAAAGAAAAGGAGGACTTGTGGCACCTTAGAGACTAACAAATTTATTAGAGCATAAGCTTTTGTGAGCTACAGCTCACTTCATCTCATGAAAGCTTATGTTCTAATAAATTGGTTAGTCTCTAAGGTGCCACAAGTCCTCCTTTTCTTTTTACGGATACAGACTAACACGGCTGCTACTCTGACCCCATGTCATTTATTTACAGCTTTATTTAATTCTCCTTTTTTCCCCCCTAACAGAGCTGTAGAAATATTAACCGATGTATCAGGAAATATAGGTGCCTTAAGAAACGTGTTGCTTGGTGAACCCAACCCCCAAGCAGAGCTGGGGAGCAGCTGTGTTGCAGCGCCAACGAATGCTGAAGTTGTGTCTACCGTTGTTGAAGACGAAAAGGCCGAAACGCCTGAATTTCCTACAAGACTTCAAGATGATATAAATAATGACCTTGATGGTGATATGTTACTGTGTGTCAGTGAGAGAGACCTGACTAGTGGTGAAATGGAACTTAGTAAGCCTGAGCAGAAAGATGGAACTGCAGACAAAGGATCTAAGGAGGATACAGATAGAGACTGCTTAATGTCACTGGACATTACTGAATTCGAACTTCAAATGTTGGAACTTAAGGCCAACCAAGAAATTCTAAACGAAGCTGCCTTGCCTGAGGTAATGGATTAAAATCCATAGAAATGATGAACATTACCTGGAAAAGTGATCTTACTGTTAATTTACCAAGGGATTTTAAAGAGTTGACTCACAGAGTGACAGTTAATGTTTGCGAGAGGAAGGTATATTGAATTGCTTTCCCAAAGCTGAATTTAAAGTTTTAGTCTGGTCAATATCCATGAAACCTGTCGATCTCTGAGCCTCTCTTTAGTGCTGCTGCCACTTAGATCCTTGTTACTTCACCACATACACAAACCTTAGATTCACTCTTTCTACTGTGAATAATATGGTTACAATATGAATTTTAGGGGGTACAGGGCCAAATTCTGTCCTCACAGTTCTCATGGTAGTCACTGGAGATGTGCAGGTGTCTCACAGGGCATGATTTGGACTACAGAGTTCATAAATTGCAGCCCTTTTAGGGGCTTCTCTTTCATGGTGATAAATTCCTTTTAGTTTCTGTAATTGATTTTACTTTATTTTCTTTTCATTTGCGTGGTTTGTCTGTATCCAGGTTAAATGGAATCTTCTAACTTCTATGGAAATTTGCTGTGTTCTCCTAAAATTTTTCCAAACATGTTTTACTATGGGAAGGGTCCAGACCAAGTTGTTTAGCTAAGAGTTATCTGCAACTAACACTTGAATGACATATAAATAATGTGTCTAGTAGAGGAATAGAGGGCGGTGGACTTTCAGTGAAATAAAGGCTTATTTTGAAATATTCCTTTAGGAACCATATTCCAGAGAGAATGAACAAAATCTTGGTTGTGTCATTGAAAGTGATGAAGAACTGGAAATGGAGATGCTCAAAGTAGGTGCCATAATGTTTGTTTCCCTCGTCGAGGTAGTTGCTAGTCATTTTGGTTGGAGGAAAAGAGAGGGGAAAGACTGTTTATTATAGTGTAGGGTTTTTCCCAGCATATTCTAAGTATTTTTGACAAAAAACAGAAATCATCCTGTCATATTCATTCTCTTCCTCCTCACTCTTGCCCTAATCCAGCAAAGCACTGAAGCACAGGCTTCAGATTAAGCCTAGGAACCATCCCATTGAACTCACATAATTAAAGTTAATCAGCTCTTTCTTGATAAGAACATAAGAATGGCCATACTGGATCAGACCACAGGTCCATCTAGCCCAGTATCCATCTTCTGACAGTGACCAGTGCTGGATGCTTCAGAGGGAGTGGCCAAAACACGGCAACTATCTAGTGATCCATCCCCTGTCGACCAGTCCCAGCTTCTGGAAGTCAGAGGTTTAGAGACTCATAGAACATAGGGTTGCATCCCTGACCATCTTGGCTAATAGCCATTGATGGACCTATCTTCCTTTCACAAGCTATCCCGACACTGTTCTTTTCTGTTAGGTACATGTGGCAGAGCGAGCTTTATTTACATTCTAGTCTATGAAATGCTGGCTGATGAGTGAGTGAGTAGGAAGGGATATTTTAGTAGTAAAGTACTGCTAAAATACTCAAGGTTTTCATATTTTACTTGTCCCACTGAACGTCACATCACATCAGGAACTGCATTCTTTCTCCATCTATTTTTCAAGTCATTAGAAATAAACAAGACTGTTTTTCCATAATACCTCAGTTCCCACCGCTCCCAATCAAATTCACAGAACAGAATCCCAAAGGAAGAGAGAGAATCAGAAATGAAAGCTGTTGCCCAGCAGTTTAATCACACGTCCTGAAAGAAGCTATTTAACACTGAACAGATGTTCTTAGAATTTTGAAAGACAGCCTCAGAGGAAGGATTGGAGAGAGTATCATGTATTTGGCAAATGAGAATAACCATTTCTTCTTCGAGTGATGTTCCCTATATGAATTCCAGTCGTCGCTGAGTATGTCAGCGGAGGGGATGGAGGGTGGGTACTGGAATAGTAATAGGGATCACATATCTCGAAGAACCTCCAGTTACAGGTAAGCAACCTCCTCTTATAAAAGGTAACATTTAGTGGAATTTAAATTAATAAAACAATAACATTTGAAGGTATGTTGCTCTCTAATAATGGCAATTTCTCACATGTGTGCTTCTTTGTGCCTCATGCTGAAGGATCAATAAAACAATAACATTTGAAGGTATGTTGCTTCTTTGTGCCTCATGCTGAAGGATCTGAGCCAGGCCATAATTAGAGTAGAATTCATGTGCCCTTGAGCAATATTGCTTCAAACAAAATGGCAGGTTTTGTTCATTATTGTTTCCCCTTTGTACAATAAGGGTTAACTTTTTACTTCCAATTTTCAGTCTATAGAAGATGTAAACAATTCTAAAGTCAGTCGAACTGACTCTATCTCCATTGAAACCAAGAGAATTGATGGCACAAAATTTCGCCTTTCTCCAGATGATGATGAAGATGAAGGCATTGAGGAGGAGGAAGAGGAGAGTTGGGGTAAATACTGAATTACAATATGAAGTATGAGTAAAAGTTGACAATAACTCTGTACTGTGTGTAAAAGCAGACTTGGAAGGTAGCTTAAAGCCCTGTGTTTAGTTAACTGCTCATGGAGACACCAAGCAGACGTTGAAGTTCTGAAGTAGTGCTCACTGATACTAATGAGACCAAAAGATAACTTGGAGTCACATTTTGTCCTTGGCTAAGCGTAGGCGATTCCTTGCAAACTAAAACTGGAAACATTCAGAACAAGGTAGATGGGATGGGGAATCGTTTGTCCCAAACTGATGCCCTCCGCACAGCCTGTCTTCCTCTCATCATGTCTGTCTCACTGCTCTGTGAAGGCTCCATCTGTGGGCGTTGGGTGGTCGACCTTCTCCCTGGTGATTTTGACCCAATGGTTGGGAACTGGTTATGTGGAGACAGGGCACATGGGAAGTGCTGCCGAAGTGAGTCCTGGCCTGCCCAACCTTTGCACCCTGAAATCTTCCCTTCAGCTAGGCAGTCTCCACCCCAGCCATTTCCAAGGAGTTATATTTAACTGATGTGTTGCAAATAGAAATTGGTAAGAATATGCTAAGGTTATTGGTTGCTAGTATTTCATAGGGTTATATAGGTTGAGAGAAGTAATCTTACCAACTTGGCATGAAGAAAGAGATTCATGGTTTCATTCCTAACAGTTTTCAGAGGAACGAAAGCTCATGCTCAAATAAATTGGTTAGTCTCTAAGGTGCCACAAGTACTCCTTTTCTTATTCCTAACAGTGTTTTGCAAATTTGCTAGACTTTCGTGTTAGAGCTGCGTGAATCCGGGGCCCAGGAAATGAACAGCAACAAACTTCCTAATCTCTTTCAGTCCATGGCTTTTCACTTGTAATAAAGCTAAATATGCATGTATTGTTTTTCCTTCAGATCCTTTGTTGCCTGCGCCTAGTGAAATAGAAGTCACGTGCTTAAAGACATATTTTGGGCATTCTGGTTTTAAACCGTAAGTGTGTTATCAATTATCATATAATGTGTGTGTCCAGTTCCTATCTTTTGTTTAATTTAGAATGATTTTCTATTGTTGCTTATGATAACCACCAACAGTAAGCTTAGTGTTGTAGAAGATGCACAAAAAAGGCCTAACCCCGGCCTTGAGGAGCTGTCAAAGTAAATCTCATAGTGAGGTACTTATATCAAAGCTCTTATAGAGTAGACATCCATGTTCTTGTCACTTAGCAGGCCCAGGTAATTAAGGTGTTAAACTTGAAATAACAAAGGTAATTTAGATATCTCAAGATATTTCAAACAACAAGAAATTTAAATTACTAACTCTTGTCACAGTAAACTTCATAACTGAGGTGGTTGTTTTTTCTTTTTTTCTTTGTCTGTTAGACACATAGTATGGAAAAACAGAGTGCGGTAATGCACAAAGGGCAGGGATAAACAGATAGCTTTACAAACAGTGCTAGTATACAGAGGATAGATTTCTAAGGCATCGTAACCGATATGCAGTATTAGTTTATATACATCATGTAACAAATTGCCTAGAATATTATGTAGTAATTTAACTGTCGGTATGTAGCAACTACTTGGTAACCTAGGAGCAATAATGTGCATATTTCCGTGTTGCTGTAACTGTGTTGGTCCCAGGATATTAGATATGGGTGAGGTAATATCTTCTGTTGGACCAATAAAATGCATTCCCTCACCCACCTTGTCTCTCCAGTAATGTGTATGACTTCTGCGCACTGTAACACATCTAAAATTTATCAGTGTTAGATCATTATATGGTCTTATTTTCAATATAAATATGATCAAATAATTCTTAAAATGCCGTATGTCTTGCAATGGTCATGGAGCAAATCTTATGAAAAATTGGTTTGGGGAAAAATCAATTTGGTAAATTCTGAGACACAATAAGGAAAATTTGGATTTTTCTCAACTTTATTTACATTAATACCCTCTCTTCAGTTGCACACAAAAAGGACCAAAGCTGTGTTTGGCAGCAGTGTATCATTTCTCTGCCTTTTGTGGTGAAAATAATTGAGAAACCTATTTGAAGATCAGCTTTTAATAACATACTGGCATCTACTGCATTTGTAGTCTTCCATTAATCATAGAATCATAGAATATCAGGATTGGAAGAGACCTCAGGAGGTCATCTAGTCCAACCCCCTGCTCAAAGCAGGACCAACCCCAACTAATGATTGAGGCAAATCCTGCTTGCCTTACTCCTACACGAAGTCCCAATATGACTTCAGTGGGACTTCTTGTAGGAGAAAAACAACCACGGTTCGGCTGTAAGTAGGGAATGGGAGAGGGAGCACACCTAGAATACGAAAAAGGTGGTTTCAAGTGTGGTTTTATTGAACTGACAGTTTTACTTTAAATTCTAATGTTACACATGTGGATGCCAGATACGTTGTATAGTAGCACAAGATACAGTTCCTTATAGGCAAATAAAAATTAATCAATATGTATTTAATTTCAAGGGTCCAGTGGAAAGTGATCTCTTCTGTTTTACAAGGCAGAAGAGATAACCTTGTTGTCATGGCAACTGGTAAGTACGCACCTTACGTTAAAGGAACATATGTAAGCTGATTCTATGACTGCTTTGTAGGGAACATGATCTAAAAATGTCTTGCATGGATTTATTGAGTGTTAGGAAGTACAATAATGGGGAAAGTGAGGCGCAAAATAAGGCTTTGGGGAGGAATTAGAATTTCAGGTATTTAATACTTCTGTCATTAGAGGTATGTTTTCTTTTTAAGGATATGGGAAGAGCTTGTGCTTCCAGTTCCCACCCATTTACACAGGAGGTACAGGAATAGTCATCTCTCCTCTTATTTCTTTGATGGAGGACCAAGTGCTGCAGCTTGAGTAAGTAATATAACAGTAGCAGGCAGATGCCATGTACCTACAGAAGCCGACAGATGCTGCATCTGCCATTTGTTGGTGTGAAAGGCTGCATCTTTGACACTCGCTTTTAGGCCCATCTCGTCTGACCCCCCTGAATAGCACAGGCCAGAAAACCTCGCCCAGTGATTCCAGCATCCAGCCCAATAACATCTAGTTGAGCTGGAGCAGATCTTTAAGAAGGAGACGTCCAATCGTGATTTAAAGACGTCAAGTGATGTAGACTCCAACACATCCTTCTTGCCTTCACTCTCTCCATTTCACCCTTGGGAATACAAAGCAGTGTTGCTGCACCCATCTCTGTTCCCTCCTGCCATCAGAACCCACCAGTGTCTTCTCCGCTAGTGAATAATTGGAGAATGTCTTGTAAATAATACATCGTTAACATTAAAGATTAGCAAAAAGAATGAGGAGGACTTGTGGCACCTTAGAGATGAACAAATTTATTTGGGCATAAGCTTTCGTGGGCTAAAACCCACTTCATCGGATGCATGCAGTAGAAAATACAGTAGGAAGATATATATATATATACACACACACACACACACACACACACACATACAGAGAACATGAAAAAATGGGTGTTGCCATACCAACTGTAACGAGACTAATCAATTAAGGTGGGCTATTATCAGCAGGAGAAAAAAAACGTTTGTAGTGATAATCAGGATGGCTCATTTCAGACAGTTGACAAGAAGGTGTGAGTAACAGTAGGGGGAAAATTAGCATGGGGAAATAGTTTTTAGTTTGTGTAATGACTCAGATTAGGTTATAGTTAGTTTAGTAGCAGTTCTGCTCATTTGGCAGCTTCTGGTCCCCCTTTTTTTGTCCAGTGAGTCTTTTTCCTCAGATGTTCCCACCTTCCTGCCCTTATGGCGGATGCTAAGCCCTTGGGGTTCAAACTCTGCCCTTCTGGTCATGGGCTGATGCCCTGGACTGATGGCCACCTCAGATGCTATTTGTGCTTGAGGGGATCTCATGAACCCTCTTGCTGTTCAGTCCTCAGCTCCTGTTTTACTAGGACCAGAAATTCAAGGGAATCTCTCTTAAAATGGCACCTGCTAGACCAGTGCACAAGGGATACCTCAGAACCTGAAAGGTCTTCTCTGGACTTCAAGCAATGATGCCTGAGCCAGAAGTTGTTAGAAGCTGAAGCTGGACAAATTCAGGCTACAATTAAAGCACAGTTTTTTTAACCAGGAGGTTAATTAGCCACTGGGACAACTTACGTAGGATGTGGTGGCTTCTCCATCGCTTGAAGTCTTTAAATCAAGAAGCAATGTCTTTCTAAAAGTTTTATAGGCCTCGTGTGAAAATCACTGGGTGAAATTTTCTGGCCTGTGCTATGGACGAGGTCAGGCTCAATGATCACAATAGTCCATTCTACCTTTAAATTCATTTAATATTAATGTTGAATTTTCTGGATTTATATTGCTGCTTTTTTTTTAAATCTAACTACAATACACCTGCCATTATTTCTCCTAAATTACCGAGATGTACTCTCAAGGAGAATTACACTGGCTCAGTGTCTTCCATCCTGTGCAAACCAGACAGGGAAAATGCCTTTACCAAAGATGGAATTTTTGTATTAAGAACTTTCCTTATATTAGCTGTTTTGCGCTGCAAACTATGGTATCATGTAGATGAATGGCTATGATGTAGGTGAGTGGCTCGACAAACTAATCTTGCTGCCCACAAGCACCTGGGGACAAATACTGGCCAGATTATGTTTATGTGTATCTAACCTGTTATCTAGACATTATATTGCTCCCATCAATGTAATCTGAGTGCCTGTTTATTCACCACCTGCCCACTGGCTCATTAATTTTGGGCGCTGAAGAGATTTGATCTCTGCAGTCTCAGACACCCACTAATTCAGCTGTCAGTTTGGATGAGATCCATGTTCCAGTGCTGGAACAAATGGATAATTTAAAAAGCAATAAATCACCAGGCCCAGGTGGTGTCCATCCAAGAGTTCTGAAAGATCTCAACTATGAAGGGGCTGAGCTGGTAACAAAAATATTGAATTGCTCATTAAAAACAGCTACTTTACTGTATGGTAGCAAGTTTTGTACCTATATATTTTAAAAGGATCCAGAGGTGATCCAAGGAATTATAGACGAATGAGGCTTATATTTGCATCTGATATATTGGCTGACACAATAATTAAATAGAATAGTAAAACACCTGGAAGATTATGGTACGGTAGGGTTTAACCAGCATGGTTTCTGCAAAGGAGAATTAAGTCTCATTAATCTGTTAGAATTCTCTGAATAGATCTGTAAAGTAGAGGTAAATGAGAGCTGGTTGACATGTATTTAGACTTTCAAAAGGCCTTTGATAAGATCCTTCACAAGAGGCTAGTTATGGGGTGGGAGGCAAAACACTGTCATAGATCCTAAACTGGTTAAGAGACAAGAAACAAATTCACATGAATAAACCATATCTTGCTTGTGCTTTCTTCATACAGAATGTCAGGCATTGCAGCTTGCTTGCTTGGATCAGCTCAGTCAAAAAATGTGATAGGGGACATCAAAGCGTAAGTTTCACTACTTTTTAATCTCTCAACTGTCAGGTCCTGAATACAGATACTTAAATTGCTGGAAAGAATTTAAAAGAATTTAGCTAAATTAGCTAAAGTCGTGCTCGTGTTAATGAGCAGTGAAATAAGTATGAATTTTTCTTCAAGTGTTGATTTGTGGTGTGGTCCTTTTGGTCAGCAGAGTCTGTTGGGCCCTTTGCCTCCAATGGGAGGGCATGTGGGAGAGTGACCACGACTCTTACTGCCTGTGGCAGTGAGTTGGAAGGCAATTGTATTTCCCCTGCTTCCTGTGCTGTTATTTCTGTCAGACTTTGCCCCTAGCTCTTACTGGTTAGGATAGATCATTACTCAGTTAGCGTTAGATAGTTTTCTCTGCTTTATTGGCAGACTTTAGTTTCCTTTATTGCTGGCTGTCCCTGTGGCTCTGATCAAATTTTTCCTCCTCATGGCTGAGGCAAAGGCCTCAGGGTTTAAACCCGACCCCTCGTGTGATGAATTAGTGACTGTTCGGGATGGACTCACAAGGTGAAGGCCCTGTCCTCAATAGAAGCTCGGGTTACCAATCCGTCTCTGCCAGGACTTGATGTACTAGAGCAGCTGCTTGAAGTGCCATCTCGTGGAGTGTTCTGATGGGTAGTATTGGATTCTGAGCAGCAGCAGCTCTCCCCTAGATGTGGGTTGTAGTCTGTGCCTGTGCTGAGACAAAATCCTTTAGTGCCTGGTGAGCAGGGAATTCTACCCTGTGGTCCTGAGTCTCTGATACCAAAAGCAGGGAAGCTCATGGAAGTTGCTTCCAGTCTCCAAGACTGACCACTTCATCAACCACTTCAGCTCTGCTGAAGCCAACTCCCTTGCTGTCATGGTAGGCATGAGTGCCATTCAAAGGGAGGAGAGTGGCACTGGTCCTCCCCCTTGGAACCAGGGTGGGAGAAAAAGAGGAGCTGTCAGCCCTGCGGCTCCCCTGACACAGAAAGTCTGAGTCTGACCGCGCTGCGTCAGCCCGTGCTGCTGTGTCAGCCTGGCTGCCCCCGTGCCCATCTGGGAGCTGTCCACCCCAAAGGTGGCACTGGCTTTCTCAAGGAAAAGACATTTCAGGGTTTCCGTGCCAAAGAAACATTGCTCATCTTCAGCTGAGTGTAATGTGACCCCACAACCCTGGAATCCTCTCCAGACACGCATCAACCTTGGGTCTGTGCTTGGCATAGTGAGCCCTCCCAACCTCACTGGGAGCCATGCCATGACCAGGTCACCACACAGAAGGCCCTGGTCTCCTGCTCTAATAAGGTCCATGAACCTATGGGCTCCCATTGAGCTGGAGAACCCGGGAGAACAAGAACAATTAATCTGGCCTTCAGGGCTTCTCTCCTCAAGCTGAAAGACCTTGCTCTCCAAGTCCTGGCAGACAGCGCCACAGACGCTCTGGCAGTTGTGCCTCCCTGTGGCAGGGAAGGGGTTGCTCAGCCCCGGCACCCCCGGGATGACACACACCTAGTCCAGTCAGCATCTAGGAATTGTGTGAGGATACAACGTGCTCAGTGAGATCAGACCCTTTGGAGAGTGATGCTGCCAGTTTTTCACCTCTGCTGAGGGGCAGAGATTTCTTCTGAGATTTTCAGAAGCTCATAACTTGACCAAACTTGGGGAGACTTTCATGGGGATGGCAAAAGGCATATCTGACACTGGAGTGACATCATTCCCCGCACCAAATTTCTGGTCCCTGCTCCAAAGTGTGGAGATGCTTGAGGTTCAATTAAAATAGTTTTTTTTTTTGTAGCATGGGCAAAACATTGTAATTTTTTCTGACCTCCTTCTCAGAAGTGGTTGAACTGTTTTAACTAAACCATTCCAGAAAATTCAGCCTGAGGCAGACAACTGGCATGGGAAAACTTCAGACTGAATAGTTAAAGCTTGGCAAAGTGATAACCAACTGAAAACAGGGCCTAAAGTTGGAGAGTGTTAGGCAAATTTAAGTTTATGCATTGCTTCCAGCACAGCCTATGACTGACTTTTTTCCTTTGTCTTTCAGTCTATTTCCCTTTCAGTGTTACTGTTCTGTTTTATTTAATATTTGATCTTCTCTTCTCTTCCCCTTTGGAGTCTTTAAATCAAGTTTGGACATCTCTTTCTACCTCTTTAGCTCAGCCACCGGTTATTGGGCTGAATGCAGGAATCTCTGAGTGAGATTTCTGGCCTGGGGTATGCAGGAGATCAGACTAGATGGTCATAATAGCTCCTTCTGGCCTTAAAAATCTAAGAAATTCCTTTCCTTTTTCTCTTCCTGCCTTCCCTCCTTTGTTTCCATTCTCTCTACCCTCTCTCTGCATCATTCGTTTCCTCTCATGTTCCCCGTTCACAACTTCTCTGTATTGTTCCCACCTTCATCTTATCCGCTGTACTCTTTCATTTCAGTTGGATGAATTGTTTTGGATTTCTTTCAGCTGCTGCATATGACAATGTATTTTCCCAATTTTGTAGGGGCCACTATAGAGTTGTGTATATAACTCCAGAGTTCTGCTCGGGGAACTTATCATTACTTCGGGAACTTGACGAAACCATTGGTATGTTGTGGTAGGATACTTTTGGGAGCTGTGGGGAATTTACTCCTGGGGGAATTCTGTGCCACTGTGCAATGCAGAATCTGCACAGAATTACTGTTCCCTGCAGAATTTTATTTTTTCATGCAGAATTTGTGGTTTCCATCAAAATGCTTCCTGTTGATGAAAATCACAAATTCCAGCTCCACACACAGTGGGGCTCCCACTGTCAGCCCTGCACATGGCTGAGCTCCCGTTGACAGCCCAAGCCTCACCAGGTGTGGGGTTGACAGCAGGAGCCCTAGCCACCTGGGGCTGACAGTCCGAGCCACACTTGCCCTGCATGGAGCTGACAGGTGGAGCAGCATTTTGCAGAATTTTAAAATATTGTGAGTAGAATTTTTAATTTTTTGGCACAGAATTCCTCTAGAAATAGGAATTGGATTACGTTGCTTTTATTCAAAGGTCCTACCAGTGATGTGTTTTAATATTTTATTTCTCTGTATTTGTTTAATATGCCCTGTTTTGAGAATTTCTCAGCACTGTTTCTCAACACTAACAGCAAGTTCAGAGTCCATTATGGCAATCCCGACTGATTGGTGTCAGCAGACTCTGTTACAATAACATTAAGATAATTACTAGATATAGATATAGAGCGCGCATAATGTTCATTCTGCATGAAAAACCAGCTACTAAGAACTGGTATAATAGAAGGATCAGTGTAGGCTCTTCAGTATCGGTGTTGGAACATGCACTCAGTGTTCTCAGAAGTATCTTCAAGAAATTAAAAATAATAAGCATATATTAGCATTCTAATTTTTCAGAATATTACACTTGATAAATGCATGCACTACAAATATTGTGTCTAATAAACTATTTTTCTTACTAAACACAGTAAAGCCACTAATGCCCCAAGTGACCATCAGGACAACGCAAAATAATTCCAACTTCAAACAATCTTTGTGATTTCCCCAATTTAGTGCCCAGTGCAGTGAGATGGGAACAGCTTCTTGAACTCCATTGGAGTCAATAGGATTTGAGTGTGCTTGGTACCTCCAGGACACGGCCCTTAAATTGCAGAGTCCTTTATATAAACAGGCTGATAAAAGCACTGGTTGCAGAGACAAAGTGATCGTTCAAACCATAATATGTGATGCATGTGTTAGTATGAAGGGTTGCTTTAGAAGTTCCTCTCCCATCAGATTTACCTATACTCATGTTACTTCTTAAGAGGATTGGAGCAATCCTGGGAATTTCAGGCCTTATTTCAGTACCAAGGAAACAAAATTGATAGTAGCTATAAACACCTCGATGAATATTAGCAAACTGGCCTGAAGTCTTTGTTGGCACCAAAGGAGAGAGGAAGCATGCCTTGTTGTCTAGAAGTGGGGAGCTGATGTGACACACATCTTATGAGCGATGGACTTGAAGGCCAGGGACATGGTGAAGGGAAAAGTAGAGCAGAGGAGGAAGATCTGCGAAATCTCTCATGGCTTCGTATGAAAAAGGTCAATGTGGAAATGGATTTCCACTGGTCATTATGTTAGAAGCCATTTTAGAAACACACACAAACTAAAAAGAAAAGGAGTACTTGTGGCACCTTAGAGACTAACCAGTTTATTTGAGCATGAGCTTTCGTGAGCTACAGCTCAGGTCTTCTGCAGTTTCCACGGTATGCATCCGATGAAGTGAGCTGTAGCTCACGAAAGCTCATGGTCAAATAAATTGGTTAGTCTCTAAGGTGCCACAAGTACTCCTTTTCTTTTTGTGAATACAGACTAACACGGCTGTTACTCTGAAACACACAAACTAATTATACCTTTCCCTGGAATTACCAGGGCTCCCGTCTGCCTTGTAGCCAAGGGCTGATCAGACTTCACTGTAAAGTTTAACTTCAGTAAATGAGGTTTTTATTTTCTAGAACATTTTGTGTCCTTTCCTAAATCAGTGTCATATAACTTATGTGTTCATTTGTTGTGTTTTTTTTTTCCCCCAACCCCAGGTATTACGCTGATAGCAGTCGATGAGGCTCATTGTATTTCAGAGTGGGGGCATGACTTCAGAAATTCATTTAGGACTTTGGGTTCCTTAAAGAAAGCGCTCCCTTCGGTGAGGCTCCAGGATATAGCTCATTTGTAAATGAGATAAAAAAGGATGGTGTAAATTATGTTTAAAAGTAAATTTTTCTAGTAGGTTTATGATTTTTTTTCTGACATTGCTCTTCTTTAGACATGCTTGAAGCACTGAGAAATTTGAATAAAACTAGAATGCCCACCAGATACATTGTGTGCCCTGAAATACTCCTGTGCCATGTAAATTAGGGTGGCTACTTTTCAAGCCTTCATAGTGATGAAATATGCTTTCAGATGTATGCACCTGCATGTCCTATTTCAGTTCAAAGGAGATGGAAGTGTGTGTGTGCATCTGATGGAAGAACTTGATTTATAATGTATTCTCATTTATATTAATGCAGTGAATGGCTGTCAATATGCAGACCCTTAGTGATGTTTTTGTAGCCTTTTTGGAAAAGGACACATTTTAGTCATGGGGAAAATATTGGTCTGTGTGTAGGTACTTATACTTGGGCTCCCACCATTCAAGCAGGATTAGTTTTTTTTCACTCAGGTGCTAGTCTTAAAACATCTTATTCATTATGGTACCATACTTTCAAATTTGTGTATGCTGGAGTTGTGGGTACTTACTGCTTTTGAAAATTAGGCCCTTTGTTTAGGTGATAAAACACAGACAAAGCACCAAAATTTTTCAAAAATAGGAGCCTCAAGGTAGGTGGCTAAATATGGATTCAGGAGCCTAAGGGTGGGATTTTGAAAACCACCCCACTGACTTAGAAGCACAGATCTCATTGACTTTTGGTCACATAGGCATCTTTGAAAATCCTAACCATAGGTGGCTGAAATATGGACGTAAGAGCCTAACTTTTGACTCCTGTTTCTGAAGATCTTGTCCTAAGGTATCTAACTTTAGGCACCCATATTTGAAATTGTGTGTAATCCTGTTGAAGAAACTGTAAAGGTAATTGTCCAAATGCAGTTTGAAAAAATATATGTTTAAATACAGTTTCTATTTCTCCCATATAGACAGGTGAATGCCCGTTTGTTTTTATGGAAGGATTGCTAAAATATATTTCTTTGTGACACTAAAAAGTTCTGGGAAGTATAATATTGTCTCTATTCTTCAGAAGCATCAAATTTTCCAGGGACTATACGCAGATCAGGATATCTAGTCTCTTCCCATTTTTTCCCTTAACTTTGAATCACAATTTCAAAAAAAAAAAAAAAAAAAAAAAAAAAAAAAGCAAGAATGACGCATCTCAGATTTTGTTTTTTTTCCTTTCATCATTTCTCTCTGCTTTTTGTTTCAGGTTCCTATTGTTGCTTTAACTGCAACAGCGAGCCCTTCAGTTAGAGAAGACATAGTGCGTTGTCTAAACCTAAAGAATCCTCAGGTCACATGTACTAGTTTTGACCGACCTAACCTATACTTAGAAGTTGGACGAAAATCTGGACAAATCCTTCGGGATTTAAAACTGTTCCTTATTAAAAAGGAAAGGTGAGGCTTTAATGGTTGCTTGTTCTATCAGCTGCTGCTTTTGTATCTCAGATATTCTCAAACGTGTGCCAGTCTGGGGGTCAAAACCAAGAATAACAAAGTGGACTTGGACTGGTCTAGAGGCTAGGTTCTCTTCCTGGCTCTGCTGCTGAACTGCTGAGTGATCTTGGGCAAATCATTTCAGGTCTCTAGCTCTCTTCCCCTCCCACCATTTGTGCTGTCTATTTTATAAGTTCTTCAGGGCTTGGATAGTCTCTCGCTGTGTTTGTACAGTGCCCAGCACACAGGAGCACTAATCTTGGCATTCGTGCAATGCAAATGCTAATATTTAGCTGTAGAATGGATTACTTTCTAAACCATATTATGTGAAAAATAAGACGAGGATTATGCACAAATTCAAATTCAAGGTGATGATTTTGATTTCTAGCATTACGTTTTCATTTGCCTGGCTGCAAATGCAAAATCCCAAATGTGTTTCCTTACAGGTAGGCTGGCACAGACGATCTCTTCCTTTTTTTATTGACTTACGGATACACAAACACCAAAATGAAAGCCTGATATGTATGTCGGGTGAGCGGGAGAAGGTTGGGTTTTGGTGGCAGTCTCTGTAGTTCTGGATGGGTCACTACCGTTGTGTTGTGATTCCATTCATATGGGCAACATATAGCTCTGTATCTGTGTCTGCTATTTCTGTTTGTTTATTGTACTTTTATTTTCAGGGGAGGGTTCAGTTTTGTTTACAAGGGCAGCATGGCTGGAAAGTAGGGAAACAATGTGAGAGCTGTTGATCTGAGAAGATGTGGGGTGAAGGGTGGCAGGCTGAGTGGGTTGGAATAAGAATGTGTGCAGTGAGAGGAAAGAGAAGGGTGCAAGGCTGGGCAGGTTGGAGCGAGGGGTTGTGGGCAGGAGGGTGCCAGGCTGGGCGGGATGGAGCAAGGATGTGTAGAAGGGGACTGGGGGGGCGGGGAGTGTGCCTGGCGTAGAGAAGGGGAGTGAGTTGAGAGAGGTGGGCCACAGGCTGCCTGCCAGTGGGGAAAGATTTTCACAAGTTTTTGGCTCTTTTTAAAAATGCTTAGCACCCTCAGTCCCAGCAAGTGTATCTGAAAATAGTACTGTGATTCGCACAAAACGTGCACTAGAGAGAACATCACCCGGGAGAGTTGTAATGTGGCAGCAATATATGATATTGGTAAACCTTTAGAATTTTTCAGGTAACAAATACTATAGAAATGGAAGAGATCTTATCTTCTCTGAACTGCTTTGTATCCGACAAGATCCTTACTCTGGCTAAGAATCCAGGAAGAGATCCTTAGCTGGTGTTAATTGTCATAGCTGTATGGAAGTCGATGGAGTGATGGCGGTTTGAATCAGCTAGATATCTGCCCCCTAGAGAGAACATCTTAAAAATAAATGAGAAGACTAATGCAGACTTTGAAGCTGCTAATGCCCAAGATAATGAAGACTTGCTGCAAAATCTGCAGCCCTTAGTCTGCTGAGTCAGATGTTGAATGTGTGGTTCACAAGAGGCTTGTTTATTTATTATATTATTATTTTCCTTAGCTCTGCATATGAGTTTGAAGGACCCACTATCGTTTATTGCCCTTCAAGGAAGACCACTGAACAAGTAGCTGCTGAGCTGATGAAATTAAACTTGTCCTGTGGCACATACCATGCTGGCATGGGAATCAAAGCAAGGAAAGATGTTCATCACAAGTTCATGAGAGATGAAATTCAGGTATAAACTCGTACCACAGGACGATGTTCTGTAGGAAATGGGTTAGTTATTTCTTTGACGTGTACAGAGTGAGAGAATTTTGAAATATCAGTCTCTTTTTCAAATTTACTTTTACCTTTTACATTATGGGCAAGGAAACTATCTCTTGGATTCCATAGTCTGTCCACAGTGACATAATTTCTGACCTTCATGTTAACCTCATTTACTTTATAAAGATCTTAAACATACACGTCATCCTCAGTCTTTCCTGGCTGTACAGTCTACAGTGTATAATTAGGAGTGACTTTTCTCACTGCTAATGTGCAGTCATTCTGTCACATAGATCACAATAATGTCGCAGGAAATGAAGAGTACCCCATACCACTATTTTATAACATTCTACTTTTGGGTTGCTTGGTGGGTAAATTGTGTATTTTTAAATGGCCCATACTAAGCTCCTCTGTGTACACTTAGCGTCATTCACATATATTCTTTCTCTTGTCTTTCTGGGAAAAAGCCAAGGCAGGAGATGCATTTCTATCCATTATCCTATTTTGAAAATTAATATTATATCTTCAGGTTTTGACTAGTCCCTGAAGTGGAATATTATTTTGCTTAAATGCCATGTATTTCTGCAACAGTAAGATCTTCATGTTGCCATGGGAAATCATTAGGAGGCTGTAGAAAATTTCTCTTGAATTGTTCTGGGTTAATGAATGGAACTTCTGTGATTTATTGTGATTGTGTGCTGTTACAATTGAGCCTACAACTTTACCCGAATTGAGCTCAACTGTAAAAAGTATGTAAAATTCAAAAGATGTTACAATAACCTATAATAACAAATGTTGAGAGAGAAAAAAGTATAAAAAGGAGACAGAATAACTGAATTGGTCATTTTCATTACATCTCTGATCTGAAAGAGCTTTGCAAACATGTATTTATTACTCCTGGGGGAATTCTGTGCCACTGCATGTGCGCAGAATTCATGTCTCCTGCAGATTTCTTTGCTTCCCCGCAGAAAAATGACTTTCTGACAAAGAAGCAAAGGGAAGCTGCAAGAGCAGTCACGCACCACTCCCTAGCAGCGCAGGTACATCGTTTCAGGTATCCAGAGCAGCCGGCAGAGAGGTAAATCACCGCGGGGTTGTGGACGCCCCATCCAGTGGCTCCTACCCTGAGCTGAGATCAGCGGTTAGTCCCAGCTGGGCTGGAGGCAGGAGAGGACGGGACACTCTCTTCCCCTGCAACACCTGGCTGGGGCTGTCAGACCCACCCCCAGAAACCTCCCCCAGTTGCAGGAAGATCAGCATCCTCCCCTGCTTCCTCCCCCCATCGCTCCTCAGCTGTGGTGGGAGGAATCACTGTATGGGGAGCCGTTCCCACATACACCCAACCCCCATGCATCTGGACCTCCCATACCCAGACACCCCTGCTCAGCCTCACCCACTACATCTAGAACTCCCCTAGCCCTCCAAACCCGAACTCTACCCCCATTGAACCTCAACCCCTGTATCTGGAGCTGCCTTGCACCCAGACCCCCTGCTTCTGGACCCTCCACCCAGACCACCCCCAACTGAGCCTGTTGCACTCAAACCCCCACCCTGATGCCCATCCTCTGCACCACCCTGAGCCCCCATATCCAGACCCCCACGCCACTGACCGCCAACTAGCTGCACCCAGACCCCCACCCCACCAAGCCCCACTCCTCCAGCACCCTCCGCTGAGACCCCCACATCCAGACCCCTCTGCTGAGCCCCAACCACCTTCACCTGGAAGCCCCTGCAGAGTCCCATTGCCCTGCACCTGAAACCCCCCCAAACGAGCCTGTGTGCATCCAGATCCCCCCACACCTAGGCCCTGCATTGAGCTGCCTGCACCCAGGTTATCCCACACAAAATCCTCTCACCCCACACCTGAATCCCTCCACACTGAGCCCCTCCACACTTGGATCCTGCCTGGTTGAGCCTGCTTGCCCACACCTGGCACAGAGAGGCAGGGCCCCAGGACTTATGCTGTCAGGTCAGGTGTCAGGTGCAGCCTCACCGCTGAGTCCATGTCCTGGGGGTGGGGAGGCTGTAGGGTGATCTCCCACCTTCGTGCAGCCAGTGGCCTGTGCTCCCCACTGCCATGCTGGAGCCTCTGCATTTATTTATTGACAAATAAAACTTGCAGAATTTTAAAATATTGTGCACCGAATTTTTAATTTTTTGGCACAGAATGCCCTCAGGAGTAAAAATTTGTATATCCATATTATATATGGATAATCTCAATCTTTAAAAGTACAGTGACTTGTTCTGTTGGTGGTTGAACCCAGTGTTCCTAACTTCTCATCCGCTGCTCTAAGCATCTCTGTTGACTCATTATGACTGTGATTAATGATGTGCTTATGCTGCTACCAATACATGACTCCTTACTGACGGCAGTATAGAAGCTGAGTGTGATTTGCAGCTACTAAACTTCAGGCTGAATTTGAATCCATGGCACAAAAGTCATTACACACTGTGTGGACATTAATAAAGGTTTAGACACATGTTTAACTTAGCTGTAAAAGTATATGTTATGATTATTTCCCAGTGCATTGTGGCTACCGTGGCCTTTGGAATGGGTATCAATAAAGCAGACATCCGGAGAGTTATTCATTATGGTGCCCCTAAGGAAATGGAATCCTACTACCAAGAAATTGGAAGGGCTGGCCGTGATGGGCTTCCCGCTTCTTGTTACGTATTTTGGACTGCAGCTGATATGACTTTTAACAGGTATACTATTGGGAACAGCCTGGGGTCATAGGAAACTTTTTCATTCTGTAGCCAGAATTTACTATCATGAATGAGCAGAAGGGGGCGGGTTTAAAATGTTTGCCAGTAGTGAAGATACTCTGTTGTTTTGCTATATGGTGTCTTCACTTAATTATATGTGAAAACACTCATTATGCAATGATATCCTCCAGGAACACAGTGTGCATCCAGCAGTCCTCTGCTTCGTCCCACCCAGCTTCCTGAGAGGGTCCATGATGTGAAGGCAGGTAGTGGTCAGGATGCTAAGTACAAGGCCTGTTGTTTTCCAAAAATAACATATACTTAAAAGCAGCGTGAATTCAGTCTTCCCCTAAAACTGACCTGTTCAAGTTTGGACTTTTAGATAGTCAGTGCACCATCCTTTTAGTCCCTTAGTCTAATTGCCACTGATGATAATATGTCAGTGTTTCTCTTACAAAGACACCCACAGAAAGGAAGATGACCGAAAGGTCTCTCTCATCTCCATCTCCATCCCCCTCCCGCTTCCCCGGATCTTGAAGGTTTAGTGTGTTGTGCTGTAGGGAAAGACTTTTTGTGGAGCATTGTCGAACTACAGATTGAGAACCACTGCTGTGTATGAAATAGGTTGAATATGGTAGGTACTGTGAGTATGCTGTCACTATTAGCTCAAAGAGAAACTTGTGGACAAGTGTTTAAGCTTATTTGTTTTTCGTTTTAACTGCAGACATCTTCTAAATGAGATACATAATGAAGGATTCCGACTATACAAATTAAAGATGGCGGCAAAGATAGAGAAGTACCTTAACTCAAACAGCTGCAGGAGAAAGTGAGTATTATATTTTACTGCGCATTTTCTGTAAGTCCACAGTACGCAATTAGTATTAGCTATTGCAGTTCAGTCACAGCTGACGATGTAGCTACATAACTTAAATACTTTGCAAAAATGCAATTTTATTTTAAAAAGTGATATTTACCATCTTTTGCATAATTAAATACCAGCATTAGGAACTTCTTTTACTTTTTAAAAACAAACGTCCTTATCTCTGGTGAAATCAAGTGCAAATAATTGGCTCCCAGGTGAATCAATTAATGATGATGATTTCAACTCATTGTTTTTTGCAATGAATTTAACATGTAAATTCTTGTTCTTTTATTTAATTCTCAATGTTCCCTTGTGTAGAATCATCTTGTCTCATTTTGAAGACAAACAACTCCGGAAGGCCTCCTCTGGCATCATGGGAACAGAAAAATGCTGTGATAATTGCCGGTCCAGGTAAATGTTCCTCCCTAAAGACTACTGTGTTTAGAACATCTATGTTCCTATAACATACAAGACAAATGAAAATAAGTACATCAGTAATTTCTCCTAATAACATATTCTGGTTTTTTGTGCACTTCAGTATGTGAGTATTCTGATCAATACAAAAAGCCTCCTGAAATTTGCTTTTGTGTTTGAACCGCAGTGTCTGTTGTTGTTGTAGGCTTATCTCGGTACTGGAGCATGACAGGAGGCAATGCATACGCACCACACCAAATCCCAGATTGTAGTAAAGCCTGTAACAAAAGATCACTGCTGCTATTAAAATGTTTTGGGTTTTTTTTAAGTGACTTATTACAATACTCTTGAAGACTGTAAAATAAATTTTATGTTTCCCACCTTTTTAAAACTTTGGTATCTGCCTCACAGAATTAATTCTGAAGAAAGTTTAAAAGCTGTGTGTGCCAGCAAATTTTTCTTATCCTGCTTGACTGTCATAGATTCTAAGGCCACAAGTGACCATTGTGGTCGTCTAGTCTGACCTGCTGTATCACACAGGCCATAGAACTTCTACAAAATGATTCCTAGAACAGGTCTTTTAGGAGACCATTCAAATCTTGATTTAAAATTGTCAGTGATGGAGACTCTACCATGACCCTTGGTAAGTTGTTTCAATGGTTAATTACACTTGCTGTCAAAAATTTATGCCTTATTTCCAGTCTGAATTTGTCTAGCTTTAATTTTCAGCCATTGGATCATGTTATATCAGGGGTTCTCAAACTGGGGTTCGTGACCCCTCAGGGAATCGCAAGGTGGTTACTTGGGGGTCCCGAGCTGTCAGCTCCATGGGGCTGGCAGCCCCAACCCCCCATTAAATTAAATTACTCACCTCCTGTTTTTAATTTATAAGGGGGGGCCACACTCACAGGCTTGCTGTGCGAAAGGGATCACCAATACAAAAAGTTTGAAAACAACTGTGTTATACCTTTCTCTGCTAGATTGAAGAGCCCATTATTAAATATTGGTTCCCCATGTAGACTTATAGACTGTGATCAAGTCATCCCTTAAATTTCTCTTTGTTAAGCTAAATAGATTGAGCTCTATGAGTCTGTCACTATAAGACAGGTTTTCTAATCCTTTAATCATTCTCTTGGCTCTTCTTTACACCTTCTCTAATTTGTCAACATCCTTCTTGAATTGTGAGCACGAGAATTAGACACAGTATTCCATCGGTGGTCGCACCAGTGCCAAATAGTGTGGTAAAATAACCTCTCCGCTCCTACCTGAGATTAACCTGCTTATGCATCCCAGAATTACATTAGCTCTTTTGGCCACAGTATCGCACTGGGAGCTCACGTTCAGCTGATTATCCACCACAACCCCCAAATAGTTTTCAGAGTCCCTGCTTCCCAGGATAGAGTCCTCCATTCTGCAGATATGGCTGACATTCTTCATTCCTAGATGTATACACTGACATTTAGCCGTATTAAAACTCATATTGTTTCCTTGTGCCCAGGATACAAAGCGATCTAAGTCACTCTGTATCAATGACTTGTCTTGGTTATTGACCACTCCCCCAACTTTTGTGTCATCTTTATTAGTGATGATTTTATGTTTTCTTCCAGGTCACCAATAAAAATGTTAAATTAGCGTAGGGCCAAGAACTGATCCCTGTTAGACCCCACTGGAAACACAACTGCCCAATGACTATTCCCTGTTTGTTTACATTTTGAGATCTATCAGTTAACCAATTGTTAGTCCATTTAATGTGGCATGTTAATTTTATATCTTTCTAGTTTTTAATCAAAATGTCATGCAGGGCCAGGTCAAACGCCTTACAGTATCCTCAACACTGTTACCTTTATCAACCAAGCTTGTAATCTCATCAAAAAAAGATATTAAATTAGTTTGGCGGGACCTATTCTGTGTAAATCCATGTAATTAATGCAAATCAACATTACCCTCCTTTAACTCTTTATTAATCAAGTCCTTTATCAGTCACTCCATTATCTTTCTTGGGATTGATATCAGACCAACTTGCCTATAATTACCCAGGTCATCCCATTTACCCTTTTAAAAAAATTGGCACAACATTATGTTTCTTCCTGTCTCCTGGAACTTCCCCAGTGCACTGAGACGTATTGAAAATCAACATTAATGGTCCAGCAAGCTCCTCAGCCAGCTCTTTTAAAACTCTTGCATGTGAGTTATCTGGACCTGGTGATTAAAAATGTCTAATTTCCTCCTGAGATATTAGTGGAATGAAAAGAGTAGTGTCATCACCATGTGATTAGACTAATCATCAGTTTTTTCCCCAAATACAGAACAGAAATATTTTTAAACACTTCTATCTTTTCTGCATTATTCATCATTCTACCATTTCCATCTAGCAGAGGAACAATACCATTCTCAGGATTCTTTTTGTTCCAAATATATTTTAAAAATTTCTTCTAATTGTCCTTAACTCTGCTGGTCATACATTTCTCCTTGTGTCCCTTTACTTCCCTTATCAATTTTCTACAATTCCTAACTTCTGATTTATATTCATTACTAACAACTTCCCCTTTCCCCTTATATTTGCTATAAACCAGGTTGGTTTTTAACCAGAACAGTCTTCTTCCTTGACTGTGGCTTTTTAGGCATCTAGTAAGGTGTTCTTAACTCTGCTATTTCATGGAGTCTCCTATTGCGACTTGAACCTATGTCCCATTAATGTTGATATTAGTTACATGCATGTGTCAAGGGGAGATAAGACCACTACGTGTTTGAGTAACATCAATAAAAGTAGAAGTGTCTTTCATTCTTGAACTTGTAGTAGACTGTGTGTCTGTATTCCCTGCCAGTGTAAGAATTCTGGTATAAGGCATCTAGATCAGTGGTTTTCAAACTGCGGGTCGCGACCCAGTACTGGGTTGCGGAATGTAAGGCACTGGGTCGCGGTGGCTCTGGTCAGCACCCCGACCGAGCCATTAAAAGTTCTGTCAGTGGTGCTGCCTGGCTAAGGCAGGCTAGTCCCTACCTGTTCTGATACCACGTTGCGCCCTGGAAGTGGCCAGCAGCTGCCCTTGCCCTGAGCACTGGCTCCGCATTCCCATTGGCTGGGAACCGGCCAATGGGAGTTGTGGGGGGCGGTGCCTGTGGGCAAGAGCCATGTGGAGCCGCTTGCGTGCCTCTGCCTCGGAGCCAGACCTGCTGCTAGCCGCTTCCAGGGTGCAGCACGGTCTGCAGTGCCAGGACAGGCAGCAAGCCTGCCTTAGCATCCCTGCTGCGCTGCTGACTGGGAGCCACCCGAGGTAAACCTGCATCTCAACCCCGCTCCCCAATCCCCTGCCCCAGCCCTGAGCCCCCCACAGATCCGGAGCCCTTTCCTGCACCCCAAACCCTTTATCTCTGGCCCCACCCCAGAGCCCGCACCCCAACCCTCAGCCCAGAGCCCCCTCCCACACCCTAAACCCCTCATTCCTGGCCCCACCCCACAGCCTTCACCCCCACACCCCAAACTCCTCATCCTCAGCTCCGTTGGGTTGCGGATATCAACAATTTTCCTCAGTTGGGTCACCAGAAAAAAAAGTTTGAAAACCACTGGACTAGTTGTGCTCCACTGCTCTCAAAAGAAAGTAATCAGTTCAGCTATGCTTCTTGTCTGTTCACAAATTATGGGATAATCCCTTAGCTGCACTGTAGTTGTGATTAGAGCAGAATTTTATTTTAGAGATGATTTTTCATTGTGCCCTAAATCTACATGCAAAGTCACATTGGCTTTAAAATTTCAATGCCAGTGAAAGGTCGTGGCTTAAGTTTGTGTTAATTTTGGGGTTGTTTGAGAGAGAGAGCCGTCCCTACTCCCACCACATGACCTGCTTTTAATTTTTGCTGGTGTTTTCTTTCCCCATGTACCTGAAGAGAACTGTGGCTACAACCCACGTAAAACTTGTATCTCAGGACTTCCCTAACCCCATGGTAGCTAAATGCAAAAAGCGGTGTAAAAGCAACTTGAAAGCTGTTGGGTAACATATTAGAATACTAAGACGATCAAAGGATTAAGAGTTGGTCACCCAGTGCTAACTCTGCTACAGGTCATCAGGCACAAGTTCATGTTGCCAACACAGTTTTACCTCATGGAATTTTGACTTTTGTATCTTGAACACTAGATTTTTGCATTTAAAGGTATATTTAATTGCACATTTAAATGTAAAAGCTGTAATTCAAACATATGCTTTATATATTTAACTATATTTTAATAAATAACACCCTTATTTCTGAGTGTTTAGCACTTGGCAGTTAATCTTTGTTTTCTTGTGCATGTTAGAACCCTTTGCTGCACCATTAACAGTGACACAGAAGAGAGTTTGCAGGATTTCGGTCAGCAAGCGTACCAGCTGATGTCTGCAGTGAGGGCCTTAGACGAGAAGTTTGGAACTGGAGTTCCGGTTTTGTTTCTCCGAGGATCTGTAAGTTTGGTTAAAATTCGTTGTGTATTTTTGGTGTGGAGGGATAACGTTCCTGTGATAGCCCCCTCCCCCCTTCCTGCTCCCAAAAACAATACACACATTTCACTTTATAGTACCTCTCTCCCCAACCCCCGCAAAGGCCACTCTTAATGCACCTTCCTCTAGAGAAAGGCTGAACAGACTAATTCAGTAGCACTGGTGTGTTAGCCCTGGAGCTGCTCTTTATTATTATAATGGATTGTTTGTATTGCAGTAGTGCCTATAAACCATGGCCCTTACTGTGTACAATGAATAAGCTGATGGTCTCTGCCCCCAAAGAGTTCACACTTTTAGGCTCCTTTTTCTAAAGGTTAAACATTCAACATTCCCAGCCCTTTCTGGCCTAAGAGTTTGGATCCAAACTAAGGTCCTGTACTTAGCCGTGTATTGAGCTGCCTCTAAACCTCTTGACTGTCTTTTTCTGGGTTGTTTATAGTCAGCTTTTGAACAAGTGGAAGTAACCTCTAAAACTAGAGGGGTGATCAAAACTTTTCCACTACCTGTGAACATTTTACCTGCAATTTAATCGCTTGTATTGTTTATAGCAACTGAAATACTTTTCTAATGGGAGGAGGTATTCTTCTCTCCATGCAGGTGTGTAACTTCCATTAACCCTAAAAGGGGCTGTTTGTTTACAGTGAAGGGAGAATACATCTTTTTGTTCTCTAAATTTCTAAGTAGCTAGCCTGTTGACTGGTGATTGAGTAGAGTAGAAGATTATGCTTGTGTTAATGAGCACTTTTGTCTTGCTGACTTAATATGGTGGGTAGGGTTGAAGCAAGGCACATTGCATGATTTATACAGATCTTTACATGTAAAGGCTTTTTAAACATCATGGGGAAAATAATCACTGAAGAATGAAATATGAAGACAGTCACAAAACAAACATTTTGAAAAAGAGTGTGTTTTTAGCTTGGAAGAAAATTACTTGTTAATCGTAGGGAAATACATGATTAAATTTTTCCCTTTATTAGGAATAACTCATGTTAAAATCTTGGCATTGATATATTTAATAAAATATCTGGATCACAGTTTATATGCCTCTTTTTCTTTTTTTAAGTCAGAAGGCTTTGTAATGTGAAAGTTGCAGACTACCCCAAACAGCAATGCAAATGGTAATGAAAATTATCTCCAGCTGTAAACTTCAGCTTAACTGCTGTCTATAATGTTTCTACTTTTTTGTAAAAGGTGTTCTTAAGACTTTGAAAGTTGTGTAATAAGACTAAATATCCTAGAAAATCCTAGGAAATAACCCATCCTTATCATCATAAGATATCTAAATACTTTAAAAGGTTTGTGTCAAGTTCATGAAGAATTGTGCTGTCTTGGATTTTATTTAACCTAGCAGTGTCTTTTCATAACAAATAGGTACAGGTGGGCTCCTAGACAGACTTCAGGTGGGTCACAAGAGAGATCAGATTTCACCTATTATTTGAAAACTGAGTCCGCATACGGTACTGAACAAGTCCTCTGGGAGTCTTCAAATTAAGAAGTTGCCTTGACTGAAATTTTATACCACCGCTGCTAGAAAAATATGCAACTTTAGAACATGACCACATTAATAAACTGAAATAATGTGGGTACTGAAATAATGTGAGATACTCTAGGCTCCAAAATCTTTGTGGGCACTCATGTGAATACCTTTTAGTCATAATTCTAATGTTTGATAATATCTAAGATGTTAGTCATTGTTTCAGCTAATTACAGTTGAAATACTGTAAGTCCTATTCATATGGCAGTATCTAGTAAAACTCTAGATGAAAAATTCATTGTATTACACATTTTTGTGTATTTTAAATGTAAGTATTGTTTTCAGTGAGCATTTCTTGAAAGTAAGTATTGCACATTACGTAGCCTTACAATATATATTTTAGAGAATAATTTATATGGTATAGTACCTGTAAGTAAAAGTCCATTCTTTTTAAACTTCAAAAATCCATAAATGAAAACGTTTAAATGAAGGCATTACAGAAACAAAATCAGGAACATAAATGTCCATGCTTCATTCCAATTTTGCAAACAAATTTTGAATCTGCAGATCAACAGCCAGATTTCCAGTATATTTTATACGTATGAATTGGGTTCACATCTTATCAAATATAAGAGATAAAGAACTACCAAGAATCAGCAAGAAAAAAGAATTGAATGAAGGTGTCTCAATGTGACAATATGAAAGACTGGCAAAAAGAAGTATAAAACACATGTTTCAGTGATCTCAGCAGTGTCATATAAATGTGGTGCTCTGTGCAGTTACCCAATTTGCAATTTATTAAGTGTCCCTTTTCCCCAGAAATTGTTCAAGGTCCTTTTCAGTCCTAAGTTTCTCTAATTCTGTGACTTCTGCTGTCTGGTGTTTGAGTTCCACTGGAACTCCACTCCTCAGTCGGTACACTTGCCTTTAAGCAAGGCCACTTTCATCTATTTAGTGGCTAATCTCAGATTAGGACAGGTTAGTTCTCAATTTTTGACAGATTGCTTAATGGAGCAAGATGCTCCTGGAGTACAGTCTCTCTCCTGGGGACCAGATAGGGAAATCAGGAATGTGTCTCATGTTGTTTGATAGTCCTGTGACTTTATGTACGTACGCATTTACAGAATTTTTTTTGTTTGCTTGACTTTTATAAAAATGCTCCCAGTTTTCCTTCTGGGCACATATACAACCGTTTAGAAACTGAAACAACCAATAGACCAAAGGTCAACCCTCGGAAGAACTGCTCTGTCCCCAGAAGAACAGAAACTAAGCTAGTTCAGGTGCTCTCCCTGAAGCAAAACCCTGTGTGAGTAGTACAAGGTTCAGCTATGTCTTGTAAATCAACCAAGTCAGGAAAACAGTTTCCACATCAAGTCCTCCACTGAGAATGTTCTGCTTCCAGTCTCTCAGCATTCAAATCTGGGGACAGCACAAATGTCTGAACTGTCTGAAGATGGTGCATTGGGAGAGAGAGTCTGTGAGGCATCTGAAACACATACCCTAGAGGGCTTTTGTAGATAAAAGTCAGCGCCTTGCATTGTACCCAGAAGCAAATAGGTAGGTGGACAGTACAGTTTGCAGAGCGCAGGTGTGATCTGCTGCATATGGCAGGGATCACTAACTAAATAGGTATGTGCATGCAGTCTGCCATGGCTGAAGGTAGTCAAGATGCAAGTAGGCTCATGGAAGTAGTTCAGTTTGGATATTGAAGGCATGAATGACCGTGGTGCAGACATATCACAGAGGAGGTGCCTTTCTCCTTTTCTGTCTCTAGTGCAGGAACTGGCACATGTCATCCACAGAGTCGTTAGTCTGTGATACTCTTTGTCAATTCTGTCCTCCACACAACTAGCCCTTGACTCAGTCCCCTGGAGAGTGGAATGACACTACTCCCTAGAGACCTCGTGCACCATGACCTCACCATCACAGACCACTAGGTCTGCTCTTAGCCTGCACTCATCCCAGATACAGATTATGGCAGGAAGGAATAGGAGCTAACAAGAAGTAGGAGACCCTAGCCTGTACCAGGAAATGTCACCTCCTTTCTTGATCACTGTGAACAACACTAGCACCTGTAACCTGGGTGCCATCTTCAATTCAGACCACTCTGGATCTTCACATCTGGGGTATGCCTAAATCTTGCATATTCTTTCTGCATAGCATATTTAAGATATGGCCTTTCCTGTCCATCCACACAGCTAAACTCTCAGCCAAGCTCCCATCATCTCACATCTTGATTACTGAAGCATCTTTCTCTCTGGCCTGGACAAATGCCATCTTGATGCATTGAGAATGTTGCTGCATGGATCATTTTCCTAGCCCATCCCTTTGACCAAGTCACTTCTCTCTTTGAATTCCTCCATAGGTTCTCCCTTCTCTGTTGCATTGAACATAAGCTGTTTGTCTTCACTTTCACGGCCCTTCGCGCCTTATTGCCCCAGACGTATTATCTCATATTCACTTTCGGGATGTTGACAACATCTTTCAGTTGGGACATGATGTCCGCTTCCATCGTCCTCTGGTTAAGTTTTCAAACAAGCGCCTTCATGCTTCCGCCCATGCTGCCCATCATGCTTGGGAAGAGCTACCTCATTATCCGCCTTCAAACCCTCCTTAAACCTCTCCTCTGCTGCGCTGCCTACAAACCCCGCCCCACCCCACCCTCAGTTTGTCTGCTGGCTTGTTGATGCCACAGCCAATGGTTCTAGTGCCCCCAGAGGGTACATGAAGCATCTCCCCTGCACAGTTCTGCGTCCAGAAGGGTTCTGGGAGAAGGGTGGCCCCTTCTGGACCTCATTTTACTCTGTCCTCCATAGTGCAGCAGTCCCTGTTTTGGTTGCTTTTTCCCCTACCAGCTGGAATCTCTAATTGGCTCTTCTCTGCAGTCCACCCAAGGGGAGGAGGGAAGAGGGATGCAACCTGGGTCCTTGTGCCTTCAGAACTGGGGTCTTCTCTGTACTGGGTTCAGGAGATGCTAGTGGGAGTGGTGGCCCTGGATCCTAGCAGACAAGTAAATTGTGGCCACAGTCCTTAGGCAGTCTTGGCAGAAGGCCCCAAAGTGGAATGAATAGGCACAGAGGAAAGTACCTTGTCACCACTCCAAGTGACAGCAGTGAGGTACATTGGCATGGCCCTTGCTCTAACAAGGGACAAAGGGAAGGATTCAGATTCAACGGTTTCAAATTCAGCCATTTTTAGTGGGTATTAAATGACTTTGCCAAACATATTCTGATGTTTGGAGGGGTTCTCCCATATTTCTGGCATTTTTAGTCTTCTTCAACTTTCAGTTCCTCATTTTAGTAATGATGGCATATATTCGAACTGGACTGCATGACTATTTCTGTGCTTCACCAGTTATGGTGGAGTAGTTTTTCTAGGAATTAAGGAGTCTGACCAAAATGTTTGAATGATTTCAGAATTCCCAGCGTCTCCCAGACAAGTACCGAACTCACGCTCTCTTTGGTAGTGGAAAGGACTGGCCAGAGAATTGGTGGAAGGCTTTGGGCCGACAGCTCATCACTGAAGGGTTCCTTAAAGAAGTTTGTGGTCGAAGCAAATTTGCAACTCTGTGTGAGCTTACTAAAAAGGTAATCTTGTTGTAAAACCTTCCTGTGAGAGGTTTCTTATGGCAATGTAAAGTTGAGTGACTTGGTCTGTATCCCACAGGGTAGAGACTGGCTATGTAAAGCTAGGAGTGAGTTGTATCGGACTCTTCTGCTACAGCCCAGTGAAGAACTATATCTTAGGAAACCTCACACTCAAAGGTAACCACAGCCATATATGTTATGCATGTGTCACTTTTATGTTGCAGGAACAAATATGTGAATCCTGCTACTGAAGACTTTCTGTGCCAAGGAGGAGGTTTCTGCACTAAGGGGTTTTTGGTTTGTTTGTTTTTTTGCGGGGGTGGGGGATATCTCTTGGGCACAGTCTTGCTTGCATAAGAGGGACTACGCTCCTCAGAATCAATGGTTCCCTCCTCCGTGGGGACCACCCCAGTTTCCATATTACCTCTCATGCTGGACTTACTGGGGCTATGGGGGATCCATATATATGACATCCCAAATCTCTGTGATCCCACTGGGAGTCTAGACAGCCCTCTCCATGCAGAGAATAGCCTGAATCTTCTCAAGAACTAATGGAGGAAGAGGAGGAACTGTATCATGTGGAACCACCAGCTCCAACAGAGTTGTCATCTTCATTGCCAGACAAGGAGTTTCGTTGGCTTCACCATCACCCCCTGATGGTTACAAGCAATTTTAAAATCTTCTGAGGAGGGTCACGCACACGCTCCAGATCCTTCCAGAGGAAGTGCAGGACACCCCTCATAAACAATTGGACGTTCTCCAGAGAGCTAGTCCCCAGTAAGGTGGCACTTCCCATTAATGATGCCATCTAAGGGTTAGTTTACAGTAGAAGCGCTATAGTAGGGCTACACTGTTGTGGCGTGTCTGGTGAAGATGCTCTATGCGGACGGGGGAGAGCTGTCTCATCGGCCTAATAAAACCACCTCCTTGAGAGGCGGTAGCTGTGTTGGAAGAAGCTCTCCCGCCAACCTAGCGCTGTCCAGACTGGGACTTAGGTTGGTGTGGCTTAGGTCAGGAGTGGCTTATTCACTCCCCTGAATGACGTAAATTATACTGTCATAACCTGTAGTGTAGACATGCCCTTACAACCAGCCAAGACAGTCTGGCCACTTGTGCTCCTACTCGAGAAACAACAGAAAAGTAGTACTCTGTGTCATCTAAGGAGGTGCCCTTAGCTTCATGTTTCTTAGTCCACCTATCAGTGAAGATTGCCTTTCTGGTTGCCATCACCTCAGCTAGAAGAGTAGGTGAAGTGGGGGCCCTTATAGCTGAGCCACCTCACACGATCTTCCATAGGTGTTTCCCTGAGATTACACCCAAAATTCACCCCCAGAGTAGTCTTGGAATTCCATCTAAATCAGACCATTCTCTTACTGGTCTTCTTCCCAAAGCTGCATGCCACCAGTGAGGATAGGAAACTTAACTCTGTGGACACTCGTTGAGCCTTGGCATCCTACCTGCAAAGGACTAAATCCTTTAGACTTTCCCAAGACTGTATCCTTCAGAGCAAGTGAGGGTGAAACAATCTCTTCTCAGATACTTTTGGGCTGCATCCTGCTGTGTTATGAGTTAATGGCTACCTCTACCCCGCAAGGTGTGAGGGCCCACTCAACCAGAACCCAAGCTGCATCAGTAGCTTCAGTTAAAGATGTTCCTCTCCTGGAAATCTGTAAAGCTGGAAGTTGGGGTTCTGCTCATTACCCGCTGGTGCAGGCTTCTACAGCTGATGCCTCCTTTGGCAGAGTAGTCCTCCAGTCGATGATACAGCAGGGTTCCTTGCACTCTTCTCAGTGACTACTGCTTGTGAGTCACCCAGAGTGGAACACTCATAGGGACCATCACTTGACAAAAGAGAAGTAACTTACCTCATATAGTAATTGGGGTTCTTTAAGATGTGTGGTCCCTATCTGTTCCACTACCCACCCTCCTTCCCCTTTGCTGCGGAGCCTTCTGCTAGGGCTATTTGCGGTAGAAAGGTAACTGGAGAGGTGTTCAGCCCATGCCACCACCTGTGCCCTCAGTTTGGAGCACGAGGAGGAGAAGGGAGCAGGTGCAGACCAATGGATGCAGCTAGCAAAAAATCTTTGGTGGGCCACAGATTGCAAAGAACTCCAGTAACCTTTCTTTGCTCTCTGTATTCTGAAACCATCCTCTCCCAAGGTGTATTTTGAAATGTCAGCCTTCTTGTAAGAGTGATTATTTTTCTATATGTTTTGAATACAATTGAATTCATTTTCTTACAGCAATAGACAGATAACTTTGGTTGCAGGACCACATTCACCAGATATGAGGTCAATAAAGCTGACACCAGAGAAACAGGTCTGTATTTCAGAAAAATATTACTTATCAGACACTTCATTATACTCTTTAGTGATGTGCAAGTGAGCTTACAGATCAGTATATTTAGCTATAAAGTCTTCTCCACATATTTGAAAGCTTAAGATGCACAGTAAAGCAGCACACAATGTAGGATTTACAGATCATTTGTACGATAGTTGTGAGTTGTGTGGTGAACAAAATAATTGGTACACTGAAATATACTGAACACATTAATGTGTGAAAGTGAAGTGTAGTATTAACACCCAAATATGCACTGCCTGCTTCACAAAAGACATAGAATCATAGACAATCAGGGTTGGAAGGGACCTCAGGAGGTCATCTAGTCCAACCCCCTGCTCAAAGCAGGACCAATCCCCAATTTTTGCCCCAGATCCCAAATGGCCCCCTCAAGGGTTGAACTCACAACCCTGGGTTTAGCAGGCCAATGCTCAAACCACTGAGCTATCCCTCCCCACATGGAAAATCACAATCCCTTCCTTGGGATTTTGTAATCTAAATGTTTACAGATGACATGGAATGAGGGAGTGAGAAACAGCAGTAACTCTCTGCATAGTGCAATCTCAGCCATAACTCTGGATTAAGTTATTTATCTGGGATTAAATTAAATGTAAACTAAATGTAAAGACCGCCACTACAGTTTCTAAAGAGTTTCAGAAAATGGGGTGAAACTCCAATGCCTACATTAGTGCAAGGGGCTGAGAGGGAACCCTAATTCTACATTTCTTAGAATTTTCTCAGTTTTTCTCAACATGAACATATTTTACCATAGTGGCTTTTTTATGTAAAGTGTTTATTCATTCATTCTGTAAATTGTTGTTTTATAACAATTTCCTCTTGTACTGTGACTAAGGTTAGAAACTTTAAATCTGTTTTCTAATGAGAATCAATATACTGTAACACACATCTGCTTTTTACTCATGTATGGTGTATATTTGTAATAATGTACTAGAGGGACACCAGGTACAAAAAGGAAATAATTTTTCCGTTATGCAACAGACTGTAGTGTGTTTTGAAAAAAATCGATCCCTTTCTTTACTGACTATCTTTGAAACAAATTGGTATAAAAATGTAAATGAATATTTTACTGTTAATATTTGTATTGGGAAAAATGTGGATGATATCTTTGATTTTCTGACTTGGTTTTTTTTATTTTTAAAACAGACATATTTGCAGGAAATGTTTTCTTATCAAGGAGCAAGTAAAATTTCTACAAGGGGCAAAGTCTCAAATGAAAGGTACAATGGACTAAATTATTTCTGCTCATCTCTCTTTCTCTACTTATTCGTTCTTTCCTGTGTTGTGGAGGTGGTATCTGTAGAGCAACTGTCAGAGAAGAAAGTAAGTCTGTTTGTGGTGTAAACTGAACTTTTCTTTTTAATGTCTCAAATCATTAGTGTGAAAATAAGTGCTGTACAGGTGTCAGACTTCATATAACCTTTAAGAAACAAGGTATAATCTGTCCATCTGAAAGACTTCAAAAACAGTATTAAGAGAGCAAATAATTTTGATAGGAAAATTAGGTAAACACTTTTAATTTTGCCTCACATGACATGCTACAATGTCACAAAATATAAGTTAGGTCATGCTCTGAAGTAGGTAGGGTTGCAGTGTGTTAAATGGCTCTTTAAAACATCCCACATTATTTTTAAAAAGTGACTATAAAATACTTCTATTGCCGATTACCTGAACTGAACCAATAACTGAACATTTATATCATACAATTAAGTAGACCATAACTGTTCAAAAATTTTAACAGGCCTTGTTTTCTGCACAGTACAAGTCCATGAGCCTTTTTAAATGCAGCTAATTCAGTCTGTTTTGGGTTTGATTTTAGGGGTGTGTTTAAACTCTAAAATTAAGACACATTTTCATTTGTTGACCTTTTAAATTCATATGCAAGGGAAATAAACATAACAAACATTAATTAAAAACCAAGCTATAAAATAGCTTTTATTTATTCCAGGTTGCTTTGCTGGTCACTTGGTTTTTGCTTAGTTGCTATTTTTTGATAACTTGATACCTTTTGGATGGGTCCGGATATGTGATACAGTGTTTGGATGGGTCCGGATAATATAAAACGTAAGAATCGTTGGTTTCTGTGCACCTTACAACGCTGTGCCTGTAGTGACACAGCCAGTGCGCAGTGTAGACATAGCCTAAATGGAGAAATTCAGCAGCATAGTTATACTGGTATAATTGTATTGCTGTAGTTATACCAGGATAACTCCTAGTGTGGACTCTGGTGTGTCTATGCAGATGTGTTTTAATGCAAATGGCAACTAGATTGGCTGAGACCACCTGTCTGGCTGGCTCATATACACTAGGACTCCCAAACCTACTAATCTCAGCAGAGCAGAGCCGGTGCAAAGTGAATTGATAAATTGATCTAATAGGAATATGAATGTCACATTTTATTTTTTTTTTAAATTTAATAGTGACCTGGTGCAGTCACCAATCAAACTGAAGTCTCCAGAACCTGCTGTTTCATCCAGAGAGAGGGAACTGCACGTAAGTCTATTAAACAGAAAGGGCATCTGCTTGTGTAAGAAGTGCATTAAAATTGTGCTTGTGTACATCTAACGCAGTCCTAGAGACCATCTTTGTCCCTCCAAAGAGTCAACCAGAGAAACTGCTGTTAAACTGGATTTTTCAGCTTTTACCCTAAATTTTAGGAAGGTGCCTTGAACTGGAGTCCTTGATGAGAATTTAAAAATGTTGAGATTATGGTGTGGATGTGGTTTAGATTCTGACTGCTCATCTGTTTTATTTTTGGGTGGTAGTTTGCTTTCTCATGTAGAAGTTTTCTTCCCATACTTTAATCACTTCTAAGTCCTTGACTTAAAGTGTTCTTTAAAGCAAAGTCTTACATGTATTCATACTTTGGCTTTGTTCTTTACAGACTGTTCTATACAGTAAGCTGCTGGCAGCCAGACAGAAGCTAGCCAGTGAGAAGGATATTCCTCCGGCTGTGTTGGCAACAAATAAAATATTGGTGGACATGGCCAAAATAAGGTAAAGTCTTCAGTTTGAAAACCACACAAGTCCAAAGGTACTCTGGAGTCTTACTCTCACTCCTGCAAGCCAAGTTAGTAACAGAATTATGTTGATGCATTACTTCCCATGTGCCATAGATTTTAGGTGTTGTACATAAACATATTGAGGAATTCTGTTTTTCCACATGCTTCCAGTTCAGTAACTTTCTGCATCAGCAGAATTATTAATCTGACCGAATTTTAAAGAAAAACTTCTCATTTTGGTATACTGTTACTATCAAGAGGTGCAGGAAGAACTCCTCAAACTGAGCGCTTCTGCTGTGTGTGTCTGAATTTCGTGATCACATAAATTCTGAAAATGTATGTGTAAAGTTTATTAACATTTTTAGTAGCCCCAAGGATATTGTAGCTACCTCCATTCCACATGTCTATGGAGCTGTGTGAACTCAGATGGTATGCAGCTAGAACAGTTATCGCAGTTATCGCTTATGTTGGTTCAGCTCTACAGGTGAAATTTGACTGCATGTATCAATTACTCTGTTTCTGAAAGTATCTTGTCAAGTCAACCTTCACCACTGCCAGTGATGTCTGCCTTCATGGTCCATTTATCAGCCTCTCCCACGAGCAAATTCATGCCTTCTTCCAAGCCACCACTTATGCATGAAGCCTCTCCCTGAACTAAGCAGTAGAGCAGCGACCGTGTCCTTCTTCAAGACCCACTTCTGCCATGCTGCATATGGTAAAAGGCTAGGCTGCTGGCATCAGACATGCACCTTGCTCGTAGCTTTGGGAAAAAACAACCTAAAACCTGCAAATTTTACTCGTACCCAGCCTTTGTCAACATGCCTTCCTGGCTGGCTGGAGAGGGGATGAGGTGCAGGGAAAGCAGCAGTGTACCCTGCCCAACCCTTCCTTCCCTGCTCCCTCTGCTTGTCCTTTTTATTAGCTTATTGCATTTGTCTTCATTTGGATTGTACGATCTTCAGGGACTGTCTCTTACCCCGTCACCTGACCGGGACTCTGTGCACTTCTGTACTACAGAGGAATAATCAGGGTGTTCCAGTAAAAATCTCCAGAAAGATGGAGAGAAGAAATGAACTTCCTTACATGATTTCCCACTATAAAAGCAAGTATTGTAAGACAACCCATCATATAAGGAATGGTTCTGCAGTGTGTTGCCTAACGCAAAGTCATAGGTGCCCAGTCTGTGTCACTAAAGAGGACTGACAGCATGAGGTGGAGAAGTTCTTTCACAGGGTCGAGATCCATGTTGATGGCTCCAGCTGCTGGGAGCATGCAGACACAAAATGGCTCAGCTGGATATGTTCGCAGGCAAAAACCGTCAAAACACTTCTGCTCAATTCCTGTGGGATAGGCAGACAAGTTCTCCCACAAGGCACTATGATCCAAGCCATAGAGTGGCCACAGCTGGTGAGGGCACGAGGAACCCAGGATATGATGGTATTCACCTACAGAAGCTGAAGTTGTGACTGGGTCTGCGTAGTCCAGTATGGATGTGCCAGCACAGGTGTGAGGCTTGGGTTTCCTGTGCAGTATGGACACTCAAGTGCAGGCTTGGAAACACTGAGTCTGCAGGTACAGGTCACGCAGACAGGTTTATTATGCTGTGTAAACAAACCCATAGAGTTTAAAGCCAGAAGGGACTTCCAGATCGTCTAGTCAGATCTCCTGTATATCATAAGCCACCAGTTCCACCTAGCACCCTCACGCCAAACCCAACAATCAAAATTACACTAAAGATTTACAGTCGATAGGAGACGAGGCTGTACTCTGTCACCGGGAAAGAACAGGAGGGACCGAGGTGCACGAGTGCCTGAGGTCCCTGCAGTGGCAGGGAAAGGATAGATGAGATTTACCCAGATAATCCGGGCAAGTCACCCCCATACCCACACGCTGAAGAGGAAGGTGAAAACTCCCCAAGGTCCCTGCCAGTCTGACCTGGGGAAAAGTCTTCCCTGACCCCACACATGGCATTCAGTTGGACCCTGAGTATGTGAGCAAGAACCAGCCAGCCAAGCCCGTGAGAGACTGAATGCTCTGTGCCACTTCAGAGCCCTGGTCCTCCCTGTCCAGTGTCCTGTCTCCAGCCGTGGCCATCTCTGATGCTTTAGAGGAAGCAGATAAAAACAAAAAACCCAGAATAGATTGTAGAGGGAATCCCTTTTTGACCCCTGCAAGTGGTTGAAGCCCAGTTTATAGCCAGTTTGCCATGACAGAACATAAAAAAAAAATACATTAGTTATTAGTTGCAAAATAATGTATGTGCCAGAAAATATTAAGGGCTAGCAAAAAGCCACACACTTCCTCCATAGACCTTTGTATAAGAACTTTGAAAAATAACATGACTAAAACGCAGCCAGTGCTGTGATGGCAGAGTAATCACCTGTCAGTGTAATCTGTGGTTAAAGCGGGGATTGTCTTTCCTGTTCTGTTCTATACTTCACGTTCCAAAACATAAACCAGCAAAGCCCGGTAACTCTCCAGCGTGTTCTTGTTCTACCCGAAATAGGCCTACGACTGTTGAAAATGTGAAGAGAATTGATGGCGTATCTGAAGCAAAATCTGCCATGTTGGTTCCTCTCCTGGATGATATCAAGGAGTTTTGCCATGCAAATAACCTGGAGGTAAGATTTTTTCCTTCAACAGGGCCTTCTGCTTCCCTGGTGGAGCCCTCGAGATCTGCCTCAGCTTGTGATTTACAAGTTCCATTTTTCAGGCTTTCTGGCATGGGTCCCTGTCCTTCCTCCAATTACAGGACAGGACTCATGTTGTAGCCTGTGGACAATCCTCCTGAATCACCTCAAGTTGCTGATACTGAGCAAAGCCCTCCTCTCACTCCTCCGGGCTGATTCTGCTTCCTCTGCAGCAATGAACGGCTGGGCCTTGGGAGTGGCATCCAGCTTGTCTGGTTGGCCGTGTGGTGGATGACAAGTAGGCCGGAGAAAGTGGGCTTCTAAATAGGTTTCTGAAGAAGTTTTCAAAATACAATATCAGCTCCTCTCCTTTCATTTCTTCTTGCCCTTGTTTTTCCCTTCATGTTCTCCAGTTTCCCATGTTCTTTCTCCCACCTCTTGTTAAGGATTCTTCCTTTCTTTTACCCAATCTGTCTGTGGCGAAGTAGATGCCCTCCTGAGGGTAGCTCCTGAGATATGACCGTCTCATGTACATCATAGCTAAGCATCCTGTAGGTTACTCAAGGGGCTATCTTCATCACTCCTTGAATAACTGACAAGACTGGCTACTGGGTTGAGTGGGTAAGCTTGGTCTCCCACGCCCTGGACTTGGCATGTCATGATTACAAGCTTCTCTGTGGGCAAGGGTGCTGGAACAATTTGTATAGTGGGGGTGCTGAGAGCCATTGAACCAAACTGCAAACCCTGTATATGACGGAAACCACTTCAAGCCGGGGAGTGCAGCAGCACCCTTTGTTCCAGCACCTATGCCTGTAGCTGTTCATTTCTTCACATATGCAATGGAAATCATTTTGATCCAGAAGTTCCAGGTTACACAGTGCGTAATGATACTGGATACGTTCTATGTAAATACCTGTGGAACAGATTAGCAGCCATGGCTCGCCTGGAGAACAAGCAAAACACAGGGGTGTTGAGAACCTCATTCCTAAGGTGGAGAGACTCTCATCTAAATCCCATGTAGGCCTCAGCAATTCAAGGCTTGGCTTGATCTCTCTATCTGGCGAAGGGACTAGAAAGTGAGGAAACACTTGGCCTAATCCCCCTCCTCCTGGCAGCTGTGGAGCAATAATACCTGTTGTGAGATGAGCCCTACAACAAGGTTTCTTTTCAATGGAACCTGTTAATGGCCACAGTCAGAATGCCCATGTGGTGCTGGTAACAAAGAAAGGAACCTCACTGTTACTTCCCCAAGAAGGAAGGCTAGATGGCAGCAGTGGAGAGGTTAGAAATTAGTCCATGCTTGGGTACACCAGTTTTGTAGTTCCTAGCCCGCCAGTTCTGGGAAGGAAATCTTCGGAGTATGGGGTCAATGCACACATCTTGTTACACTTAGAGGAGGGCTGATTATTCACCAGTTCCCCAAGCTTGCTTTCCGTTCTTTTAGAAATCATATATAAACTCCCTAAAATAGTGTGTGGCAAGCATCCAGTTTTTCTTAAAATAGCTAGTAACTATGCAGCCTGTTTTTAGGATTCATGGTAAATTGCAGACTGAGCTCTTTTATCATCAGTGCTCTTTTTCAAAGTGGCTCGGTTTATACAAAATCAGCATTCCAGCTCTTGACTTTCAGTGGCTCATATTTGAAAACAAGCAAAATGGGTTTTGTTAGCCATTGTTTTTTTTTTTTTTAAATTGTATTGATTTGCAGTGCTAAATGTGGACCAAAGCCTTCAGTTATTCACTCAGGCAAAATTTCCAGTAAAGGCAGACTGCAGGATGTGGCCCTAAACATAGTGGCTGGCAAATCTGTAGCAGAAAGAAATAGATATTTCTAATTATAATGAGGACTGCAGAAGTCCTGGGTCTGTGCTGTTCGCATCTGATCTTAAATGTAGGAGGTTCCTCTCAACTCCCCAACACCGACCCCATCACTGAACTCCTGTCAGTGTCCACTTTGAGTCCTAGGACCAGTCTCAAATGTAGCTTGTACTGGTGTACATGCCATCTTTCTTCACTCAGGTTTCCTTGCTGAGCTGATTGAATTCCTGTCTGGTTTGGTGCTTCAGCCACTGAGGCGATTGTCCTCAGTATTTTGAATGTCCTTTCACAAAATAACTGGTCTGGATGGGTCCATTGTCTCGTTGCTGCCATGACAACCATGGAACTGTTTCAGATGTTTCTGGCTCAGCACACAAAGCTGGTTACACTCCAGATTTGATATTTGGGTTGGGGTTGGAGACTGAGACATATGGAATTCGCCTTTGTCAGGGTCAGACTATTGCCTGTCATGGTTTGAGGGCAGGACTCACCTTTGCTTCCCATTTTATTGGTCCATCCTGGGAGACTGGTGGACCTGACTTTTCTGAAGGATGCTTTGCTCAGTGGACCCACTCTTCCAATATTCTCACTGAATGTTATGATTCCCTTCTTCTGGCCTAGTGGACAGAGCACTGGGCTTAGATTTGGGAGGTCAGAGGTCTGGTCCCAGCTCTGTTGCTGATCTTCTGTGACTTTGGGCAAGTCATTTCACTGCTCCATGCCTCAGTTTTGTGAACTGTAAAATGGGGATAATGATACTGACATCCTTCGTGAAGTGCTTTGGGATCTACTGATGAAAAGCATTAGATATTATTCTGTCCATTACTATCCATAGGGTGGCACCCTGTCCCAGTGTGCTTTCTTTGCTGATCATTGTGGTGACAGACAAAGCACCAGGGGGATTCTGTGCTACCAGTAGTAGAAATCATGTTCTGAGTTTTTGCACTCTTATGCTTACCCTAGATGTGAAAGGATTCTTATTCTCCACTCTAGCGCCTGCAGAGTCCCAACCAGCAGATACATCCAGGCAGGAAGAGTGCCTGCCGAACTGTCTGTGCTTGGGTAGAGATGAGTGTTTCCCACTGTTGGGAGGAGTTTTCTCTCTGCTTCACAGATCAGGTCGCTGGGATGCAGGCTGTGTTGGCCTCTTCCGTGAAGGCAGAACCGTGTGTGTGTGGAGTGAGGTTGGGAGAAGGAGTCTTGTCAAGTTTTTAAAAACAAATTCGTAACTTAGAACACATAAAAATACATGTTTATTTAAAAATAAAAGATTACTCTACATTACTATATTATGGTACATATGAGTATCAAACTTTCTTAACAGTGCAGACTAATTCAGAAACTCACCAACCAGTCTGGTGTTTGTCAGTCCAGACACCAGTTATTTTGTGACCCCTGAGGTATGTTAAGCAGACTGTCCTATAGCTTGCTTCAGCACACGTGTGTGTACGTGTGCATATGAATTATAAGCATCCATCTTGGGGTTGTTCTACTGTTTATGTGTTGAACAGTCTGACTGTACAGTCCAGTTTGCTCAAAGTCTAGCTCTTCCATTTCCAATTCCAGAGCAGATGACCAGACAGGATGATTTCTTGGGCAGCTGTTACTGGGCTTCATTCCTGCTTACTCTTGTTTGTCACCCTACAGACAGACACATTCCCTACTTGTGGATCTAGGGAACAGCAGCTAGCAGCCCTCCAGAAGAGAGGTGGGTGCAGCCCCCTTCCGCAGTCACAGCTCACAACATACATGCTGTTCCATGAGAAGAACCAGTCTTTGGTAAGTTAGTTCCCATTGGCGGGGATGTGGATATGTGGATGTGGATATGCTGGTTGTCTAAAATAGATGGTGGAAATATTGTGTGTCTGGGGATTGCAAACTTGTTAAAACATGAGCCTTGAGGGCCAGACCGAGTTAGTTGCTGCTGTTCTCTTAAATCCTCCGTACGCTGCCAATGAGCCCCTGCTTTTGGAACACCAAATCCCTGCCATATCTGGAACAGAATGCCCCATCTGCACTGGCTGGCCAGGTAGCACTGGGAACTGTTTTTGCTATAACTGTGCCATTTCCACCTCCAACTGGACTTATCTCTTAACCCACAATAGTCAGATGGAAGCATCTTTCTGTACCATAGCACTATGGCATAGACACAGTACATAGGGCTGCATGTAGACATTTCTCCTGGGCTGGTGAGTACCGTGTCCCTGTTCTGGATATAAAAAAATCAAACCCTTTGCATTGTACCTCCATGTAAGTTTCGAATGGCCTGAAAAAAGCCCCACAGGAAAATTCAGTGTAAAATTGAAAGACTAAATATCAGTGCAACTTTCTGATTGAGACTTCCAAAGCTGTGATTCTTTCTGTACCCTGATCTCAGCCATGTTACTCACATCTGCTAAGACAGGCACTTGGGAGTTGGTAGTGCACAAAATATTGCATATGCACAGTTCTGGGAACCGTGACTTGGAATCACCTTTTGTGCATTTAAGGGCAAATCTGCCCTTGTAGCAGAGAAAGGCCCCAAGCATCAGACCAAGTGTAGTTCTTCTACCCAAGAGAGAGGATTTGGAGGTCTGCTCACCAGGTAGGCACCTCTCTGTAGTGCATACAAGGGGTGGGCAGATGGCGCAAGGACAGAGAGAAGTTAAGAGTTTAAATGGAGAAGATTAATTATTTGGGCAGCGGATAGGAATGTTGACCCAGATTCAGCCCTTATACAAACGGTTTTGGAACACTTGGTACACTTAAAAACAATGGGTTTGTTTCTCTTGACTAAAGTCCACCTAGCAGCAATGGCAGTAGTCCATACTCATGTAAAGGTTAAAGCCACCTTCTCATACAGTCTCATGAAAACCTTTTTTAAAAGTTTATTGACTCCATATCCCCCAGTTCATGACCCGGTCCCTCCATGGACTTTGAATTAGTACTAAGACAACCTATATCTTCCCCGCTTGAGCCTCTACGGGATTGTTTTGTTTCATCTTTCCATAGAGACAGCTTTTTATAATAGCAATTTCTTCCACCAGAAGAATTAGTGAGTTGTATGCACTGATGGCAGACCACCTTCCCCATACTACTTTTCATAAAGATAAAGTCATCTTAGACCACATCCTAAATTCCTTGCAAAGGTCGTCTCGGAGTTCTGTATCAATCAGAATATAAATTTACTTGTGTTTTTTTCCTAAACCTCATTCGCAATAAAGGGGAGTCTAGATTACATTGCTTAAATGAGTGCTCTTAGCTTATATTACCTGATAGAATGAAGAACTTCATGTCTTGTCCAAGTTATTTGTTTCATTTGCTGGTACTTCTAAGGGTCAGGCCATTTCAGCACAGTTCCTGTCCAGATGGGTTAGACTTTGTATTGAGGAATTTTATCAAAAAGCTTCCCTTTCTCCTTCTGGTCCTCTTAGAACCCATTCTCTTAGAAGGGTAGGTACATCTGTAGCAGTCTCCAAACATATTCCTCGTATTGATATAATCAGGGCTGCTCCATGGCGTTCAAGTCACACTTTTACAGGACCTTATGCATTGGATCTGGCATCCAGCTCTGAAGCACAGTTTGGCAGAGTGGTGCTTCAGTCATTATTTAATTAAAACTCTGCTCCCTCCTTCCTTATTTACAGTCCTGCGTGTCTAACTGTCCCGAGAGTGGGAACATGCAGAGGACACTCGAAGAAGTAGTGAAGGTTGGGTGGTGGTAACTGGAATTCTTTGAGGTGTACTCTGCGTGTTCACACTCCCCACCTGCGTTCCCCGCTCCTCCAGCATCCTAGTTTTAGTGTTAGGTGGCATTCCACTTTTGTAGTTGGAAGGAACTGAGATGGCAGTAGCGCCAAGCCCCCCTTTTATAGCCACACCCACAGAACGCGCACCGATGCTGGGGGCAGGGGAGGGATGTGCACTAACGCGCACGGCTAGTAGAAGGTTGCACTGCCCTGGCTGCTCCCAGTCAGCGTATTGCAGGAGTGAACATGCAAGAGTCTGTCTCAAAGAACTCCACTTACAACTAGCCAACCTTCATTGCCTAATCATAATGTGACCTTACCAGGGGCTTTGCATTGGACTCTTTATTAATTTGTTATGTAGGCTGAGAGCCATAGCACACTGGGAGAAATATGCATGTTGCTCTGTGCCTTCGAAGGCGGGTTCCATAATCCATTGCTTTTATATCTGTTTTGTTCAGCTTCTCACTTTTTATTGCTCTTCGATCCGTTAGTATGATGCTGAAATAGCCTCAAGCTTCTCTTATCCCTCCCAAGAGTGTGTGAGTGAACTTGTCAGATAGTCGCTATATTAAAATGCCCAAGGACTAATTAACGAGAAGCAATAGAACAATTAGCGTTAGGTAATTTGATGCCCAGTATCAAATAACCGTGATTATTGCATTTCCCCTGTGTGTATTGTCTGGGGGAAAGTCAATAAAAGAAACATAAAGCCTAATTCTTTCAGGGAAAATAATTAATTTTAAATCCAGCCAGTAAAAAAATTCAACTCTAGTCAAGCAAAATCAAAGATGTTGCCCCAAGATTGTGGTAATGGAGTCCACCTAAAAGAACTTGAAATACTCAGCTTTTGTTTGTTATCATTTCTATTCTGGCGGTGCCAACAGTGACATTAGGACTCAGTGAGGGTTGCTGCATTTACAGATCTCTTGCAGTTAAGGTGTAGATAATTGGCTGCTTTATTGAGGAATGTTTTGGGCTTTAACAAACCGAACGTTACAAGTGAGCTGAGCTGATTACACAGTTACAGCTACCAGGTTGTCATTAAACTTCTCTCCATCACCAGTGAAATCCTGTTGCCCTGGAAATAGCTGTGGAAGACCCAATATGCAGTGAAAATAGGATTCCCTTTGCATGGTGCAGACTGCCATGCTCAGAGACTGATCCCCATCTTCCAGGTAGCAGAGCAGAGCTTGGTGGTGGCTGTCTCCGTAGGGCGATTGTGAGCAGGCCAGAGGTATAGAGCAAACCATAGAGATGCACTGGCCCTATGTAGCATGTAGGTCCTGGCAAGAGCTTATTGTCTCTCTTTGCTCTAGCCCCATGACAGTGTAGTAGCAAGTCTGGAGCGGCTCCACGGCCACTGCTAAAGGATGGAGCTCTGGGTTCTGCTCCTTAGACATTTGAACTCAGAGCAGAATCTTTAATATGCATGGGATTTCAGGGTCACAGTGAGAGATTGCTCTCCAAGCCAGCAATAATATTTTGAAGTGAAACCTCTTTACAGATTGGATTCAGTATCTGAAAGAGATCAGAAAAACGTGCCTTGTAAAGTGGTTTGGAGTTCTTGTTGTGTAGTCAAAGGCGATGGTCTCCTGTTCTTGCTGTTGCTTTGTGAAGCAGCATGCACCATGCATTATCATTTATTATTTGTATTACCATGGTGCCTAGGAGTCCCAGTCACCGACCACGACTCCATTGTGCTAGGGGCAGTACAAACAGAACAAAAAGACAATCCCTGCCCTAAAGAGCATCTCAGAGCAATCTAAGCATAAAAGAAAAACCAACAGATGAATACAGACAGGCAGAGGGAGTACAAGAAAACATCAGGACATGACAGCAGTGGTCTCAGCACACCAGCAGCCTAACAGTTGTCATGTTTTTTGTAGGCCTCCGAGCAAAGGAGACTTTTGAGGACAGGTCTACACTACAAATTTACATCAGCGCAGCAGCACGGATGCAGCTTTGCTGCTCTAGCAGGTCTGGTGAAGACGCTGTAAGCTGACGGGAGAGAGCTCTCCCATAGGCTTCATAACTCCACCTCTGTGAGAGGCGGGAGCTATGTCGGCAGGAGCAGCTCTCCAGCTGACATAGCGCTGTCTATCTGGGGGGTTAAGATCAGTATAATGATGTTGCTTAGGGGTATGGATTTTTCACACCCCTGAGTGATGTAGTTATTACTGAAGTAAGTATGCAGTGTAGAGCAAGCCTAAGGAAGGTTTTGAAGGAGGATAAGGAGTTAGTTTTGCAGATGTTTATCAGGAGCTCCTCCCAGGCAGCAGGGCAGCATGGGAGAAAGCACCAAGGTGCTAGTTTGAAAATTTAGCAAGTGGGCAATAAAGAATGGAGCCGTGGGCCAGCTGGAGGCAGGAACCAACCTTTTGATAATGAAAGATCAAAGGTAAGTGGGACTAGGCTGTGAAAGGTCTTGGAAGTGAAGACAAGAAGCTTATGTTTGATACAATTGAGAAAGGGCGAGTCAGTGGTGGGATTCAAAGAGGGCTTTGGTTCTTTTGTTGTTAGATCTCATACACTTTTACCACTTCAGATTTCTTCTCTCATTGTTTCCTCAGAAGAGTATATGTGAAAGCAGGTCTCTGCCTCTCACTGTGGTTGGCTCTCATTTATTCCAAGCCATGAAAGCTGGCTACCCAGTCGACTTAGAACGAGCGGGTCTGACTCCTGAGGTTCAGAAGCTTATTACTGATATCATCCAAAACCCTCCCATCAACTCAGGTGAGAAGCACAGCTCTAGTCTGAAGGTCTCAATGACAGTCATTGGGATATGAATAAAGCAAACAAGAAACGTATGTATCCTGTTTGTTCCTTTGGTGAGAATTCATCACTCAAAGGACCCATTCCTGAGCCAGGCTGAGCATGGCAGGGCAAAGGGCCTTCCCCTTGGGTTTCAAGCCAATGGGAGATAAGGGTGCATGGCAAGCCACAGCCTCAAGCCGTAAAAGAGAGGAGGAGGGGAGTTTTCTTTAAGAACTTCTTAGTTGAGTGCAGACACAAGATTGGTGTCTCAACAATATGTAAAAAGATCCAGACATAATTTTTTAACTGTGTCCGTATTTAGGCACCTAACTTCAGCCTCTGAGTTTGAAAATGTTGGCCCCAGTGAATAGTTAGGCATCAGCAGCATGCCAAGTGAATCCTTGAAAATATCTTAAATTTCCTCACATTGCAAACCTGGGTCATTTAAGATACTGGGGTGATAAAGAGAACCAGACAAGTAAACTAATAAATAGATTGTTACCTGCATTTTAAAACTTATCAGAATTCTTTAATGTTAGATGGGCACCTGATTTAGTGATTTAAGCTCACAACTGGTAGCCCCAAAGCAGGGTTTCAATTTCCAGCTCTTCCACTGATCTACTGCTTGGCCTTGGGTGAGTCGTGTCATCTCTGTGGTTGTTTCCCCATCAGAAGGAAGTAGCTATCATCCCTCCATATTGCAGGTGAGGTAATGGAGAAGTTGCATTTGTCATTTCTAGCAGAGCTGGAGATAGAACCCAGATCTCTCATGTGGCAACTATTGATGATGATCTTCATTCTATTTAAAAGGACACCAGTTACAACTGTAACCCACACACCTCCTGGGTGTGGTGTTCTGTTCCATCTAGTGGCACTGAGACCACTTAGAGAGAGAGAGAAAATGAGTCTGCTCTACAGCCTTAGCTAAGAGTCAGTCGGCTTTTAGCTCATGCTGTAGAGGCTCTTACACTAAGCTCCAGAGGTCCCCGGTTCAATCCCGCCCGCCGACAATTACGGTCTGTTGGCGTTACACAGTAACAATAAGGAAAAATGCTCTGAGTCTTCTCTTCTTTCCATACCCCCAACTCTACTGGGGCCATTCATGAGTCATTGCCATTCGCAGGAGGAAAGCATGGAGCTTAGAAGAACCAGAGGAGTTTCTGGGAGTCTGAAGGCTCATTCTCACCAGTTCAGCAATTCCCTGCTGTAGAGCTGGGCTCTGTTATTTTTGGACTTTGTACACTAAGCTGACCTGTAGGTAGGTCAGTCTGCTGCACAGTGATCACATGCAACTTTCTAGGGCTTGTGGGCCCAGATGCAATTCAGCGTTGTACCTGTTAAACAGCACTGTCAAGATCAGCTTCTTATCTGTACTACAGATAACCCCATAAAATCTGAATGACTTCCACAGGGTGGAGTGTTTAGCTCTGTGCATTTCATTCAGCTGGGACAGTGACACCTGGCTGCTACGTTTATAGTCAGTCACTCCTTTGTTTCCATGTGCTAACACAATGCCGTGGTGTTTGGGCTGCAGCACTCTTGTTGCAGAACTTGTTGAACAATCTACTTCCACTTAACTACAAAAATCAGGAAAACACTTCTGTTAAGCTTTTCTGTAACGTTTTGGATGTAAACTACTTTTGTCCCTTTTAAGTAAAATGAAGAATGTTGTCAGTATTTACCAGAGATGATTCATTTGTATTCTGTGCATCACTTTATTTCTGGATAGCAGAGTGTGAGCAGCTGTTAAGTGATAAACAGATTTCAGACTAGAAAGAAGATGCAGACTTTTAACACTGAGGTCCATCACTGGATGGAGCAATTTGCCCAGGGATGTGGTGGATACTCCATCACTTGAAGTCTTTAAATTAAGATTGCTTATTTTTTATAAAAGATCCGTTCTAGTTAAACCACAGTTAATTCAGGGAAGTTGTCTGGCCTGCGTTATGATCACAATGGTCCCTTCTGACCTTAAACTCTGTGAATCTGTGAAAGTGTTTATGAAAGGTACCAGTGCCACCTTATGGTGTGTAGTGATTAGAGGGGCAAGGGAGAGTTGGGGGAGGAGATTGAGATGGAGAGGTGGCCATGACATTAGGGTAGGTGATTGCCAGTGACATCACTCGATCATTAGGGGTGTGATTCTGAGGATAGGGGAAGAGGCTGCAGAGGGATGCATTAAGGAGAGTGCAGACAGACCTGTAGCATGAGAGTTTGGCTTGTTTGGATGTGCCGTCACCAGGGTGGCTGATGTGATTACAGAGAAGTCCTTGTTATGTCAAACTAACAGCAAATGATATTTGTGACAAATAAGCACATACAGGAACTCCTCACTTTAAGTCATCCCGGTTAACATTGTTTCGTTGTTATGTTGCTGATCAGTTAGGGGACATGCTCGTTTAAAGTTGTGCAGTGCTCCCTTTGGCAGCCGCCTGCTTTGTCCACTGCTTGCAGGAAGAGCACCCGGGTGGAGCTAGCTGGTGGGGGCTTGGAACTAGGGTGGACTGGCAGCCCCCCTAGCAGCTCCCTGCTCCTCTAAGTTCCCTGTGCAGCAGCTGCCCAGCAGACTATCAATTGCGGGCAGTTCAGCTGTCCCTCCCCCACTGCCATGTGCTGCTCCTGCCCTCTGCCTTGGAGCTGCTCCCCGAGCCTCCTGCTTGCTGTGCAGGGCAGGAAGAGGGGGGCTAATGTCAGGGTGTCTCCCTCCCCCCTGCTCCTGCACCCTGCATACCCCATCTTCCATAGAGCAGGGGGGACACAAGACAGTCCCGGAGGGAGCAGCTGAGGTGGGTCTCAGCTTGCTGATCTGATTAACAAGGCAGCGTACTTAAGACAGGAATCAGCATATTCAAAGGAGAAATGCGCGCGCGCACACACACACGTGCGCACACGATGTGTGTCTCTGTCTGCTATGCTTTCTTCCCTCCCTTCATTCCTTCTGCCTTGTAGAGTGTGAGGCTACATTAACAACAACGAGTTAACCCTTGAGGATTAGTTCATCGTTTAGCAGTAAGGCATTCCCTGGGAAATATCCCACCCTCTGACCTCACCACCTCAGCCAACCTTCACAATCATCATTGCTGTGTACCAGTATTAAATTGTTATGTATATATAATATAGTCTTTTGTCTGGTGAAAAAAATTTCCCTGGAACCTAACCCCCCCATTTACATTAATTCTTATGTGGAAATTGGATTCGCTTAACATCGTTTCGCTTAAAGTCGCATTTTTCAGGAACATAACTACAACGTTAAGTGAGGAGTTCCTGTTCCTCCCTTAGGCCAAGTTGCAAAGGACTCCTAGTATACTGGCTCATATTGTATGTGATGCAATGCCTAAGCACTTGGCTGAGTTGGAGTTAGTCCAGTTAGAAAGTGCCTTTCATGACCTTAACACGTGGAGAGCATGTTATTCTGGTTAGTCTGATTTTATCACAGATACTTGTAGTAATAGTGAACTCCCTGAAAGATTATTTAGGTAACACTCAAAGAGCTGGAATCATGCACAGCTCTATATTTACTGTAAATGCTAAGCATTATGGCTGGAATTTCAAATAACCCTCAGGGAGCTCAAACTCATGAGGCTCCTTTGACAGTCCCACCCTGTATCTATAAGTGGGGTTAATAATGCTTACCTACGTCTCGTAGAGCACCGTGAGAACATTAGGTGGCAAGCATTCTGCAAGTGCTGTTACTTGTGGTTTGTGGTGGTGAGGCTGACGGCTGTTCTTTGAATCAGTGCAGGGAGGGCAGTTCATTATCCCAGCACTATGGTTTGGGGGCTGATGAGAGAGGCACACAAACTTCGAACTAAGAAAATGACCACTGGTCTGGATAAAAATGAAGACATAACAGACATTTGTGGCTAGCATTTATTGTTAAAGTTAATATTGTGATTGGACATGGTCCTTTTTGAAAATATTTTGTTCAAATAAAACAACGAAAATGCCACACCACCTTCTTATGCACCAACTTACAGGTACACATTCCTATGCTATGAGAAGGAGATATTGGAAACATATTTTTTCTTTATTTTTATTTTTTTATAAAAGTGTCCTTTTAGCATTTGGTCAGTTTTTAGTTTCTCTGAAATTTCCAGACCCCTTCACACTCCTGCTATTTTCAGTGAGCCCAGAAACCCTTTTAGGAGCAGTTAGAGGGCTATCCAGACACCTTCAACTCACTTTCAGCTGCATAAACTCAACTGGGTGCTCGGAGAACTCCAATTTCAGTTGGACAGAAAGCGGGGGTTGCACTGGCCAGTGCTGCTGAAAAGTAGCTGGATCAGCAGGGGAGGAGTTTGAAATGACTTATTTTCTGTGAGCCCCTGGCTCCCATCTACTACAAATCATAGGTGGACAGACTCCTACAGTGCTCCTCTTCATTAAGAAAGTGAATTAAGGGCATTGTCGATGCAATGTCTTAAAATAAGAGGAAAGCTGTAGAAGAGCCTAGCTGCCTTTAAAGTACAGCACCTGGCTAGAGATGAGGAAGGAAAGTTGGGGAGAAGAGTGCGAATGGCTAATTGGACCAAATATGACTGCAGTGGGGTTGCATGACTGTAAGTGAGGTCAGGATTTGCTGTTTGGGCTAATATTTTCCTTTCTCATGAAGTTCAAGCTGTGAACTGTATTTTATTGTATTGTTTAACCCATTCCATGCTGTAAAATATGCTGTGCTTTAATGAGGGGAAAATTCACTGGCTGTTGATGTTCAACCCTCCTTCCCCAAAGCTCAACAGAGTGCTCCTGGAGCTCTAATTTGGACAAGGACTTCAGGAACTTGGGGGGTTTACTAAAATATATATATATATTATCCCTCCAAGATGTAACCAGAATGACAGCGATTAGAGCACTGGTCCCTGCAAATATCGAGCTGTACCTGATCCGAATGGCAATTGTGCTGCTGCAGAAAGGGTGTGGAAACGGGCAGCTGGGCCAACCGTGTGAGTCAGGCAAGAAAAGCCTCTCAGCTGAGTGTGAAGGGCCGCCGGCCAGCATGGGGCCAGCCCAGAAGAACAAGGAAGGAATGCCATGGACTGAAACAGAGGTTAGTAAAGCAAGTTATAAGACAGTCTGCTTCTGCAAAAAGAAGGTTTATTTTGTAGAGATGTCGTAATGTTTGATTTAAGGTGCTTTTTATAATGCCATTAAGTGGTGTTCTAATTAACTTCTTATACATCAGGTACCAATGAAAGTAGCTGCATTTTTAGCACAATTCAAGTTTTGAACGTGTTGTTAATCACTGAGATCAGCTTTGCATAAGACAAACCTATGTGCATAGGAGAAACCCGTGTGCTTTCCTGTTCTGTGGGTAAATGATATGAATGCCCTGAAGCGTCTCTTCCTGCACTGTTCAGACACTACCTACTCCTGTATGGAATTACGAAAACCTTGTTCAGACTTCCTGTGTGACCTCGGCCAAGTCACTCAGGCTCCCTGTGCCTCAGTTCCCCATCGTACAGTAGGGATAATGCGCTGCCTCACGGGGGTGTTGTGAGGGTAAACACATTGAAGATAGTGAAGTGCTCAGATGCTATGGTGATGGAGCCCTATGAATGCCTAAGATAGATAGATTGGAGACTGTGCCAGGCATTTAGGAGCAAGATGGACTTCTGGACATTCTGACCCCTGGGCAGCAGAGTTCAAAAGTGCTACCTGACAGGTCACTCATAAGAACGGCCATACTGGGTCAGACCAGTGGTCCATCTAGCCCAGTATCCTGTCCTCTGACAGTTGCCAATGCCAGGTGCCCCAGAGGGAATGAACAGAACAGGTAATCATCAGGTGATCCATCCCCTGTTGCCCCTTCCCAGCTTCTGGCAAACAGAGGCTAGGGACACTTCAGAGCATGGTTTTGCATCCCACCCATTCTGGCTAGTAGCCATTGATGGACCTATCCTCCATGAATGTATCTAATTCTTTTTTGAACCCTTTTATAGTCTTGGCCTTCACAACATCCTCTGGCAAAGAGTTCCACAGGTTGACTGTGAGTTGTGTGAAGAAATACTTCCTTTTGTTTGTTTTAAACCTGCTGCCTATTAATTTCATTTGGTGAGCCCAAGTTCTTGTGCTCTGAGAAGGAGTAAATAGCACTTCCTTATTTACTTTCTCCACACCAGTCATGATTTTATAGACCTCTATCATGTGTCCCTCCTTAGTCGTCTCTTTTCCAAACGGAAAAGTCCAGGTCTTATTAATCTCTTTTTATATGGAAGCTGTTCCATACCCCTCATCATTTTTGTTGCCCTTTTCTGTACCTTTTCCAATTCCAATAAATCTTTTTTTGAGATAGGGCGACCAGATCTGCACGCAGTATTCAAGATGTGGGCATACGATGAATTTCTATAGAGGCAATATGATATTTTCTGTCTTATCTGTCCCTTTCCTAATGATTCCCAACATTCCAACTCCTGAACGGAATGTAGCACTGTGAGATTGCAGCTGAAGGGCTGTTTATGCCAACCTGGGTACGTATGTCTATGCTGGCACTGTGGCTATAGAACCACATGAGCAGGGGAGTTGTGTTGCTCTGAAAAGCGGAATAACTATGCTAGTAAAAGTGGAGGCTTTTGTCAGAGATAAAATAAGCATGAACGTGTTTCAGGTTTTGCTGAAAAAACGTGAGTTTTGCTCCAGTCATCATTAACTTAAAAAAATTTGTATTGTCCGCTAACTTTGCCACCTTCCTGCTTGCACTTTTTCTAAATAATTAATACATATATTAAGTAACATGGGATCCAATATGGAACCTTCAGGTTCCGACTCTTAACCTTTTGCTGATGAACTTTCACCATTTATTCCTACTTTTCGTTTCTTGTCTCTTAGCCAGTTTTTGATCCATGACAATACTTTGCCTGTCACCCCCTGACTACTGCAGAGTTTCTTTAGTAGCCTCTTGCTGGGGATTTCATCTTAACATTCCTAAACTCTCAATCCACTTTACTGGCTTTGACAGGGCTCTGTCTCAATTTCCAGAAGTGTATCCTTTTGTCTCGAGTAACCTCTGGAGTCTTGTCACTTAGCCCCGCTGGTTTACTGCTTTCCTTACTTTCCTTCCTTTCCTTCCCTTCTGAGGCTGCCCTTGTTTTCTGAAGTTGCCTCCATGCCAGATCTAAAGACTTCAATTTCTGCATAAATGTACTTCTGTTTGTAACTGATATAGCAGATCCAGTGATGGAAAGTTATTGGCATGGTGCATTTTAACAGTCACAATAAATTTACCATAGTATTTTAACAATGAATGTATGGGGACTAAGTTGAGAGAACTGAGCTCCTGTTCATTTGTGAGCTAGGACCAAGTTCAGTGCCTTTGAAAGAGATGCTAGTTCTAGTAACCCAGTGCCCCGCTAGTACCAATCTCACATTTGTTATTGCTTTTAAAGGCGAATTCAAAGAAGCCAACCACACACACATACAAGTTTGTGTCCAAGGAAGGAGTAAAACAAGATCATCCACATATGGATTCTTCACCTTGGGTAAATTTGTGTCTTTATATTGTAACACGTGATAGTTTTGCTGATAGCAAGTGAGATGGGTAATCTATTCCAATGCCCTGTTTTTGATGTTCATGTCTTTCTGAACAACTTTGTTTTGGGCTGAAATTTCCTAGCACTTAAATAATAGGGTGATAGGTGCTGTACAAAAGCCTTAGTGGACAGAAACATCTCAGTCCATCTCTATATATTAACTAACCCTTTTGCTGGAAAGAACACCTCTGAGCAATAAGCAGTTCGGAGTCGCCACCAAATATTTAAAGGCTCCAAAACTGCTGTGGAATGCAGTGCCTAATACTTCTCAGGTCTACCAACAAGGCTGTTGAAATACAAGTTTCAGCACCTTGTGTCTGAAATAAGTGCTCCATTTCCTGAAGTTCTGATGGGATGAAAAAGATGTAAATGAACTAGTGGTCTAATTAAGTACAAGGCACTATATATCCTCCCTTACTATTATGTAAGCTTATTTTCAAAATAAAGAACTTTCCATGAATGAAATATTAATTGTTTGGATTTTGAATCTTAATGCGGTAAGTGGAAAGTTTGCTTTAACAGGCCATGTTTTATTCTTCTAAAATGGGAAGCTTGTAAAGAGCAGCAAGATGGATAACAAACAACCCCCAAATGCAGAACGGGATGTACCAAGCCATCAAACCTCCCTTCATTTGGCCTCCTGGAATCAGCCTCCCTTGGATCCTGATGAAGAGGAACTGTTCAGTGACTCCCAATCAAAGGTAGCACTCTGATCCATAATCTTAGTTACGTCTCGCAGGGTCCTAGAGCTTGGGCCTCAGCCCAGAAGTCTTCCTGTGCCCCGCGAGCCTGAGTCGGCTGGCATGGGCCAGCTGTGGGTTTTTCTTTGCTATGTAGACAGACCCATACAACTTACTATTTTTTTCCCCGTGCAGTAATTATGGTCTGAAATCAAGCTTGTCTCTCTCAGACTAGACAGATTAAGCTCTTCAAGTCTCTCACTGTAAGCCATTTACTCCAAATCATTTTTGTGGCTCCTTTCTACAGTTTCTCCAATTTTTCAACATCCTTTTAAAAATGAACACCAAGACTGTACAAAGTATCCAGTATCAATCTCACTAATACCATGTACAGAGGTCTATAAGATCTTACGTGTTAGAAATAATCTACCCTGAGGCTAACAAACCAGACAGACTTGTAAAATATCACTTACTATAGTTAGTACCTTCTCACCATTTGGGACTACTGGATGCATATCTTAATTCAGTTTCTATATACATTAAAATACCCTATCCTTTTTGTAAGAACATGCTGTTAAAGTCGGATCTATAGTAATTAATGTTGTTTAACTTTTATACTGCAGTAGGACCTAAAGGCTTCAGCCAGGTTGGGTCCCATTGTGCTAGGTGCTGTACAAATATATAATAGTTCCTGCCTCAAAGAGCTTCTAGCCTAAAAACAGCGCACCAAGTATTATCAGCCGCTGATTATTTACAATTATTGTGAAAGCAGAATTTAGTGAAAGTCCAGTGACTTCAGTGGGACCGACCTCACTGAGTAGGAGGCTCACCTGCCCATCCCCCCTTCACCAGCTATGCTAGTGTCTTGTTTGTATTGAACTTGTTACAATTCTCAGTGTTAACCTCCATAGAAATTTAAATTTACATTTTATTTTTAACCATCAGGAGTCTCCCTCTCTGCCCTAAAGATGCCAGACTCCATCAATTTATATACAGTAATTCTCTGCCACAATCTAGCATCTCATAAAAGATCTTATAAGACCCTGATCTTATAAAGCAGGGAGCATACTGGGTTTCCAGTCTTGGCTCGTAGCTTGATAGGGAAGCATGCAGATCCCAATCCACCTAAGACGTTTTTGCTTTTCTTCATGTGTATCATTCTTTTCTTTTTGTCCTCTCCTAAAAGAGGCACTGTGATGCCTCTAATAACATGCTGGTGGTGCTGCTTTGGGCATGGTTGTTTCAGTTCCAGCCTGTTCTTATTAGCAAAGGAATAGCTGTTATTCTGTTAATCCTGCCAATCAGAAATCATCTTACTTTGCAAGCAGGAAGACAGCCCAACCCCATCTGGATCCAACATTGAATCACTTAGCAGTCTGGATTTTGGATCACAGTTCCCACTCCCTGCCCAAAATAAGGCTTGGATGAGGTTCTTTAGAATCCAGAGTTAACAACTACAGCAAATGTATTTTCTTGGTCTTATCCAATCCCACTCACACTGGAGACTTTCTGTCCTTATCCAAGCCACACTTAGAGTTCTGCAGTGTCTCACCCCATCTTGCCTAATCTCTCTCTCTCGGTCTTATACTGTGCCCATCTTCATGGTGCAGTGTCAGCACCTTGAGAGGGAGTGTGATCTGGAGCAGTGTTTCTCAACGACTGTAGACGGGTGCTGGTCCCTGAGAGCTCCCTGACGCCATTTAGTAAGCCAGCAAACTGGTCCTTAGTATCAAAAAGGTTGAAAAACACTGGTCTAGAGGAATGAACACAGGGGTTAAGAGTGAAGAGCTCCTCTCTTCTTATCCAAGTTCCTCCAGCGAGTCTGTTCCCACTAGGAAAAACGGACTTTTTTAAATAGGGTAACTCTCAGTCGCTGATATGCCTGCAAATGCTACGTGGCACCTACTGTAGACACAGTTTAACACCTTGACATTGGTGTTAGCTAGTGGTAGCCTAGGGTACATGGCTTTAATTCTGTTTCTCCATCGGTATATGGGGATATAGCCTGTCTAGCTGATGGCCAGTGAGGTTTGTACAGTGCTTTGGACATGTAGAGTAATGTAGGTGTTGAAGCACTGTGCCCGGCAGGGGGTGTAGCAGCTTTAGAGCTGATGTAGTCAATGGGTGGAGAAGGGCCCATCTTTCCTATTCCTATCCTACACATTTGGGAGAAGGCTTTAAAATCTTATGAAGAGTGACTAGAGTCCCAGCTCGCTCCCCCTGGGGAGTCGCTGGGGTCGGCGTTCAGTAAACTGAGAGCCAGGTGTGTGGGTGAGGATGATTTGTTGAGAAGGTCACTGCCAAGTCTGTGGGGCACTGGGGTAGAATTGAGTAGTGGGCCCCTGCCCTGACTAGTATCGGGCTGAGATGATGCATCCTTTGTTGGACCTGTGGGAAGTTGGTTGTTGGGTTCTTGTCCAGCTTGTGGGGTGCTGAGGAGGTTGTGAAGGGAGAGCGTCTCTAGGTGAGCTACTCGAGGTCTTGGGGAGAGGATTCCCTGTCCGGGCTCTGGATGGGGTAGGTGAGTCCCTGCCTAAGTTGCTTGGGGGAAGGAGGGTTGGAAGGAAAGGAAGTTTTTGCCCAGGCTGTTTGGGGGCAGGGGAATTTGGGAAGAGGGCTCTGCCCATCCCATGGAGGGTGAGGGAGAGCCTCCCCCCTACAATCTGAAGGTGACTCTGCCTGACTTGTGGAAATTTTATGCCGTAATGGTGGAATGTTTGCTTAAATGTCCAGCTGTCACATGATGAAACCTGGGCTCTCCCACTTCACCAAAGCAGGATAGACAGGGGATGGAGAGAAGTGGTCCCTGCAATAATTGGGCTGTAGCTATTTCAGGGCTTTGAAGAAGAGAGAGACCCTGAAATGTACCCAGAATTTTATTAGTAGCCAGTGCATGGTGAGGAGCACTGGTGTGATGTTCATACCAGTCAAGAGCCAGGCACCTGCATGCTGCTTCCAGGCACCAAGCCTGGTTTACCCCACATTCTGATTACTTTGGTCTTTCCTAATCTGCAGAAGCCATTGTTTCCTTCTCAAGCTGATACACTGCAACAACCAAATATTACCCAGCTTCTCCTTGTTCTTATTAGACAGGGTCACAATGGTGGGGGGTGGGAGCGGGGGATGGGGTGGCAGCACTCATCCTAACTCTGCTCACAAAATAAGGCCTGCCCATGAATCACCAAAATGAGATGTACTCACTGTAGTTTGTGCAACTTTTGACCCCTCTCCTGGGCTTGGCTACTCTTTGGTGGGGTGTATACATGCTTATGGCTCTGCCGGGCTCCATGGGTTGGAGGGGGAAAATGTCTCTCATGACACCAAAAGGAGCTGTCACTCACAGTAAATGGCACAGATCTGTAACCCTCCCTCCCCTTTGTTACACACCCTTACAAAAGAGAAATAGTTAATGTCAGCATTTAAATCATCATCCCTGGACCTCTGCCTGAACCCCTCATTGAGCTGAGTTGGGCAGGAGGATTGTTCCAGGCTCTCTGAAGACTCTCATAGGTGTTGCTGCATCAGTTACACTAATTCATTTTTTGAGTTTTCTTTGCTATCATAATAGCTGGAGACTGCCTTTTTTTTTTTTTAAAAAAACAAAATCTGAGATTCTGAAGAACAGCCTAATAGCTGCTGTGCTATACTGGTACGTACCCGCCCATTCCGAGCCTTGGCTACTGCTGTTGCTCTGTTGGTGGACTGGTACTTCATGTTCACTGGAGTCTTTTTAAAAACATGCACCTTTTCCTCACAAAGAGCGTTTTGAACCTTACAGTAAGGTAACACATATTTGCATTCCTCCGGATGAGCATGATTTTTATTGTTCAGTTGAGGTGTGGAATAGTCCATATTGTTACCGTAGCACTGTGTATTATACGTGAGGCTATGTTTTAGTCACGGGTGTTTTTAGTAAAAGTCATGGACAGGTCACAGGCCATAAACAGAAATTCACGGGCCCGTGACCTGTCCATGACTTTTACTAAAAAGACCTGCCGTGACTAAAACTTGGGAGGGGGAGCCATGGGTGCTCTGGAGGGGGGGTGTCCAGGGGTGCTGGGGGAGGGGGGGCTGTGGCCTGGGACCCCTGCTGGGAGGTGGGAAGGATTGGCGAGGCTGGCAAGGGCTTCCTACCCGGCTCCGCGTCCCTGCAGCTCCTAGGCGGCGGATGCAGGTGCCAAGGCAGGAGGCTCCGCTGCTCCCATTGGCCGGGAACCACAGCCAATGGGAGCTGCAGCGGGGGGGACCTGCGGGTGCCGCACAGAGACCCCTCCGTCACCTAGGAGCTGCAGGGTGGCCATGCCAGTGGGAACTGGGGAGTCCCCCACCCTGAGGTAAGCACCCCCCTGCACTCCCCAACCCCCTCGTCCTGAGCCCCCTCCCACACACCCAAACTGCTGCTGCTGGCCCAGGGGCCTCCTGGCGCGGGCAGCCCCTGAGCCACCACCAGTCGCTGTAGAGGTCACAGAAAGTCACAGAATCTGTGACTTCTGTGCCAGACTCGCAGCCTTAATAATATGTTATACTTATCTCCTTCCAGACTCAGCCTGCAAAGAGGAAGTTACCAGAATGGTTTGGACCTTCAGAGGGAGCAGATTCTTCCATTACTACTGGCAAGAAATCCAAAGTGCGAGCAAAAAAAGGTCTTTTTAGTTGAACTTGGAAATATCAACAACTTTCTCTTTTAAAGAAGCTCAGAGAGAGCATATACATGAGCAATCTGGCTCCATTGTCATTGAGAATCGAGTTGCAAGCACTACATTAGAGATGGTTTATTTTTAGTTTCCAGGACAACTAGCGTTCTGAAGTACACGTTCATTTGTTCACAGTTGAAACCATTACTGAGCTTGGGCTGGAACTAGAGCCCCTCAGTTCTTGGACTTGTCAGTGTGTGGGAAGCACCCATATCAAGCAGCAAGATCTTGAATTCAAGTACATAAAGAACTGACCCAAGGGTTAAATTAGGTCATGTTAACATTGTTTATAGAGGCTGTTTGCTACTTTCACTATTAGGATTAAACTTTCCAAGATTTTTACTGTCAGTTTATTATATATTAGTACAGCGGTTCTCAAACTTAAGCAATCCGAGGACCCTCATTTTGATTTAAAATTTTGGGGGCCTCCCCACTCAGCCTCAGGCCCTGCCCTGACTCCACTCCTTCTCCCAAGGCCTCACCCCTCCCCCACCTCTTCCTGCCACCTGCTCACTCCATCCCCCCCTCCCTCCATCACTTGCTCTCCCCCGGCCTCACTCACTTTCACCAGACTGGGGCAGGAGTAGGGTGCAGAAGGGGGTGCAGGATTTGTCAGGGAGTTTGAGTGTGGGGTCTGGGCAGGGGTCCAGGGTGTTTGCGTGTGTACTCTGGCCGGTGACGCTTACTGCGGGTGGCTCCCAACCAAGCTGGCAGCGGCGCTTAGGTGGGGGGGAGCGGGGTCAGGGGTCTTTGTGTGCTGCCTGTACCCACAAGTGCCGCCCCCAAAGCTCCCATCGCCTGCAGTTCTTGGCCAGTGGGAGCTGCGGAGTTGGCATTCGGGGTGGAGGCAGTACGCGGAGACCCCCTTGCCCCCCCCACCCGCCAGGGGCTGCAGGGATGTGCCGGCCACTTCCAGGAGCAGCAGGGAGCCTGCCTTAGCCCCGCTGCACCTCCTGGATGGGGAGAAGTTGATCAGTGGGGCCCGTGGACCCCCTGGAGTACCCTTGGGGATCAGTTTGAGAAACGATGTATTAGTAGATTCCATTTATTACCATCTAAATGTGAAAATTTGGGCAACTTCTGTGAAGTTCTTTCCAGGCCATCTCAGCTGCTTGTTGTTGTGCATTTACTTTCTCTATGAACATCTTCAAAACCTTCGTCTCATCAGTTGGAATTGAGTTTATTATGCAGGTGCTAAGTTTTTACAGTGCCTTTTTTTTTTTTTTTTAAAGGCTGATAGTAGGCATGGAAGAATGTAGAATATGGGGGATCTTGCAGATGGTTCAGTGCCACAAAACGAATAAGTGTTACCTTGCTGCTAATACATATTATGTCAGCTCAGCATTCTGGATCTACTAACGTTAAATCTGCTTTGATCTGATAATACTGTGCAGTATATCTGATGTAAGATGTACTGTATGGAACTCACTATATTTCTGTTGAATTTAGGAAAATTATATATATGGTAAAATGTGATAAATACCTTTAAAATTGCCATTATGCACTTTGTACTTGCACCGTGGTGTATTTTTTATAATAAAATGCTGCATAACGGTACTTACAATACATATAGTTTATTGTTGGTTTCCTTCTGTAATCCTGTTCATTTACCTTTTTTGAGAAATCAGACTTGTTTGTAATTCCAAGCATTAGTTCTATGAGATGAAATTTCAATTTTTAAAATGTATGGATAATGTGGGTTGGATTTTTTTGAATTAGGGATCAATAAAAGTTAAAAATTCTGATTTGAAATGTAATGTCAAAATCAGCCAGCATACCCGTACAGCAGTAAGTTAGTTACCCACCAAACACAGTATAAGATACAGGAAAATGTTTCATAGCAGTAGGCAAAGCAAAACTTAACCCAAAGGAACAATATAGTACCATGCTGTCCTGGGGGAGGAGTGTGTCAGCCTAATAAACCAAAATGGAAATGAGAGACATCATGTTATCTGGTAAAGGCCTCTCATAGTAGAATGAACAAGGAGCAGCATCCTTTTGTGCATCTGAGCTTCCTGGCACACCAGCTCCTCTTCACTTCTGCAGCAGAAAAGTGTGAAAAAATTGTGATAATTCTAATTACAATAGTTAAGAGAAAGTATGAGCCACTCCCCCCCAAGGTCAACCTTCATCATCCATAGTCTGTGTGCTCTAGTTCATTACTGCATGTGACTCAAGGAACTTCCACAGCATAATGTCTCCCATAGTTACTCCTGAGGGCATTCTGCGCCAGAAAATTAAAAATTCTGCACAGATTTTAAAATTCTGAAAGTTTTATTTGTCAATAAATAAATGCAGAGGCTCCAGCATGGCAGTGGGGGAGCACAGGCCACTGGGTGCACGGAGGTAGCAGATCACCCTGCAGCGCCCCCAGGGCAGGGATTTGGTGGTGAGGTTGCACCTAACCCTGACACATTGCAAGAGTCGGGCTTGCTCCAGAAAAACCCCTGGTCCCTGCCCCTCCACGCCAGTCGCATCAGGTGTGGGCAGGTAGGCTTAGCCCAGCAGCATCCAAGTGTGGAGGAGCTTAGTGGGGGGGATCCAGGTGTTGGGTGAGAGAGTTCAGTGGGGGTCAATCTGGGTGCAGGTGGGCTCAGTGGGGGATCTGGAGGCAAAGGGGTTCATTGGGGAGGTCTGGGTTTAGGGGCAATGGGATTCTGTAGGAGGGTCCAGGTGAAGGTGGTTGGGTCTCAGCAGGGGGGGTCTGGGTGTGGGGGGGAACTCAGCAGGGGGTCAAGATGCTGTGGGGGTTGGGTGGGGGTCAGGGTGCAGCTAATTGAGGCGTAGTGAGGTGGGGGTGCAGGTGCAATGGGCCTGTTTAATGGCTGAGCCCCAGCTGCTGCTGCTGCTGCTGCCACCGAGGGAATGCCCTATGCCAGGCTCCTGCTACCCTGTCCCCATTCTCCTATCCCCCTTCCCCACTGCCTCTTTGCCTTTCCCCTTGCAACCTCCCCTATCCCTTTCCCCTCACCCCGATCCTACCCCCCCTTCCTTCCCCATTGCTGCTTCCCCCACCCCAGCTCCTTTCCCCCTGCCCCACCGCAGGCACTCACCATTGTACAGAAAGCGGGATGGAATCCACGCAGGGCACCCAGCACACACACCAGCGGAGGCCGACCCGCACTGGGACCCAGGAGGTGGCATCCAGCTGCAGTCAGCGAGCCAGAGCGACACCCTTGCCACCTTTCAGAGGAACAGCCGTGTTAGTCTGTATTCGCAAAAAGAAAAGGAGGACTTGTGGCCCCTTAGAGACTAACCAATTTATTTGAGCATGAGCTTTCGTGAGCCACAGCTCACTTCATCAGATGTGTACCGTGGAAACTGCAGCAGACTTTATATACACACAGAGAATATGAAACAATACTTCCTCCCACCCCACTGTCCTGCTGGTAATAGCTTGCCTTGCCACCCTCCATCACCCCGCCAGCTCTGTGCTCACAGAAATGGGGCGGGGCAGTGGCGTGTGACTCCCGTGAACGGCACCCCCAGCCCTCTCTCCCCGCGGTGCTTTACCTCTCTGCCGGCTGCTCCGGGCACCGGCAAGGAGGCACCTGTGCAGCCGGGGAAGGGGGTGTGACCACTTGTGTGGCGGCTTCCCTGGAATTTTCTGCGGGGAAGCAAAGAGATCTGCCCCGGGGCAGGGGCACGAGTTTTGCCCGTGCACGGTGGCACTGCACCCCCCCCCCGGGGGCCATGTTAAGGCTGTTACAGGTCTTGAGGCATTTACACTTGACACGCGGGTTGGTGGAACCGAAGCATAAAACTCACAACCGGTTTGTGCCCAGCTGCTTCAGAGTTACCTGAGGCCGGGGTGACCAGGCAGCAAGTGTGACAAACCGGGGGGGTAACAGGAGCCCCTCTAAGGAAACGCCCCGGCTATCGGGGCTGTCTATAAAATCGGGACCCCGGCTCGCCCTACCGGAGGCGGCTACTCTCACACGCGGGCCCGCCACCCCTGGGGGCCAGGCCGGCCCGGGGCCCCTCCCCCAGCCGTGCGGGGGGCGCCCGCTGGGCCCGGGGACCCGCCGAACTCGGGGGACCAAGTCGCGACCCGCAGGGGCGGTCCCGGGTGAGCGCTGCCGGGGTGACCCGGGGCCCGCTCTGGGCCGGGCGCGGCCCGGGCGCTACGTCAGCGCGCGGCGCCGGTTCGCCGCCGGCCGCGCGGGGCATGACGGGAGGAGCGGCGGGCGCCGCTGGGCCAATCGGAGCGCAGCCGCGACCGGAGCCTGCTGCGTCCCTGCCTGCGCTCCGCTCCGCTCCGCTCCCGCCGCCCCTCCCCCGCTCCGCGCCGCGCCTCCCCCGCTCCGCGCCGCGCCGCGCGTCAGGGCGGCCTCGCTCGCCGGTGAGTTCTCGGGCGCCAGCGGGGCGGTTGGAGCGGGGCAGCCAGGGAACGCGAGGACACCCCCCCGCCCCCGGAGCTGCACGGGCCCGTGTCTGTCCTCCTCCCCCCCGAGCTGCACGGGCCGGGGGGGGGCCGTGTCTGTCCTCTCCCCCCGCCCCCGGAGCTGCACGGGCCGGGGGGGGGCCGTGTCTGTCCTCTCCCCCCCCTCCCGGAGCTGCACGGGCCCGTGTCTGTCCTCTCCCCCCGCCCCCGGAGCTGCACGGGCCGGGGGCCGTGTCTGTCCTCTCCCCCCGCCCCCGGAGCTGCACGGGCCGGGGGCCGTGTCTGTCCTCTCCCCCCGCCCCCGGAGCTGCACGGGCCGGGGGCCGTGTCTGTCCTCTCCCCCCCGCCCCCGGAGCTGCACGGGCCGGGGGGGGCCGTGTCTGTCCTCTCCCCCCGCCCCCGGAGCTGCACGGGCCGGGGGGGGCCGTGTCTGTCCTCTCCCCCCGCCCCCGGAGCTGCACGGGCCCGTGTCTGTCCTCTCCCCCCCTCCCGGAGCTGCACGGGCCGGGGGGGGCCGTGTCTGTCCTCTCCCCCCGCCCCCGGAGCTGCACGGGCCCGTGTCTGTCCTCTCCCCCCCTCCCGGAGCTGCACGGGCCCGGGGGGGCTGTCTGTCCTCTTCGCCCCCCCCCTCGCGAGCTGCATAGGCTGGGGGGACCCCCTGTCTCTTCTTCCTCTCGCAGAGCTCCGCTGGCCAAGTGGGTAGGGGTGGATTTCCTCTCTTCCCCCCCCCCCCCCCCACAACTCCACGGGTCGCGGGGGGGGGGGGATTCTCCCTCTTCCCTCCTCCCCACAGAGCTGTGTGGCCCACAGTGGATCTCTCTCTCCACCCCCCGCCCCTTACACAGAGGTGAGTGGGCCAGTAAAGACTTTCCTGCTCCCCACAGCTGTATGTTCCCAAGGGGACCCCTTCCTTCCCCTCCTCCTCCAACAGCTGCATGGGCCCAAGGGGACTCCCTCTCTTCCCCCTTACTCACAGACGTCACTGCGTGGGTCCTGCTGTTGTGCAGAACTGGTCCCAGCATAGTTGCAAATGAGTGGATGGGGCCCACAGGAAAGCTCTCAGTGAACCTGTTGCTGTAGGCATGTCTCTACTGCTCTAACTGCAAAAGACAGCAGGGCTCATGGGTTTGCTGCTTATTGCCAAGTGTCACTCAAACCAGGGCTGCTGGAGTAATTTTTATAATGGGAGTGCTGAGAGCTTTTGAACTAAACTGTAAACCCTGTCTATAATGGAAACCACTTCAAGCCAGGGGGTGGTGTGGCATACCCCACACTCCTAATTCCAGCACCTATAACTCAAACATCACCTCAGTGGACGGTCATGTGTGGTTCCTACCCAAGGCCCTCACCCAGTCCATGGCCTTCTTACTGTTGTGGTGGCTTGGATTTTAAACATATTTCTTGTTCCTTGTCCTACATGAGACACCACCATGTGCTCCAGGGGGACCTGACAGATGGACTAGATGCTTAGCCTTGCCAATGCACAGAGTAAACAAACTCAGCAAAATAAAGTGAAGAAAAATAACCTTCTCTTTCCATTAATTGAGTGTAACGATAGTAGAAAGAAAATTTTAAAAAAATTCAGAAAAGTGATTAAACTGATGGTGTCTGTTGTAAGTATCCATGAGCACTGGAAAGTATGAAGCACAGAGTGAAGGGCGTCCCCACCTGTATTCAGTGTTTTTATCCCTATCCATCCTGTGTAACCTCTAGCATAAGGCCAGGACACTTATGTGATGATATTTCATCTCGTTAACGTCTTGAGCCCTGTGCGGGGCTTCGTGATTTAGACTGCAATTGGGGTATCTAGTAACATTTCCGATCTATACATTTCAAGACGACCAGGGGACATCCCCCCCCTCCCCACACCACAGTCTATGCATCCACAAGCAGTCCAAGCAACTTATAGAAAGTAAGTTGCTAATATAGTTGTAAAATATCCTTTGCCTGTTGTAAAGGACCTATAATGGGGCAGTTGCATGGACTGTCTTTGGTTGTAAACTATTTTCTCGTTAAGAGAAGACAAATTGAAAAACATTCTGTGAGTGTGTAAGTGGTAAATGCACAGTGGGTGGATTCTGCTTCCTAAAGTCAGTGAGACTTAGGCTTTTGAGCCTATTTTATTTACTGCTGTTTATTACTTGTATTCCCATAGTGCTTAGGAGCCCTAGTAATGGACCAGGAGCCCGTTGTGCTAGATGCTGTACAAACAGAAGAAAAAACAGTCCGTGCCCCAAAGAGCTTACTTAGGAGCAGAGCAAAACAATTTAAATTACCAACTTTAATAATGATTTCAGTCAGCAAGCAGGAAACCTTGATGTAAATCATCAATTTTAATTGTCTTTTCCATTTGTACTTTTTAGTTATTTTCCTGAAGAAAAGTTAATTTCCCCTAAATTTGGTGGTGCTTTTTGCTAACCAGGAGGATATGGTGTAGCTATTTATATTTAAGCAATTATATAGCTTTACCTTTACATTTATTCAGATTTTTAATTTTTACATTTTTGATGGTTAGAAAATGGTGAATGATTGATTAATTTTTTATTTGTGATTTGTGTCAACCTCTATTTGGAAATTCAAGTTAAATTAAAGTGCATTAAATTGAAACAGCATTTTAAACTATTTTGTTAAAAAGAAACTATCAAGTGCTGAATTCATAAGAATTTTTTTATCGAAGTTTATCAAAACATGCTTTGTATTTAAAAGTAATTAATATATTAAACAAAGGAAGTGTTATCTGTAGTGAAGGCATTGAACAGATTGGTTTTGATCACCATGTCCTTAGAGATTTTAGGACTAGTAGATCTCATCCTCTCATGCCTAGTTTTTATTCATAGATTTGAAGAGGAAAACAAGCTGTCGTGCCTTTTCAACTCTCATTTGATTGATTAACTTTGAATGAACTAGTCATTGAACTGAACTAGCTGAATAAACTGAAATGAAGAAATATTCTTTTTGTACCTGCACCAGAGGCTACTGCTGTCAAAAGTTGGTTGAGCACTTCAGCAAACTCTGGGTCCAGGTGCTTAGACAGTGTCTTCCACCAGTTCAGTGGTTTGACTTTCTTTAAAACATTTGCTGTTTAATATTATTTTTTTGTATTTAATTTAAATGATTGTAATAAGTTTATGCCTTAACATAGATTGTCAATTTCAAATGTATTTTTAAATAGGTTTATTTTTAAAAAAAACCCTTGTAATTAATTTAAATTTAAAAAATATAATAAAATTCTTGTAATTTTTTTAATAATTTATTTTTATCCTCCTTACTTGGGTGTATTAAACTTTTAATCCTAATCTTTATTTTGAATTTCCTAGTTTTCAGGCTTTTTGAATGACTTTTCTGCTAAAGTTTTTTCTTTGTTATTGATACATAGCTAATAATGTTTGAGAATATCCTTTGTTTAGGGCATTTTCTTTGAAAGACAGTGACCCTCTCGTACTCACTGTGTCTGCACTGCCTGGTCCAGGTCTTGGAAACTGTGCTGGAATCCATGCAGATTTTTATAATATGTGCATGGAAGCTGGCAAATTGACTTATTTAAGGCCTATCAATCCCACAGGATGGCACAGATATACACTTTAGGAAGCTTGCCTATACTGTCGTTAATACCTAAACAATACCACAAAACTAGTAGACACCAGCAGAATAAGATTACATTTGGAGTTTTTACAGTTTCTTACATATGAACAAGAACATATGAAGACTTCAAAAAACCTCATCTCACAAATACTTTGTTCAATTGCTTCGTAGCTTCCAAGTCCAGAAGGGCCATTGTGATCATTGAGTCTGATCTCCTGTATAACAGTGGTTCTCAACCAGGGGTCCGGAGCTCCCTAGGGGACCGCGAGCCAGTTTCAGGGGGTCCGCCAAGCACGGCCAGAATTAGACTCGCTGGGGCCTAGGGCAGAAAGCCGAAGCCCCACCGCTTGGGGCTGAAGCCCAGGACCCTGAGCCCTGCCACCCGGGGCTGAAGCCTGAGCAATGTAGCTTTGTGGGGGCCCCATGGCATGGGGCCCCAGGCAACTGCCCTGCTTGATATCCCCAAACGCTGGCTCTGGCTTTTGTATGCAGAAAAGCCGTTGTTGTGGCACTGGTGGGCTGTGGAGTTTTTATTGCATGGGGGGGAGGGGTCTCAGAAAGAAAAAGGTTGAAAACCCCTACTGTATAAGACATGCCGTAGAACTTCTCTCAAATAATTCCTGCAGCATATCTTTCAGAAAAACATCCAATCTTAATTTTAAAATTATGACTGTTGGAGAATCCACCACAGCTCTTTGTAAATTTTTCCAATGATTAGTTACTCTCACTGTTACAAATGTATGCCTTATTTCCAGTCTGAATTTGTCTAGCTTCAGTTTCAAGCCACTGGATATTGTTATCCCTTTCTCCGCTAGATTGAAAAGCCCATTATCAAATATTTGTTCCTCATGTAGATACTTAGACTGTATTGAAGTAAAATCTTCTCTTTGTTAAGCTAAATAGATTTAGCTCCTTGAGTCTTTTACTATAAGTAATGTTTTCTAATATTTTAATCATTCTCATGGCTCTTCTATGAACCTTCTCAAATTTTTCAACATCATCCACCAAAACTGGATGCAGTATTCCAGCAGTGGTTTCACCAGTGCCAAATACAGAAGTAAAATCTCTATTCCTATTCGAGATTTCCCTGTAAGTCCCGCATTAGCCCTTTGGGCTAGAGCATCTCACTGGCGCTCATGTTCAGCTGATTATCTACCATGCAGAATCACTGCTCCCCAGAA